TGACAGTAGTTACAACGATGACTTGAGTTAATATTTGTATTGTTTTTGTTCTGATACTATGTTAAGTAGACATGATTAACACGATATTAGAGAGAGAAATAGAGAGTGGTCAAAACTTAACCTACCTCTCACAAAACACTTTGCATTTATAGTTAATTTATAATAATACAAAAGACATATACCCTCTAATATTTATACACAATACCCTAATACTCTTAACACAGTTAAACATTAGTTAAGCCATTATGTATATATCCCTCCTAGACCTCCATTAATGGGGTTTAAAGTGTTGTTACATTATACATATGAATGGCATGATGTGGAAGATAAATCTATCAATTATTAATTAGCAGTACTAATTAGGTGTCTTTCTTATATTAAATAGGAGTTTTCTTATACCTGGAAATGTCTATTGCTACTTGGCTTGATTTTACTTTGTATGAAGGCAAACCACCTTATTCTTCCATTCCCGAATAAGAGTTGGGAGATGTTAAAGGGTGTGTCTGTCACAGTTTGATGGTTACAAGTCTCAAAAGAAGAGTTTAGGAAGTTGCATACAAGTGTTTGAAACTGTACACCACAAAAGGTGTGCAGACCCACATGAGACCTAATGGAGTTGANACTTTGTATGAAGGCAAACCACCTTATTCTTCCATTCCCGAATAAGAGTTGGGAGATGTTAAAGGGTGTGTCTGTCACAGTTTGATGGTTACAAGTCTCAAAAGAAGAGTTTAGGAAGTTGCATACAAGTATTTGAAACTGTACACCACAAAAGGTGTGCAGACCCACATGAGACCTAATGGAGTTAAAAGCCTTCTGATTATTCCTCTTACCACTACAATCTCTCACCCGAGGAATTCAGTAGCTCCCCAGCTAATCTTGTCTTTACCCGCCTCCTCACTTTGACATGGGTGTTAACAACAAGTTCCAAAGGTCTCAGATGACTGAACAATGGATCAACCCAACTCAAACAAAGTCTTAATCCCAACTATTTGAGATCGATTATATAGATCAAGATCTTCCATTGCACCCTATTTGAGCCATATTTTTCATTAGACCGCAACTCTATAAGCTGTCNGATCGATTATATAGATCAAGATCTTCCATTGCACCCTATTTGAGCCATATTTTTCAATAGACCGTAACTCTATAAGCTGCCNGTTACTTTCCAAACAAGTTTTATTGTTTTATGTTTTATAGAACTGTTTTTGGAATCGTATAACCAAACATGTTTAGCGATACAAAAAATACCCACATACGCTTTTCTAAAACTTCTCTTAAAAACTGTTTTTAGATATTTTTTGAGATGCAATCCAAACACGCCCGTAGTTTTTGAACTTGTTTNCATATCACGTTCTACTATTTCGTTCAAAGTTATTTTAGACATACTTCTACCTCTTGAATTATCATCAATATGTATCGAACCACTCTTCCTTGCTGGTGCATTATTAGGTCTTTTATAAACATGTGCAAACGACCTGAGTCAATCCTCTCTTAATTTTACATCTATTGATGCTACTTCTACAGTTTCAAGAATATTCACATTTTCTAATTTTATCATTTCTCGTTTTACTACATATTCATTATTTTTGCAACAAGGTTGGTGTCGCAAAACTGTTTTTGTTTTTTAGATACAAAAATCTAGTAAAACCCGTTTGGACAACGGAGTTTTTAAGAGAAGTTTTTGAAAAAAAGGAAGACTGAAGACAGATTTTAGGGGATAAGTAAAATGTGTTTTGAGTGTTTTGAGGATTAAAAAACGGAGAATTGTGAAAACACGAAGAACAAGCAAGGGTGTGTTTTGTGTGCACTTAATGTACCCATATAAAAGTCCTTTTTTTGTGTGTTCTCTCTCTCCCCAACACTCACTCTCTCTCTCTCTCTCCAACACCATAGATCCGTTCAACGGATCTGATGCGTAGCTCTGGTGACCAGAAGACGTAGCTCCGGCGAATTTGATGCATAGCTCCGACGACTTAGTTAAACCATAAATTTGTGTTTAATTTTTTTTTTCCTTGATTTTTTTGGGGTTTACTAGATTTGGAGTAGCTCTCGATTTGGGTTTATATAAGACGTTTTTTTTGGGATTGCTAGATCTAGAATTAAAGAGTGAATGTGGGTTTGCTAGATCTGTGAGAAGGCATGTTTCGCGCAGATCAGTGTTTCCACCGCATAAAATAAAGCTTAAATCTTTTTTTCTTGGCCCCTAAAGCAAAAGATTTGAATGACTATTAGACCACTAATTGAACGGATTAACATTTGGGTTTGCAAGATCTATGACTAGCATTTGTTGGATTTGAACGAAATCACATTTGTTGGCTACGAACGAATTTAACCTTTTTGTTGACCTAATCTGTTGAACAAAATTTAAAATTATTTATTTTGAAAAATCTTTTTGCTTATGTGTGTGAAGTACGAAAGTGAGGAGAATGAAATATGTTTTCTTTATTTAGCGTATAAAAAAATTTTGTATATGAAATGGTCAATCCAAACAACATTTTTATTTTCATTGTTTTATGGTTACTTTCCAAACAAGTTTTATTGTTTTATGTTTTATAGAACTGTTTTTGGAATCATATAACCAAACATGTTTAGCGACACAAAAAATACCAACACACACTTTTCTAAAACTGTTTTTAGATATTTTTTGAGATGCAATCCAAACACGCCCGTAGTTTTTGAACTTGTTTTTTCTTAATTGCCTAACATTTGTCTCTTAAAACATTGATGATCTAATGACAATCTTGTAAAACTTATCTTTCAACCTAAAGGTTATACGTTGGTCGCATAATACACTAGATGCATTCCTCCACTTAGTCTATCCTGCTTTAATTATGTGATTAACATCGTCTCCAATCTCTTCCTTATGGATAATCTGTCCGAAATAAAGGAAGTGTTCGCTCTTGGGTATCTCTTGATCTTCGTTGTTTTCTATCTATATATTTGGAAATCTACTATTACTAAAACTATATTCCATATATTCTTTTTTATTTCTACTCATTCTAAGTCCTTTTGATTTTAAAGTTTCTCTCTAAATCTTTTGTTTATTGTTAATTCATACTTTAGTTTCATCAATCGATACTCGGAAAAATAACATTATACCATGAAACCTCATCTTGAATGTGTCTAGACAATTTATCCATAACTATGGCAAAAATATACAAGACTTAAAGTGGAAGTTATAAACACCATATCATAGATGATTAATTATCTCTAGATTCTCTACATCTCTTTTATGCATACTGTTATTTGAAACATCGTCCACTTAGACTATGTTTGGAAGTGTCTTGAGAGGCAAAGCCAAAAATGCCAAACTAGCTTGAATACTNGATACAACGCAAAAACGATACATAACTACGATCCGTATCGTTTTAGGGCTGTATCGTAACGTATCGTACGATACGTATCGTGTATCGTACGATACTAACAACTTTGCTGGCAAGTAGCATAGTGTTCATGCTTGGACTTGAGCTGGACTAGCTTGGTTGAATGACCTAGCTTTTTTCCCATTAATTTTGAGCCTACTAGAGTATCTGAATCCTAGCTATTCACCAGACACAGGAGACTAAAATTTTTACCATAAANCTGGACTAGCTTGGTTGAATGACCTAGCTTTTTTCCCATTAATTTTGAGCCTACTATAGTATCTGAATCCTAGCTATTCACCAGACACAGGAGACTAAAATTTTTACCATATANGTGTCTAGACAATTTATCCATAACTATGGCAAAAATATACAAGACTTAAAGTGGAAGTTATAAACACCATAACATAGATGATTAATTATCTCTAGATTCTCTACATCTCTTTTATGCATACTGCTNGAGGAGAATGAAATATGTTTTCTTTATTTAGCGTATAAAAAAATTTTGTATATGAAATGGTCAATCCAAACAACATTTTTATTTTCATTGTTTTATGGTTACTTTCCAAACAAGTTTTATTGTTTTATGTTTTATAGAACTGTTTTTGGAATCATATAACCAAACATGTTTAGCGACACAAAAAATACCAACACACACTTTTCTAAAACTGTTTTTAGATATTTTTTGAGATGCAATCCAAACACGCCCGTAGTTTTTGAACTTGTTTTTTCTTAATTGCCTAACATTTGTCTCTTAAAACATTGATGATCTAATGACAATCTTGTAAAACTTATCTTTCAACCTAAAGGTTATACGTTGGTCGCATAATACACTAGATGCATTCCTCCACTTAGTCTATCCTGCTTTAATTATGTGATTAACATCGTCTCTAATCTCTTCCTTGTGGATAATCTGTCCGAAATAAAGGAAGTGTTCGCTCTTGGGTATCTCTTGATCTTCGTTGTTTTCTATCTATATATTTGGAAATCTACTATTACTAAAACTATATTCCATATATTCTTTTTTATTTCTACTCATTCTAAGTCCTTTTGATTTTAAAGTTTCTCTCTAAATCTTTTGTTTATTGTTAATTCATACTTTAGTTTCATCAATCGATACTTGGAAAAATAACATTATACCATGAAACCTCATCTTGAATGTGTCTAGACAATTTATCCATAACTATGGCAAAAATATACAAGACTTAAAGTGGAAGTTATAAACACCATATCATAGATGATTAATTATCTCTAGATTCTCTACATCTCTTTTATGCATACTGCTATTTGAAACATCGTCCACTTAGACTATGTTTGGAAGTGTCTTGAGAGGCAAAGCCAAAAATGCCAAACTAGCTTGAATACTGGAAACAAGAAAGTCAAGCTGAGTATTGGGTTATTCCAGCATCAATCTGGCAAGTAGCATAGTGTTCATGCTTGGACTTGAGCTGGACTAGCTTGGTTGAATGACCTAGCTTTTTTCCCATTAATTTTGAGCCTACTATAGTATCTGAATCCTAGCTATTCACCAGACACAGGAGACTAAAATTTTTACCATATATTGGTAATTCGATTGAAAAATTGAGAGAAATACTTGTCAATCTATTTCTTCTAATCCAACCTTTGAGGGGATACATGGTGACTCCATCAATTCAATGTGCTGTAAGAAGGAGGTGGCCTGGAGAGCAGGGAAAAGTAGGAAAGGTGGCAGAAATCCTGGTTGACTAGCTGCTCTACCACCTTGTGGCTTAAGTGGCTTCAAGCTAGCACCTAGGATGCCAACCACAGCCAGGAAGGATTGTTCCTCATTTTGTGGGATTTCAACAGGGTTTGCTTTTACTCCTTGCCTTGAAACTCTTTTTAAGTTTTTAAATAGCAAAAATTTAATGAAAGAAATATGCACCGAAGGGTGCACAACCCTCTACAGTCTGCTGGTTCAAATATATAGTTTAGGACATGTAATATGGAACAATTACATAGTTTTGACCATTGGATCTTCATCAAGAGATTTTACATGATTTGGGTTATTATTTTGTAGCTAAACGATAACAACAACACCACCACACAAAATTAAGAAAAAAAAAATTCTATAAACTCTGTCGAATCGGATGGCATGTATTTTCATTGGCTGATGATCCTTGAGATAATGTCCCAACTGGAATATAGCCTCAAAGGCTTAAACTATCTCTTTGATTTTGAACGAATTGGAGTTTGAGCATGATATTCAAATTTCCTTCTAAATTGTCCATATTTCTTTAGATGGCACATATTTAAGTTAACAGATCAAATTGGATATGAAGCTCCCTGATGTTTTGGCACTTCACTTAATTTCGTATAAATGTGTCTATAATGGGCTTTGCTGTGGCATTATTTCTGTAAACAACTCCTGTGGTCTTTTTTTACGCCATCTTTCCAAATTTATTGCTCAAAGTCCAGCTGAGCATGCCCCAAAGTTGTCTGTCTCGAGCAAATTTCATGCTGCAAAGTAGTGTGGTTCTCACTGCAGTCTTTCTAACTGTGCAGATAGTCGGCAACAACTCCGAGGAGCAGCAAAAGATGTTTGGCAGGCACTTTGAGATTGAAGATGAGCTGGTCAGCCACATCTCTAGGGTGTCAATTGATGTACTCAAAGCTAATTATCGGGTGAGCAGAATGGGTATCAAATGCACCTTCTTTTGTGGAATTATTACATGTAAGATTATTATTTAATGCAACTTCGGAATGTACAGGATGATCTGTCCATTGACGAGTGGAAGCTGGTTGTTAAACTGAAAAACCTCTTCAAGATACAATGAGTTTTGATGTGTCTTGAGGAAGCATTTCGGGTCTTGAGATGGTTTTTGGTGGTTCTTCACTCGTGCGGCTGTTTGTGTAAAAAAAGAGGTTATTTTTGGGAGGAAAAGGAACTAAAACAGACAGTTGGAATTGGAATGGGCAGTGGCCGATTGATGGATGAGTTGCTGTGAAGGACAATTTTGTTGAGCGGGAAAGCCGCCCTTTGTCTAAAATCAAAGTTGGGATTGCTCTTCCTGTGGTATACAAGGTCTTTGTGCAAAATCAGTGCCATGTGCAAGAATGAGAATAATAAATATGGCAGCAGCGCAGGAGTACAAAGATTACAGTGTAATCCTAATTGCGGTGCTGTCACGAGAGGGGCTCAAAAGTATCGGGCATTGTAAGTGTTCATTAACCAATAATTTGTTTGTGCCTTCGTTGATCATTAAATTTCAAGAGATATCTTTCAGATTTGTTAGCTTTCTTTGAATCTGGTGCAGTACCATGTAAAGTTCTTTGGTATGTTTGGGACTATGGCTTTGCCCCTCTGGGGGACCAGATTTAATTTCTATGAAAGAATATTTCTCAGTCTGCATACTTAAGAGATGTAGTCTCTTAGTAAGCACTGTTGATCTGAGTACTGCAAGGCGACTGAATGAAGGCCACGGTAAATTGGGTCGCTAATAGGTAATTCCGACTTGTACTTTCAATCTGTGTAAATCGCGTTATGTCAAAATTGAGTTAATCCACACCTAACTTATTTATAATCGTGAAAAGTTGAATTTTTGTCTTCTTGTTGGGTTTATGTTGTATACAAGGTTAAAATTTTTGTGTCTAGCCGACTTATGTCATATTTAGTCGTGTTTGTAACGATTTATTTATTTGACAAGTTTGGTGGGCCCACTCGTCTACCATCCGAAGTTACTAAGGATTTGACCAAAGTCTACTTGCCACATTGATTTTGTGCCAAGCTTATAGGTCTGTTTAGAATTAGTAGGAAAGTTTCAGTCAGACCCCATTGGCTGCCTCACTTGTTCAAAAGCAATGAATCCAATGGCAAATTTATAATGGAGTATACTAAAGATATGATCCTCTGACTATGATTTTTGTGTCAAGGAAGTTCTTAATNACATATCGATCGGAGTATATTGAGGTGAAGATGTTAAATGCTATATATCAAATTGCCACATAAATTTTCAAATTTAAATTTGACATCTCCATTGGAGAACATCTCTAATGATNACATATCGATCGGAGTATATTGAGGTGAAGATGTTAAATGCTATATATCAAATTGCTACATAAATTTTCAAATTTAAATTTGACATCTCCATTGGAGAACATCTCTAATGGTNCAATGGCAAATTTATAATGGAGTATACTAAAGATATGATCCTCTGACTATGATTTTTGTGTCAAGGAAGTTCTTAATTTTTTTTTTTGTTTCAATTGAGTGTATGAACTTTATAATTGTGTTAATGAGTCATTTTGTTTGTCTTTTGTGAGAAATCTAACTGAAAGTGGTGAAGTGTGTTACTCACGTAACACAAATGAGTTGGAGTAAATTACATATATGATCTTCAAATTACGACCCTTGTGTCATTAAGCCATTGAATTTTTTGTTCATATCTATTGAACTCTTGATCTCTAATTGTGTCAATTAAACTCTTTTGTCTTTTATGCCATATGATCACATGAGTGGCATACTCTAACGAAGGTAGACAGAATGTTTTAATTGACACAATTAGAGAGTTCAGAGACTTAATTGACACACAAAAAAAAAAAGTTCAAAGAATTAATTGACATGAATGTCATAGTTTGAAGGTTATATGTGTAGTTTACTATTTATAATGCGACAAAAGTTTTCACAAAATATGTCGTGGTCTTCTTATTCTTTTTTTTTTAATCAAGAAGAGTTTAATTATATTTTTTTTGAACTCGTGACTGTTACGTGTACAATCCAAAATGAATGATAAGATCTAACCCTAACCACACACGGCTCTTATTGGGTAGGGGTTGAATTCACCTAGAAACTTTACTCAAAATTGGGAAGATCCAAATTAACAGCTAAGTGCATTGCATTTGAAAGAGATGTTTTGTTTGTGCCTTGGCCTCTTAATCCTATACCCATATTGCACATGGATGATGATGCCAACCACTACAAGTGCATGCACTCTCGGTCAGTATTTCAACTCTTTTCAATTTTTCCACCTACCTCGAACTTTTTCTTTTTTTTTTTTTTTTTTTTGTATTTCTATAAATTTTTATCTAAAAAATAATAAATAATTATTTACTGTGCACGGAAAAATCTTATAACTTTTTTTCACAATGTAATAACTCTGTTTGTGTTTAAGCCCATAATTTGCAGTTTGAAACACATTATTAATGCTTCTATTTTCAATCAAACCAATAATTATGTGATTAATTGTTTTGGGTAACAAATAATTGCTCGCCTTTGTGAACGTTTTTTTTTTATCAAAAAAAAATAAAATCCAACTAATGTTTGACTCGATTCAAGTAGGCTCGACTAGGTTCGAATATGAGACTTTATAGAAATAAGAGAAAGTTTGTGGTATCAAAGTCGGTACTGTACTACCGTTATATATCCTTTTAAGGTCAAGTTATAATTTTTTAAGATACAAGAGTATTTTTAACGTTGACTTAAATTTTTATTTAAATTTGAGTTAACATTTGAATAAAATGCTTGATTTAATACAAAGAGTTTCAACAGATAAACTTAAATTTAAAGAAAGACAAACTCAAAATTAAATGTAGCTGAAATATGATCATTGGATCTTTAAATGAACATGAAATCTCACAATTGATGATTTGAGTAAATGTTTGAGTCTCCTTTAATTTGAATAAAAATGTGAGTCTTCTTTGATTTAATATGAGTTTGGGTATAAGATTAAAAAAGATTTTTAAACTATTTTTATTCAAATTTAAATTTAAGTTTAAAAAAAAAGTATTAGTGAGAGATGCTCTGAGTTACAATTGCAAAAAATATGGTCGATTATAGAATTTATGATTTTTAAAGGTAAAATTGTAACTTTTTAAGGTTAAATTATGCCTTAAAAAACAATTACTCTTGTTCAAACATAACTTTAAATAATATACACTTAACTCTCTCTCACGTATAATAATTTTTTACACTAATCATACAGATTTTGGGATATGTTGCTCCTAAAATGATTATTTTAAAAGCAAATTTCAGGATTTAATTCTACAATTGAGCTCGATTTTAACTTGAGTACTCCTAAACTTTTGTCGAGTGATAAACTCCACAGACCAGAGGCAAATCGAACTTTATTCATACATAGCTTTACATAATATATACTCATCTCTCTCTCATATCTAATAATGTACCTGGTATTAATGATGAGGTGGAAATTGGGTAGTTAGTTTTCGAGAGAAACAAATAAAGTACACATTTTTTCGTCAAATGAACAAATTGTGAAGGACCGACGTTTACAAGTTAGAAATACTTTGATGTTTAAGTCAATAAAAATATGAAATTAAGAAAATAAAATTACAAGGAAAGAAGTACGTATTTTTGACTTTGAGCTAATCCGCTATTTACAGGGATTTGTACCATTCTCTTAGGTTTTTATTCATCGTTGTACAAGGTGACACACCTGTTTTTTAGTTAATTTTTTTCTTAATTCATGTTGGAATCTTTTCAGACTTCATTTCTCGCTCAGCTATTCTTTAAGTCACATATTTATAATGTGTACTTAAAATTAACATAATTTTTTTATTGGCCGCCTAGCATCGCTTCTTATTATTCATGATAGTGTAGCTATCTTTTTGTTTGCTCTTAGTCTTTATCAATGCCTAGGCCTCCTATCAACCACATTAGTTTGTAGGAATAACTTAACTGTCTCTTCTTGTTTCGATAAGACTTGATTACTAAAGATGAAGTTAAACGCATATCAAATTTTTTAGTTGCATAGTACATCTTTCTAAGCATAGTTGATCAAACCTTTATCACACTTGTTCAAAAAATTGAAAAAAAAAAACTTTATTTACCAGATCGAGCTTTTTTCTACGGAGGCATGATAGAGTCATTTCAAACAAACCTTTTTTAACGCTCATTAAGTATCACATGTCTAAGTTTAATTGTCAAATCATGAATCATAAGCATTTTTAAAATGGACAAGTTCGATCCGGCTAACAGCCCCCTAGAGGCAAATGGCAATGAGATGAATCCGCCAAACGCCATGAAAAGAGTAAATTTAATTATTAAACATTTGGCACGCAACCGAGAGAGTGCGATTACATATGACAGCAAGACGACTTCACATCTTTTGTCATTTTTTTTTTAGTTCAAGTTAATTTATTCATATTTTGACAATTTTTTTTTTTCGATTTGATCAAAAACAGACTCTAAAAAATTGTGATTTTTTCGATTTTTTCGATTTTTTTTTGTGACCCGACTCTAAAAAATTGTCAAAATTTAAATTCGGATCATCTTGATTTGACCCAAATCTTTTGTCAAATGTAACCCAAGATTGCGAAAGGAAAACTTGTTCATTATTATGGCTAGCTGTTTCAAGAATTATCGGACCAGAGATTCTTGTGAACAAATTGTTACCTAAAGTCAATGGTTCTACAAATTAGGTCAAGTAACAAATTGTTACTTTTAATTGTCATTTAAATTTATATTAGATACGTTTAATGAGAATTTTTAATTTCAATAAAATATATACCACTTTTCATATAAAATTTATAATATTTTTAAAATTTATTGTTTTTAATAATATTTATTTTAATTGATCTCAGAATTTATTTCTAAAAAATATATTAAATTAATATAAGAAAAGAGATTTAAATACAAAAATATAACAAACTAAATTATTTTGACATATCGATCGGAGTATATTGAGGTGAAGATGTTAAATGCTATATATCAAATTGCTACATAAATTTTCAAATTTAAATTTGACATCTCCATTGGAGAACATCTCTAATGATACTCTCTAATGTCAATCATCATCTTGTTTGAAACAAAAAAACATATTTGATAAAATTTTAGAATGAACAGTGATATTTTTTAGACAATTCTAATGCACTCTCTATTTTAATAAGAAGGTAGTCTTGTAGTCAATTGTATTTAATTAAAAATAAATATTTTTATAACCTTTTCATTTATTAAAATTAGAATAGAGAATGGGGTGGACTTTTTATTTTAACTATTAGACCTTGATTTTTGGTATTTGACTTTCTAAAATAAAGAATTGAATGCGAATATAAACTATTAAAAAATACTCTAGATTAGACACGAAACCCACTCAATTATGCACGATTATAAAGAAATTAGTTATAAGTTCAACAAATTTGAATTTTGACATAATTTAAACACCATAAAAACTCAAACACAGACCAAAACATTGAGGGCATACTTGTATGTTTATGTTTTTGGGATTGGATTGTATTTATGAAACCTACTCATAGCTGGCCCCAAAGATCGGTACATGAGATCCAACACAAATTCTATCCAATTTTATNTTGAGGGCATACTTGTATGTTTATGTTTTTGGGATTGGATTGTATTTATGAAACCTTCTCATAGCTAGCCCCAAAGATCGGTACATGAGATCCAACACAAATTCTATCCAATTTTATGTTTGGTTTGTCATATAAATACATGTAGAGTCCATTGATTTATGTCAAATAATATTATTTAATGTTATAATGACCAAGATTTTTTTATCAAGTTTGTCGTCCTAAGTGATGTGACATACNTTGTCATATAAATACATGTAGAGTCCATTGATTTATGTCAAATAATATTATTTAATGTTATAATGACCAAGATTTTTTTATCAAGTTTGTCATCCTAAGTGATGTGACATACTCTCTCTCCGATTTTAAATATTTATCATTTTACATAATTTTTTTTGTTCCATAATATCTGTTGTTTAATGACACAAAAACATAATTAATATTTTTTTTTTAAATTTATCCTTAACTTTTCAATGTATTAGATTAGATGGAATTTAAGTATCTTTCATATTCCTTTATTTCCTAATACGTATTGAATAATGGTATTTTAGTCTTGTGCAATTATTTTTTATTCATATTAGATCTATTTAATACTCCCTCCGTTCCTAATATCTGTCGTTTAGGTTTTNACTCTCTCTCCGATTTTAAATATTTATCATTTTACATAATTTTTTTTGTTCCATAATATCTGTTGTTTAATGACACAAAAACATAATTAATATTTTTTTTTAAAAATTTATCCTTAACTTTTCAATGTATTAGATTAGATGGAGTTTAAGTACCTTTCATATTCCTTTCCTTCCTTATACGTATTGAATAATGATATTTTAGTCTTGTGCAATTATTTTTTATTCATATTAGATCTATTTAATACTCCCTCCGTTCCTAATATCTGTCGTTTAGGTTTTTGCACAGGAATTAAGGAAACTATTAAATAACTCTAATATAAGTAAAAAATAATTGCATAAGACTAAAATACCCTTATTCAATACGTATTGAGAAGAAAAAAAAATACGAAAGACACTTAATTTTGATAACTATAACAGTATTTGATACTCACCAATTTTCCATAACCAGAAAACTTACCCCCNATTTTAGTCTTGTGCAATTATTTTTTATTCATATTAGATCTATTTAATACTCCCTCCGTTCCTAATATCTGTCGTTTAGGTTTTTGTACAGGAATTAAGGAAGCTATTAAATAACTCTAATATAAGTAAAAAATAATTGCATAAAACTAAAATACCCTTATTCAATACGTATTGAGAAGAAAAAAAATACGAAAGACACTTAATTTTGATAACTATAACATTATTTGATACTCACCAATTTTCCATAACCAGAAAACTTACCCCCCACTCCACTCCACTCCACTCCACCCCACCAATGAGTTTCATTTTTGTTGATCATAGATCGATCAATGAGTTTCGTCAAACTCCCATTTATAGGTTTCGATCTATTATTTATCATGGATCGAGATTTATTTACCTTATAAATCTTGAACCTTAAACCAAACATGAATTTAAAAAATATATTAATAGATTTTCACAAAACTGATCCTTTTAATACGATCCAAATCATGCCAATCTGATTCCTGGACCTCATTAGTCAAAATGCTACTCACACCCCCAAACTTCACAACTTCCTGTTACTTCAACCCCACTCTACTCTAGTCAATCCCGTTTTGTTTACCCAAACCACACGCTCCTCCTCTCTTTCTTCCTTTTTAGGTCTCAAATAATTGTCAGTAGACCCAAAAAAAACCACACCCACCCACCATATCACCACCACCGTCTGTCCGTCACTACCACCACCTTCCTCCACCAGTTGGCCAACCAAAAAAGAGGTCCATTGATTGGTGATGGACCCAAAATTAGCAGNCAAACATGAATTTAAAAAATATATTAATAGATTTTCACAAAACTGATCCTTTTAATCCGATCCAAATCATGCCAATCTGATTCCTGGACCTCATTCAATTCCATTTAGTCAAAATGCTACTCACACCCCCAAACTTCACAACTTCCTGTTTCTTCAACCCCACTCTACTCTAGTCAATCCCGTTTTGTTTACCCAAACCACACGCTCCTCCTCTATTTCTTCCTTTTTAGGTCTCAAATAATTGTCAGTAGACCCAAAAAAAACCACACCCACCCACCATATCACCACCACCTTCCTCCACCAGTTGGCCAACCAAAAAAGAGGTCCATTGATTGGTGATGGACCCAAAATTAGCCGGTAAGCCCATTACGGCCCCGTATTTAACCGGCCGGACAGACCTCGACCATATGCTGGAAACACCAAACCGCCGGGCCCACCACCGCCGGGCCCAGTCGGAGACCTTCTTCCGCTTCCCTGACGTCGACGACTTACTGTTGGAGGATATGATCACCGATTTCAATCTCGATCTTCCTGACACAGATAGTCCCATGGTGACCGNCACCTTCCTCCACCAGTTGGCCAACCAAAAAAGAGGTCCATTGATTGGTGATGGACCCAAAATTAGCCGGTAAGCCCATTACGGCCCCGTATTTAACCGGCCGGACAGACCTCGACCATATGCTGGAAACACCAAACCGCCGGGCCCACCACCGCCGGGCCCAGTCGGAGACCTTCTTCCGCTTCCCTGACGTCGACGACTTACTGTTGGAGGACATGATCACCGATTTCAATCTCGATCTTCCTGACACAGATAGTCCCATGGTGACAGTTGATTCAAGCAAGTCAGTAGACTCAGCCAACGGCCCTGATAAGCCCAGCAAGCCAGTGGGGCCCGTCGCCCATTGTCGGAGTCTCTCACTTGATGCTGACTTTTTTGAGAGTCTAGGGCTTACTTACTCTGGCACCGCCGTGGATGGCGGAGATGGCGAGAAGAATCCGGCGGCGGAAAGGAGAACAGTGGGTGGTGATCATCACAGGCATAGCAATTCGATGGATGGGTCTGTAATGGCGTCGTTCGAGATTGATAGTGCTAAGAAGGCTATGGGAGCTGAGAGACTTGCTGAGCTTGCTTTGATTGATCCCAAGAGAGCTAAAAGGTTTGAACAATTTAGCTTATTGGCTGTCTATTTTTATTTTTTAATATGCTTATGAATAAGCTTTTGAATATGTTCTTGACATAGAATTTAGGTAGTCTGGACTATTGTTGGCGTCAAATGGTTTTAAAAGGAATTTTTTTGATATTTTGCACTTGTAATTATATTTATTCTGTGCTTTGAATGAAGGGCATTGGATTGATTGCGGAACAAAACGAACATATTTGAATCATTCTTGGGTTTTTGATTCTTGAGTCTTTCTTTGGTTTCTGAGAAAGGCAAGAGAAATGGAAGAAAATATGATTTTGGGTCTCTTGGTATTTTTGGTGACCAATTTTAGATAATGGAAATACAGCATTGAACTTTGGTTGAATGATACTCTTGGCTTAGCTAAGTCAGTGATCCATTTGCAAGGTGAAGAAGTAAATAAAACATGAGTAATGCTATTGGGACGACCTAATTTGCTGACCTAAATATGGGGTAGCTGACATTGACCAATAGCATTATCGCAACTTTAACTCTTGAATTTCTTCATTAGAACCATATTACTTTGACTATCACTAAGTTGACAGATTAAATCATTTTCAGGTCCAAAAAGTATTACTCATAAAACATTATCAAACATTTGATTTACTTAGTTTTCACAGTACTTAAATGGTTGTTGTCCTTAATTTTTTTCAATGCTTTTATTAAATAGTGGATTGTCATTTTCATGATTTTTTATTCTCTACTGAGATTTCTTTTTCAGTCTCAACATATGTTTTCTTAAGTTCAATTTAGTTTCCTAAAAGTATTTGTGGAACTTATGAACTGACGAAATACTTGATTTTTTATACAATTGTTTTAGAGTTCTTGCAAATAGACAATCTGCAGCACGTTCTAAGGAACGGAAAATCCGATACACCGGTGAGCTGGAGAGGAAAGTGCAGACTCTTCAGACAGAAGCAACCACCCTATCTGCCCAGGTCACAATATTGCAGGTATAAACTGCATTAATGTTTTTGGTATTTTAAGGACTTTAATATGAATCGGTTAGAACCTGACCTTTTTATTAATTCAGTGTTAAACATGTTCCATCATGGTGATTTATTAATTCAAGACTGTAGTCTTGAAGTACAATGACTAAATTCTTGAGCACTGTAGAAAAATGAGCTAGCCTGCATGTCTTCATGCCTGTGAAAAATGCTCTAAATGAGGGACATTAGATTTGTATGGTTCTCTTCCTCTTGCAATTAAGTGTTGTAGTTGCACAAGTTGAATCAGCATGAGGTTTGTTGGAAAGAAATGTGTCACAGTTATTTTACTAGCACCATTTTTCCATGTTTCATTGATATAACGGATTTGTAATGCAAGTGGTTATGTAGATTGGATGGACATCTCCTTTTTTGCTTTACTCTGTCTTGTTACTATGTGCATATGACATTGCATCTTTTAGAGCCTTCATGGTAATTTTCTAGACTCCAGTTGATGTATGTTCTGCACCAATGCCTTGAATCCATCAAAATTTTAGCTGTCAAGAGAAGAGGAACTCCTGATTTTAAGTCCTACTAACTAAGAATTATGGGAAAAATCCATTAAACATGCTGGTGTTCATAAATTGTCACAATGTCATATCAATCTAGTTTGGGGTGCCCTTTTCACATATTATCCTGTTACTAGTCCTCCCTCAGCTGAGTTCCATTGAGCATGACTGCTTGAGTTTCAACTTCCACTGATGTCTGCGTACTTATTCCACTTCTGGAGATGCTAGGTTTATGTTTAAGTGAAAATCAAATCTAGCTTTACATGTACTTCAAATTTTGGCTGCAAACCATAAATCATCACAAACCCAACTAACTATATATTGTGAAGGTCATCACTTCATTTTGCTGTATATATTCAGATCATAGTATGATGACCTGTTTTGTTTACACTTACATGGTGTTGGATATGAGATTTTAGAGACATGCTCCAATGCTATGTTTTATATTTTGTAGCTCCTTCACACTTTTAAGAGGCAGATGTGATGGCAATGCTGATATTACATCAGAGCTTGGTCGTTACTTCTTTTCATTTCCCCCTGCATTTTCCACTGTGATTGATGCATGACTTTCTCCTAGCAGATACATTCCCTGCCAACAAGGTTTCCTTTACATTTCCATTTTGACGCAAAAATGCATCATGTGCCTTAGTTATGTCAGCACATGATGTCAATTGTGGCACAATTTGACATGTGACTGATTCTTCCATGTAATTCTACTTCATATGTACTGGCTTTCTACAATTTACTCCAAATTATGGTCTTCTGGTATACGTATGACTTCATTCCTGTCTTCTACACACATTTTTACTGAGTTTGCTGATCTTACTTATCCAAGGAAATTTTTTTCCTAGAGTTTAAGGATTCAATTATGGATCACATAAATACATGAGTTTACAAACATGATTTAAAGTATGGTTGGGCTTTTGTCCTCCTTGTTGTGATATTGGTGTGAGCTTACCTACGAAATGCAATAAAATAGCAAATATAAATACAAATTATGAAACAAATGAGACATGAGACTCATATTTTGATTGTTGCAATACAGAGAGACAGTACTGGATTGACTGCTGAGAACAAGGAGCTCAAACTGCGGTTAGAAGCGATGGAACAACAAGCACATCTTCGAGATGGTATGTGTGGATGCTGGAATTTGTATGCTAATTTCATTGAGGTCATTTGGGGCCTACACGTGAACAAAGTGATTAGCTATTTTGCTGTGGGGCTCTGTATCGATCAATGGGTTGGCTATTGGATGCCTTCAATGGGATCCTTCTGTCAGGGCACAGGTCTTGGGTGCCACCAAGACTCTACCCTTTTGCACAGCCACCTAAAAAAAAAAGAAAGAAAGAAGAAATCTTTTTTTCTTTTTTTTTTCCATTTTTCCGTTTGGCTCATGTAAAGTAACATATGACGTCTTTGCAAAGAGTATTGTAAGAGTCACTTTAGAATTTAGCCATTGGAAATGAAATAAAATTGTTTAGACTGATCTTATTGAAAAGTTTAATAGAATAGGTAATTTGATTCATGCTTCCTGTGGCTTGCAGCTCTGAATGAAACACTGAGAGAAGAAGTACAGCGGCTTAAGATAGCAGCCGGGCAAATGACAGCTATCAATGGAAACAACTTTAACAGAGCACTGCCTCCTCAGTTTTCCTCCCACCAACAGGCCTTCCATCATTTTGGTAACCCACACACGCAGCAATCCCAACAGCAACAGCAGCTTCACGTGCCTCGTTCAAACTCTGACAACCAGACTCTTTCTGGAGAGCCCCCACCTTGCTTCGCGGGCTTCAATCACAGGGCTTGATAACGTTCCAGGGACTGCATTGCAAATAATTTATTAGTGATGGGAATCAGAAGGTAAACCATTCAAGGTGGCATGCTGTATATATATAGGTATGTATATTTGTTGCTCGTAAAGGTTGTGAAGAGTGGTGCTCAGATCAGTCCTTTGTGTGATGTATACTAGCTATATTACTCTTAGGGTAAAAATGATGCCTGTCGAGCACTTTGATCTTAGTGAACTCATGGATCAATAGTAATGGCTATTGTAACTTATTCTCAACTTTTAGCTGGTGCTTGATACATGTAATTATTTCATGTTTCATTAGAATGACGTTTGTGCATACAGATGGATCATTACATTATATCATCTGTGTCATTATATGGTAAATTTCAAGTTTATTGGTGGTTCACTTTTGAGGGATGAGATTCAAATGCAATTATGGGTTGACTTAACTGGATCAGATCAGATGTAATGTGGAACGTCATAGCTAAGCTGTGTGGCAAAGTTGAAACAGCTTCAGAGCATAACATGTTCGCAATATTCTGTACAAAGGAGTTATTTTAATTACAGTATTTGCAATGTGTTGTGGATGCAAATGTGAAGTCTCAGTGTGATGGGGCTTTGGATCTTCTCTGTTATCTGTTTGTTCATTTTGAAATTGTTTATCTGCTGAAATGGTTTACATGAAGGAAGAAGAAAGTGTATAGTTTTACATGAAGGAAGAAGAAGATGGAGGGCCTCAGGTTGGTTTCAGGTACTGTGTACTGGGTAATCTAAGAGAATTGAACTCATTACTCTGTTAATTGAATTCCCAACTTTTGGAGTCCTCATAATTTCTGTAGTGGGCACCCTTAATTATGTTTAAGTTATTTGGCTTCTCAAATTGTAAATTATATACCCCTTGAGGTGGTGGTCTAGTACTAAGTCATACTCGTCTAACGTTTTCATTGACTCTCATATGGTTCAAACAGAGTTTAATTCACGGGAGTAACGTGATTTATTGCTTGGTTTTGATAGTATTGTAGTGACAGACTATTTTTTCGGGTTAGTAGTTATGGTTCAAATTAGATATTTCATTGAGGAGAGACTCTCAGGGTTACGTCCAAGAACATTATTAATTTATTACGTGGTTGTACCTCCCTCTTTTTGGATTTTAAAAAAAAAAACAAAACTTGTAAATTGTATAACAGGGGTGGGGGTTGGAGCTTGGCAAGCATGCTGCCTCGTTAGAAGTTCTCCCATGGAAATTCAAATTTTTACCCAAATTTGAGTACAAAAAGTAAAAAAATTGATTTGGTATAGATCTATCCAATGTTTTCACCATCGATGTGGCACGCTGGCTTTCGCCGTATAGGAAGAAAGAACAAGGAGATGACCCTTTCTAATGTGGCACGCTGGCTTTCGCCGTATAGGAAGAAAGAACAAGGAGATGACCCTTTCTAAGAAATGGACTAGAGGGATGTTAAAACCTATTTTAGAACACTAAACAATGTTGAGGAATTGTCGATCATCACTAGTAAGCTCATATGGTTTCAAAAAATAATAAACCAGTCACTGTACTATAAGCTGCCAAGATATGCCATTTACAAGGAGACAGAAGAATATACCCGAGAAATCAACGATGTGGAGTTTTTGAAGGATCAGATGTACAGAATTTTATCTTGTATATATGTAGATAGACTATTTCTGCGACTCAAACCGGATCACAGTGTAGCAAGCAATCTCAATACCCTTTGACCTCTAGCATCGTGTGTTAGTTCAGAGAGGCAATGGAGCTAACCATGTTGATGATCATGGCGCTAATGTCGGCCTTTGTACTTTCAGCCTTGTTCTTGATGCCTGCTTGGGCTTCTCCACAGCCAATGGATGGAATTCCGGGAAGCCTGGGGTGGCCGTTTGTCGGAGAGAGTTTCTCCTTCATATCAGAGTTTTCAAGTGCTGCTGGTATTTACAGCTTCATCGAGAAGAGACATCAGAGGTAATCGATCAAAAGTATCAATGCAAAAACCCGAAATGATATAAGAGTTTGCTTTAATTTTTCTATGTTGTGATATAATGTATCTTATGTATGGAAAGGTGTTCAAGAGTTGTGTTCTGGGGAAATTTATAGTTCATGACTGGGAGAGAAGCAGCAAAGATTTTACTAACAGGCAAAGATGGAATGGTGAGCTTGAACCTCTTCTATAGTGGGAAGCAGGTGCTTGGCCCCACTAGCTTGCTCGAACAGGCTGGAGAAGGACACAAGCATCTCAGGCGGTTGATCGCCTAGCCCCTCTCAATAGTTGGCCTGAAAAAATATTTCCAGTTCATAAACACTTTGGCCATTGAAACATTAGATCAGTGGCCCAGACGAACAATCTTGATTCTTGAAGAGGCTTCCACAGTTGAGTTTTTCATCATTCAATATAACATAGCATAGTTTATGGTTTTACTCCATTATAACTTGGGTGCTAAGGGTTCAAGTCACAGAAACACAGGTTAAAGTTGAATACAGACGGCGAGCAAGAGCCTCATGCACTATAGTGCAATTTTTTTTTCTTCATGGTTTGTAGTCTTAAATTGCCTCTTGATATATGATTGAAGCTATTGAATTTTGCAGTTCACACTTAAGGTGATACATGATCATGAGCTTAGAGCCTTCCGGGGAGGAGCAAGAAAAAGTCCAAGCCAATTTCAAAATAACTTCTTCCTCATTTGCATCTTTGCCTCTGAATATCCCGGGAACTGCTCTTCAACAAGTCAATATCCCGGGAACTGCAACTTGAACTTATATTCAAAGGGAATGCTTTTGGAAATGGCACTGAGATGGTATTGTTGCATCAAATCAGGCACGCGATCAGATGTACAACATGTTTGATACAATAATCTCTAATAGAAGGAATGGAGAAAGCTTCCGACAAGACTTCTTAGAATCCCTGATAAGAAGCACAGTAAAGATGACTCAGAAGGAGACGATGATAAACTTACAGATACACAATTAAAGGACAACATACTAACCCTGTTAGTTGCTGGTCATGATACCACAACTGCTGCTCTAACATGGCTCATCAAATTCCTTGATGAAAAGCCTGCTGTATTGGAACGTCTCAGAGTAATGTTCAAATTATAGTATAACGGTGCTTGNCAAGACTTCTTAGAATCCCTGATAAGAAGCACAGTAAAGATGACTCAGAAGGAGACGATGATAAACTTACAGATACACAATTAAAGGACAACATACTAACCCTCTTAGTTGCTGGTCATGACACCACAACTGCTGCTCTAACATGGCTCATCAAATTCCTTGATGAAAACCCTGCTGTATTGGAACGTCTCAGAGTAATGTTCAAATTATAGTATAACGGTGCTTGCATTTATTCAAGAATCGGAGCGACAAAGAGTTAGATTATATTTTAGCATCAGTGAAAAATTTTGGTGAAGACTGTGAATGGTAATCTAATAATCAAAATGCAGGAGGAACACGGAGAGATTCTAGGAACGAGAAAGAATAGATCATGTCTCAGCTGGTCTGAACTCAACAACATGCCTTACACCAGCAAAGTTAGCTGCACCCTGATAAAATTTTGTTTATCATACCAACAAACACATCTATGTACTAGAAATTCAGCTAATCGAGAATTCGTGTCATTTTTCAGGTGATCAATGAAACTCTTTGACGAGCCACAATCCTACCATGGTTTTCAAGAAAAGCAGCACAGGACTTCGAGATAGATGTTATGAGTCCACCACAACTATCACAGCCAGCACTGATATTTCCTGCTATATACATGAAATTTTGAAACTACAAATTACACTCCTTTGAAATCTTTCAGGATACAAAATAAGAAAAGGATGGTCAATCAACTGGGATGTAGTGTGTATTCACCATGACCCGGAAATTTTTCCTGATCCCCAGAAGTTTGATCCCTCTAGATTTGATGTAAGCTTTCTCCAAATTCATCACTAAATCCATTCTTTTCTTTTCTTTAATTTCCATGATGAGGGGGTGATTTCATGGATTTACTGTAGGAGCCCATGAAGCCATTCAGCTTCCTAGGGTTCGGAAACGGACCGCGAATGTGTCCTGGAATCAACCTGGCTAAGCTGGAAATTTCTGTTTTCATTCATCATCTTGTCTGCAAATACAAGTAAGTTGTGTGTTTTTTTGAATCTAACTGAAAAAGGCCTTAACAAAGTGGGGAAGAATGAACAAGCTGGGGCTTCCTCCTACTAGCCTCGCATATATAGCAAACGAAATACTACCTGGCAAGGAGATCTTGCCAATCCAATTACCAACTATTAGATTATAACACTGTCATACAAAAAAAAAATGTTTAGAAACTTCAAACTAATACATTGAAGTTAAAAGAATCATCGTTGAAGGTTGTTGTATAAGCCATTGAGTTGGGGGTACTGAGACGCATCAGTCATGATATCGCGAAACGACATCGGACAGATAAGCGCAAAATACTACATAGAAGAAGAAAAAATTGAAAATGGCAAGAGGTTGACGTTATATTGAAATGTCGTGGAACGATGCCGGTCGATCCGGTGATTCGGACAATTCTAGCTAACTCGGTGTTGTCTCTGATGACTCAATCGAATTGCGTGACATTCGTAGCGAGAACGTGAAATAGTATCGAATAAAAAGGTGCAGAGTCAATCAATTTGTATTGATATTGCCAATATTTTGAACCATGAAAAGAATTAGGGCCACATTGCTTAGACTGCCCAATTTTTATGAAATTACACTTTCTATTTGACATTGTGGCCTCCATTGCAGCTGGAGACCTTTGGAGAAAGATGACTCTGTCCACCCAACACTAATCAGAATGCAAAAGAACAAGTACCCAACCATGGTTGAGCAGCTTTAAACTATTTCTTTTTGAGAAGTACCAAAGCATATGTATAAGAAATAAAGCATATTCAGAGTGATGGGAAGAAGATTGTAAAACTATGAGTAATTCTATTTAGATTTAAAAAACTACTGTACAGAGATTACACACAAAAAAATCCACCAAGTAATGCAATATTTTTCATTAACATTACCAAATTCAACAAGCTGTAAATCAGATGTCCTGTATTTAAAGACAATTTATTGAGATCAGATCATAAGTGATTTATTAGTACCAATGTGAATAATCTGTCTTTAATTGGACCAAAAAACGATTAATCGAAATACGCGTAAATTGGTTATCACGCCTGACCATTGAAACAAAAAAATAAAATAAAAACATTATCTGCTGCAACATAACTATCATGAAGGTGACGAAATGTTGAATTCCTTTAAAGTGATAGAGCAATGAAGTTATAGTCTGAATGAATCACAAGCTGAACGTCAACTTGTTAAAATAAATTAAGAACTTGCATGAATTTCAAGAAATCGAGCCATGAAGTGTACAACGAAATAGGCTTGGGGACCTAGCAGTAGCTCTGTTAATGGATTGAATTGTGATATGAATTTAATTAGTCGGACATGAATTGATATTTTTTATTGATTATCTGGGCCTAAATTCAAAATCGATATATTATATATCACGGATTCAGATTTGAATATATCTATATCCGATCCAATTAGGATTTAATACAAAAATATTTATATATTTTTGTATAAATATCAAAAAAATTAAGTAATTATTTGAAGAAATTTAGATTTAATTTATTAAAATTTAGTTAAATTAAGCAATTCGGATCGTATCAAATTTTAATTTTTTAATAAATTCATATATGGACCTCAAAAATGCTGAGTTATTGGATCAAATTTTCAAAATCAAATTCGAATAAATCAAAATTCGATCTAAACCCAATCCGTTGACAAATCTGCCTAGCAACCTCCCTTCCCATACCATTCCTCTCCATTACAGTGACTCAAATGGAGGCCTCAATCACATCTAAATATTTAGGAAGTGGTAGAAGGGTGAATTTGTGTAAATACTAAGATGATTTAATTAGAACTGAAAAATGACACGGTAACACAATGTATGACCGCCAAGCAAGTGGGGTAGTTCAGTAAAATATTGGCCAAATTTTTTACTTTGAGATTAGAGGTTCGAATCTTAAAATTTACATTTGAGTTCAGTGGTTGACCATTACACTAATTTAGTTAGACTTATTTTTGAGAGGAATAACAGACGCGGTTAGAAACCTCATAATCTGATTATTGAGAGCCTATCAAGATAGTCTTTGGACGCTCTTTTTTGACCTCACCCCTTTTTAATCTATCGAAACACCTAATATGTGCAGATTTTAACGAACGTCCGGTCCCACTAACACTCTTGTCTTATGGAGATGAGTAAAACTACACATTAAAGTTAGAATAATATTATTTAAACCTAAAAAATTGACCTAATTTGCTAACGTAATGATGTAATTTCATAAGAATTATTGGATCAATACCAAGTTTCAATGTTGATGGGTCTACAATGAATTCAAAAATTACAGTGAATTAAGTCAGCAGATTATATCAATAAATTAGGTCTTAATAGCATTGCCCTTAAAGTTAATGCTATAAAAAAAATCTTATGGACCATTAATATCCTTTTAATAAGTTTGAGACAACATTACCACCAAAAAAAGTGTTTTGGCATATACATATAACAATTACTAAATAACTCTTTCTATCAATAGTGTTTTTGCAGCAATGGTTAGCTTTTTGGGAATATAGACATTTGAGAAGAAACATCATACATCATATATGTAAGCTAGCAATTTCAGTGTGCTAACCCAACATGTATGCTGTCAATTTCAGATACAACTCACAAACTCGACACAAAATCAAATACATTTTTGGTCAATTAGAACGTATTTTGAGTGATAATTATGTAAATATGTCAAACCCTCAAACGAATGAGTTAACACAAAACCAGTTAAACAAAATTTATACACGCTAAAAATCCAACTATATATGACTAGGCGGGTGTGAATTAAGCAAATTTCAATATGATACAACTCGCGCGATTTAAAAACACTNTACTAAGATGATTTAATTAGAACTGAAAAATGACACGGTAACACAATGTATGACCACCAAGCAAGTGGGGTAGTTCAGTAAAATATTGGCAAAATTTTTTACTTTGAGATTAGAGGTTCGAATCTTAAAATTTACATTTGAGTTCGGTGGTTGACCATTACACTAATTTAGTTAGACTTGTTTTCGAGAGGAATAACAGACGAAGTTAGAAACTTCATAATCTGATTATTGAGAGCCTATCAAGATAGTCTTTGGACGCTCTTTTTTGACCTCACCCCTTTTTTATCTATCGAAACACCTAATATGTGCAGATTTTAACGAACGTCTGNCTATCAAGATAGTCTTTGGACGCTCTTTTTTGACCTCACCCCTTTTTTATCTATCGAAACACCTAATATGTGCAGATTTTAACGAACGTCTGGTCCCACTAACACTCTTGTCTTATGGAGATGAGTAAAACTACACATTAAAGTTAGAATAATATTATTTAAACCTAAAAAATTAACCTAATTTGCTAACGTAATGATGTAGTTTCATAAGAATTATTGGATCAATACTAAGTTTCAATGTTGATGGAGTCTACAGTGAATCCAAAAATTACAGTGAATTAAGTCAGCAGATTATATCACTAAATTAGGTCTTAATAGCATTGCCCTTAAAGTTAATGCTATAAAAAAAAATCTTATGGACCATTAATATCCTTTTAATAAGTTTGAGACAACATTACCACCAAAAAAAGTGTTTTGGCATATACATATAACAATTACTAAATAACTCTTTCTATCAATAGTGTTTTTGCAGCAATGGTTAGCTTTTTGGGAATATAGACATTTGAGAAGAAACATCATACATCATATATGTAAGCTAGCAATTTCAGTGTGCTAACCCAACATGTATGCTGTCAATTTCAGATACAACTCACAAACTCGACACAAAATCAAATACATTTTTGGTCAATTAGAACGTATTTCGAGTGATAATTATGTAAATATGTCAAACCCTCAAATGAATGAGTTAACACAAAACCAGTTAAACAAAATTTATACACGCTAAAAATCCAACTATATATGACTAGTCGGGTGTGAATTAAGCAAATTTCAATATGATACAACTCGCGCGATTTAAAAACACTAACCCTATGTAACATAACCNCGGGTGTGAATTAAGCAAATTTCAATATGATACAACTCGCGCGATTTAAAAACACTAACCCTATGTAACATAACCCATTAACAGAGAAATTTTTGAGACCCATTAACAACCTACATACAACACATTTTCATTCCTTCTACATATTGCTGATCCAAAGGTTGTCTGCATATCATACCCACAATTGTGATGTCTCTATCCCCATCCTACACACACTGCACAGAGAGTATTCAGTAAACTGGATACTATGTGACAAGGTAAGAGTTCCCCATTGCTCTAACAACAGGGCAATATCACAGAACCACAACCCCTTTATAAGAAAACAACCATTCCTAATGGCACGGTACTTGTCATAACCTTGCTGCTTCTCTTAATATCATTTCCAACTTAGGACTATTGAAGGCCACACCTATATATTTAACAAAATGTAGAGGCACAGTAAAACCAAATCCACCACACAAACAGATTATTCATACCCATCAATGGAAAAGGTTCCACATTTTATAAATGCAAATCAATGCACAGTTAACACATAAAAAATTGACCACTCACAATGTCTGAATTCCAGAAACCAATTAACATCAAATAAATTCCATTCAACATCAATAATACCACCAAATAGAGAAAGTTTACATTAATAATCAATGAGCGATATGTAAATGCCTTAAATTTTTCTGGAAAATCATAGGAACTTCAGGGACTGCTACATTGGATGAAGCAAAATTTCACAGATATAATAGAGTACGTTTCATATAATTATAAGAAAATTTTGACAGTTCAGAAAACAAAAATTTTGATGTTAAACATGAACCTAATCTTAAGGGTTAAATGAAAGTCGAAAATGGAAACTCGCCTTGTCTGAGTCTAGAAACTGTAGTTTCAGTGGTGAGTTTAAATGGTGAGAGCTCACAGTGGCTGTACAAGTCCAACAGACCAAGAGAGCTCAAAGTTGGGAAACATAAATTAGTACCAAAAGGTCCAAAACAAGGAAACATGAAAATAGGCAAACAGATGTCTATGTCATTTTCACAGTAGAACTCTGAAAGAGCACACCTGTATATGCTACAAAATCCAGAAGTATCAAGTATAACCAAAGCCGCCAAACAAACATATTATACAACTCCATACCAGTCTATAGATAACACATTACATTTTTCAAAGGCCAATCAAGACACATTGACATACAATAAAAAATTAACCACCCCCANATACCAGTCTATAGATAACACATTACATTTTTCAAAGGCCAATCAAGACACATTGACATACAATAAAAAATTAACCACCCCCAGTATACAAATTTCAGAAACTAATCACCTAATTAACCAAAATAAAATCCCATTCAACATCAATACTATCACCAAACAAAGCAATTTTACATCAATGATCATGAACAATAAATAAATGACAGAAAAACATCTAAAATAATAGGAAGTATAGGAACTGCTACATTCTATGGAGAAGATTTTGGAAAAAATAAAAAGGGCTTAGGGAATGCTACATAGAGAGAGCCNTATCACCAAACAAAGCAATTTTACATCAATGATCATGAACAATAAATAAATGACAGGAAAACATCTAAAATAATAGGAAGTATAGGAACTGCTACATTCTATGGAGAAGATTTTGGAAAAAATAAAGAGGGCTTAGGGAATGCTACATAGAGAGAGCCACACACACACACACAGAGCTAACTTGGTCACTCACAGGTTGGGTAGAGCATATTTCTGGTTATTAGTAGAAAATTTTGACAGTATGGAAAAGAATAATGTTAATGTAAAGCTAATCTTAACAGTTACATAAGAGTTCAAAAAATAAACTCACCTTGTCTAACACTGGTGATATTCAAGCGGNAGCTAACTTGGTCACTCACAGGTTGGGTAGAGCATATTTCTGGTTATTAGTAGAAATTTTGACAGTATGGAAAAGAATAATGTTAATGTAAAGCTAATCTTAAGAGTTACATAAGAGTTCAAAAAATAAACTCACCTTGTCTAACACTGGTGATATTCAAGCCGTAGAGGGGGAGCGAGAGAGAGACTGAGAGAGCGATTATGGACGTAGTGGCGAGTTTCAACGGGGACAGTGAGAGAGCTCACGTTGCCTGCAAAAGTCCAAGAGGCCGAGAGCGCTCAAGGTTAGGGTTAAGGGTTAGGGTTTCTATAGAGAGACAGAGAGAGCGTGTGTTCACAGTTACAACAGAACAATGAACGGCAGCACCTGGAGAGAGAGAGAGAGACTGAAGGGTGTATTGAACGAAGGGCGNCAAGAGGCCGAGAGCGCTCAAGGTTAGGGTTAAGGGTTAGGGTTTCTATAGAGAGACAGAGAGAGCGTGTGTTCACAGTTACAACAGAACAATGAACGGCAGCACCTGGAGAGAGAGAGAGAGAGAGACAGAAGGGTGTATTGAACGAAGGGCAGAGGTTTTTGAGTTAGAAAGGGCGGGGAACAACCACCGTTTTGCTTATATAGTAATGCCATTCATTAAATCCTACCATTTAATAGCGTATTATTTATGTTTTAAATATTAATTTATTTTTTTATAATTACGTAATTTAAAATTAAATTGAAGAGAGAAAAAATAAAAGAGAGATAAGAAAGACTGGTTGTTGTGGATTACTTTNCAACCACCGTTTTGCTTATATAGTAATGCCATTCATTAAATCCTACCATTTAATAGCGTATTATTTATGTTTTAAATATTAATTTATTTTTTTATAATTACGTAATTTAAAATTAAATTGAAGAGACAAAAAATAAAAGAGAGATAAGAAAGAGTGGTTGTTGTGGATTACTTTAGTTATTTGACAGTAGAGTGTGTTTTAGTTAAGTTAGTAGTGCAAAGAAAATTGACATTAATCTATCTATATATATAAAGTAAATATTTTTGGGTAAGAGAACACGAGAAACATTCCCTTCTCAAATGCTTAATTTATATATTTTTTTAAATATTTAATTAAATTCCTTCCAATTAAATTATTCTATATGAATTTTTTAACTACTCCTTAAATTTTTTATAACTACTCTTACTATCTTTTTAAATTAATTTTTTACTCATTTTTTCATTTTTTACACATTTAATAAATAATAATTTAATTCGTAAATATTTGGTAATACGAGAGAGTACAAAAAAAAGGCCANAATTTATATATTTTTTTAAATATTTAATTAAATTCCTTCCAATTAAATTATTCTATTTGAATTTTTTGACTACTCCTTAAATTTTTTATAACTACTCTTACTATCTTTTTAAATTAATTTTTTACTCATTTTTTACACATTTAATAAATAATAATTTAATTCGTAAATATTTGGTAATACGAGAGAGTACAAAAAAAAGGCCAAACAGGGTGATGACCGAAAGAAAAATTGGCATCGCAGGGATTTCACCGCTAGTATTTATAGGGAGAGGTTTTGATAAACCTTCGTCTTACTTTCTGTAATTTCTAAAAATTGTAAATTATAATTAAAAATTCACCAATCACTATTTATCATGTATTATTTTATTTGATTACCTATCTATTCTCCACTAACTAGCCACCTTTAATTTGAATTTNTATAGGGAGAGGTTTTGATAAACCTTCGTCTTACTTTCTGTAATTTCTAAAAATTGTAAATTATAATAAAAATTTCACCAATCACTATTTATCATGTATTATTTTATTTGATTACCTATCTATTCTCCACTAACTAGCCACCTTTAATTTGAATTTATAAATTATAATTATCACAATATGACTTTAAATAATTATTTATTATTTATCTAATTTCTAAGTTGTAGAGATAACCGAGACAAATTATGAACAATGAAGGTTGAAAAAAGAGACAACAGATTACATAATAGACAATTAATATTAAATAGATTTTTCAGTTCAAAAAAATATTAAATAGTGAGCAATACTATTATCATATAATTTATTAACTTAATTCACTATAATATTTGGATTAAATATGGATCCCATTAAACATTGGAATATGATGTTAATCGAATAGTTTTACTGAAGTCACAACAGTGGGTCAACAAATTAGGTCAAATTTTTAGGCTCAAATAATATTATTCTTAAATAATTTTAAATTAATTGAGTCTAAATAATCAATGAAGCGAATTTTAATTCAAANGTTTTATTGAAGTCACAACAGTGGGTCAACAAATTAGGTCAAATTTTTAGGCTCAAATAATATTATTCTTAAATAATTTTAAATTAATTGAGTCTAAATAATCAATGGAGCGAATTTTAATTCAAATATATATATATATATATATATATTTAGTTGACATAAATTGTATATACATATATAATTAGTTAGAATAAAATGATTAATTAATTAAATTAAGTTGAGAATTAACTTAAATTTAATAAAATTATTATTATTTTTATAAATNTAGTTAGAATAAAATGATTAATTAATTAAATTAAGTTGAGAATTAACTTAAATTTAGTAAAATTATTATTTTTTTTATAAATTTTTTTATTAGAATTCAAATTTTCAAATTAAATATCTAATTATTAACAAATGAGAATATAAATTAAAATTTTAAAATCGTCAAAACAAACACATCAAATTTAAAAGCTATGCTACAAAATCAAAACCAAATTTAAAAAGTTACACCACAAATATATATTATCATTTAAATGAGTGACTCTCATTAGTTTTTTCGATGGAGCCCACTTATTCTATACTCATTTAAAAAATAGTAATATATATTTGAGTTTTAAATTTTATTTGAATTGTATGGCATTTTCTCAAATTTAAAACCAAAATTTATTTATCGCATTCGCAAAATCCAATCCGTCGCCAGCGCTAGGTCTNTTAAAATCGTCAAAACAAACACATCAAATTTAAAAGCTATGCTACAAAATCAAAACGAAATTTAAAAAGTTACACCACAAATATATATTATCATTTAATTGAGTGAGTCTCATTAATTTTTTCAATGGAGTCCACTTATTCTATACTCATTTAAAAAATAGTAATATGTATTTGAGTTTTAAATTTTATTTGAATTATATGGTATTTTCTCAAATTTAAAACCAAAATTTATTTATCGCATTCGCAAAATCCAATCCGTCGCCAGCGCTAGGTCTATCCCGGAAGCTTTGCACGTTATGTAAACGCGCACGCACGGTTTTATATTTGAAGTACTGTCCCAAAGGTGACTACGCACCACCACGACACTCCCTCTTCCAAAACCCTTCCAAAACCCTAATTCGCCGATTAAACCTTAAAAAATTCGCCTATAGATCAGTCAAAGATTGCTTTGTTATCAACTTGATTATGTCGAAACAATCCAAGCTCTCGAAGCTCAATGTCTCGAATCCAAAGGTCTGGATCGTGATTGGAATCGGCATTGCCGGTGTTGTAATCCTGGCCGAGACTCAACGGCGAAGACTGAGAGCCAAACGCTTAATTAGAGAAGACTTTGGGGCATTCATAGAGCGATTTGAGTTGCTTCCATTTCATCAGCCCCCTCCTCCTGCCGCTCGACAGCCTCTCTCTGGCTTAGCATATGCCATTAGCGATAAGTTATTGTCTTCTAATTATCATATAAATGGAAGAACATGTATATGGTTATCTACATATATTTAACTTATTTGTGTGCGTGGTTTGGGTGTTTTGAGTCAAATTGTAATGCGCGCGCGTGTGTGGGTTATTTGGCGTACCGGGTTTGAGTTTCTGTGTGTGTTTTCGCAGTTTTGATGTGAAGGAGTATGTGAGTGGATTTGGGAATCCGCATTGGAAGAGGACGCATGAGACTGCTGAGAAGACGGCGGTGGTGGTGACGGCTTTGTTGAAGAATGGGGCTACCTGTGTTGGCAAGACTGTAATGGATGAACTGGGTTTCGGGTATGACCTCTTTCTCTTCCTCATTCTTATATATACTTGGATAGATTCAAGGATTCTGTTTGGTTATCTGAGAAATAAATGACGGTGGTAGTGGCAAAACTTCACTATGTGGAAAAATCACTTTTTTTTTTTGTTTATCATTGAAATCATGACAATGCAGGAAATTTGAAATAGGGAGATTGTCTCTCACTCAGTTTTCCATTGATTCTTTCTTTGTCTAGAAGACAGGAAGATACTGTTGAATATTTTGACTGGTTTTGTTGTGTTAAGTGTTTTGTTTAATTGCAATTTTAGGATAACTGGAGAGAATTTGCATTATGGAACGCCCACCAATCCACAGATGCCATCCCACATTCCTGGGGGCTCGTCTAGTGGTTCGGCTGTTGCTGTTGCATCAGAGCTAGTTGACTTTGCTCTTGGTATGGATTTTTCATTTTAAATGCTGTGAATTCCAATTGCACCATCTCAGTCAGTGTTCATGTAAGGTGATGATGTCATGTTGAGATCTATCCAATTTGCTTTGATGCTTTGATATATCAAGTAGAGTTGAATATTTTTGCGTTTGTTTGTTTGTTTGTTTCTTTTTCCTTTTTCTTTACTCTCTGTTTTTATCTTATTGATTGCTCATCATAATGAAGTATTTTGAGATTTTCTATGTCAACTTCCATATCTAGTGTTGTCACCAAACATTACAATGTTTACCACACATGCAACTCTTCTTCTATAAGTTGAGTACAGTCTTGATGGCTCTGTTGGCTTGTATTTTAACGAGTCTGAACTTTATCAATTTCTGGCAAAGATTATGCTTTTGCATTGTCTGTGGTTATGCTACCTTCAGTGTGAGGAAACTGTTAATAGTTTTTTTTATCCATGCATTGGCATCAGCAGATGCTTCCTTTTTTGACCAATTACCAGTGAAGCCAGTTTTTGTTTCAATGTCCTATTTTTACCTGATATGTAATTGTAGTGTTTTGTTGGTATTCTATCTATAGATTTATGGCTTGGATTAATTTAAGGTTGATTATATTGTAGGTACGGATACGGTTGGGTGTGTGAGGATCCCAGCATCATTCTGTGGTGTCATTGGATTCCGGCCATCTCATGGTCTTGTATCTACTATCGGAATTCTGCCAAATTCGCAAAGTTTGGATACTGTTGGTATGTAACAACGGATTGTTTCTACAAAATGGCTTAAAATAAAGATATATGTCTTATACCACATTTTATGCATCCTTTAGCCAAGCCTCATTTACGAACTGGTGATGGAAAATATAGATTCATGATTTTATGAATGAGCTTTACACCTGAGACTAACCAATGCAATGGTAATAGCTTGAACTGACCAACTAGTGTATTTAGCTCTTAAATGCTTGGTTACTTCAAGTAATTTTTGGATATGTAATTGCTTATACCAATATCAAAGTTTTTGGAATGCTTGAAACTTCCTTTTTGCTTTTCGTTTTTCTCCGTTTATGAGATTTTTTACTGGTTGATAATTTTTCACGGAAATTTCTATGTTTCTAGGATGGTTTGCTCGTGATCCGTCTATTCTACATAGAGTTGGACATGTTTTACTTCAACTAAAGTCAGTGGAACCAAGACTGACAAGGAAATTTATTGTAGCTGATGATCTATTTCAGCTGTCTAAGGTTCCCCAGCAGAAGACTGTACATGTTGTTAGTAGAGTGACTGAAAAATTATCTGGCTGTAAGTTGCATCTTCAACTTGTTTACTTGCCATGGTTTCCATTTCAGATATTTTGGTTCTGTTGATTGTAATGATTTGTTTTCTACAAGATTTTATTGGAGACTTGATGTGATGATATGTAGTGGGCCTAGTGGCCAAACATTAAATGAAGGAACAGGAAAAAATGAAATAAAAAGGTGGCACTAACGTGAGACTTTTTCTTTTTTTTGTTACATTAACTCTGCAGATGAGCCACCAAAGCATATCAGTTTTGGTCAGTATATTGCTTCAAATGTCCCCAGTCTAAAAAGCTTCGGTGAAGAATCAACGAACCTACGAAATGGAACCTCTTCTTTGAAAGCTCTTTCTTCTGTGATGTTTTTACTACAAAGGTATAGACTGTGAGTTGGAGATGTGGCAAATGATTATGATGGTGATTCTTGATATTTTTTTTGGAAAAAATTATAATGATAAGTTGAGTATTTTTTTGTGGAGGATTCAACTTTTTTGGGCTTATGGGATGTGGGGGTTCAGATTGAATAACGGTTTAATTTTAACTTCCAATGTATGTGTTTCCATACCTCATGAGGTCTTTCTTTTCCTCTCTCCCTGCTGTTGCATTTTTGAATTTGTCTAGTAATATTGCTATCTAATTGAGGCCTTTATTTCGCTTTGACCAACACATAATATCTCTTAATTGCTTTCCAGATATGAATTCAATACAAATCATGAAGAATGGGTTAAATCAGTCAAACCCAGGTTAGGACCTGATGTCTCTGATCGTGTTCTTGCAGCAATTAACACTACACACAAGAACATTAAAATCTTATACAAAGTCAGGACTGAAATGCGAGCTGCTCTTCAAGGTCTCTTAAAGGTACCTCCAAATCCTTTTTGGTAGTTGTTCTGAGTTTATGGACTATGCTTCTATGTCNTCTCTTAAAGGTACCTCCAAATCCTTTTTGGTAGTTGTTCTGAGTTTATGGACTATACTACTATGTCATGCTTGTTCTTTTGTTCCCACTGTTTTGCAATGAAGGTCCTTGTATAGCATGACTTGATAATTGTTCTTGCATGGTGGTCTCTTAAATGATTTGGATGTGATGTTATGCCACATATTCAAGCTCAGAAAGGAATTACTTATATGTATGTGGCTTATCATTTATCTAATCTAGAGCTATAGAGAGGCTAAAATGCCTCACACTTCCAATAACTGGAAACCTGAGCAGATTCCGGAAAACTAAAATAGTGAAGTTGAAAAATTTTTAGAGCCTGTTTGTGTTGTATGTCTTATTGGAATGGGTTGAAGCCAGTAGAACCCTTGTAAATAAAATGGCTAAATGATGAAAGATCAAAGAATAAATTAAAAAATGATAAGAGGAAAGGTAAAAACAATTCTTAATAATGAGGAGAAGAGGGTGAGNAACATTAAATGAAGGAACAGGAAAAAATGAAATAAAAAGGTGGCACTAACGTGAGACTTTTTCTTTTTTTTGTTACATTAACTCTGCAGATGAGCCACCAAAGCATATCAGTTTTGGTCAGNATTGAATGTCGCCTAAGAGTTGAGACTATAATGTCAAAAAATCAGTTTGAGTTTATGCCGAATAGATTAACTATGAAGGTTATATATTTATTGAGGATACTCATACAAAAGTATAGAGAGAGGAAGAAAAATCTCGGATCATATACAGATCTAGAAAGGTGTATGATAAAGTGCTTGAAAATATAATATGGAGGGTGCTTGAGAGAAAATGAATGACGAGTAGGTATATTGAGGTGATAAAAGACATGTATGACTACATTTAGGTATTATNGCTCTTTCTTCTGTGATGTTTTTACTACAAAGGTATAGACTGTGAGTTGGAGATGTGGCAAATGATTATGATGGTGATTCTTGATATTTTTTTTGGAAAAAATTATAATGATAAGTTGAGTATTTTTTTGTGGAGGATTCAACTTTTTTGGGCTTATGGGATGTGGGGGTTCAGATTGAATAACGGTTTAATTTTAACTTCCAATGTATGTGTTTCCATACCTCATGAGGTCTTTCTTTTCCTCTCTCCCTGCTGTTGCATTTTTGAATTTGTCTAGTAATATTGCTATCTAATTGAGGCCTTTATTTCGCTTTGACCAACACATAATATCTCTTAATTGCTTTCCAGATATGAATTCAATACAAATCATGAAGAATGGGTTAAATCAGTCAAACCCAGGTTAGGACCTGATGTCTCTGATCGTGTTCTTGCAGCAATTAACACTACACACAAGAACATTAAAATCTTATACAAAGTCAGGACTGAAATGCGAGCTGCTCTTCAAGGTCTCTTAAAGGTACCTCCAAATCCTTTTTGGTAGTTGTTCTGAGTTTATGGACTATGCTTCTATGTCATGCTTGTTCTTTTGTTCCCACTGTTTTGCAATGAAGGTCCTTGTATAGCATGACTTGATAATTGTTCTTGCATGGTGGTCTCTTAAATGATTTGGATGTGATGTTATGCCACATATTCAAGCTCAGAAAGGAATTACTTATATGTATGTGGCTTATCATTTATCTAATCTAGAGCTATAGAGAGGCTAAAATGCCTCACACTTCCAATAACTGGAAACCTGAGCAGATTCCGGAAAACTAAAATAGTGAAGTTGAAAAATTTTTAGAGCCTGTTTGTGTTGTATGTCTTATTGGAATGGGTTGAAGCCAGTAGAACCCTTGTAAATAAAATGGCTAAATGATGAAAGATCAAAGAATAAATTAAAAAATGATAAGAGGAAAGGTAAAAACAATTCTTAATAATGAGGAGAAGAGGGTGAGAAATAGAAATTAAAGAGAAATAATTTTTAATACTATTCAATAACTCAAGTCTACCTAAATATAATAAAATCAGCCTCTTTATATAGGGTTGGAAGTGCTTAGGGAATGAGGGGATGTCGTAGCTAACAAAATTATTCAATAGAATTATTGTTACTAGGNGGTGAGAAATAGAAATTAAAGAGAAATAATTTTTAATACTATTCAATAACTCAAGTCTACGTAAATATAATAAAATCAGCCTCTTTATATAGGGTTGGAAGTGCTTAGGGAATGAGGGGATGTCGTAGCTAACGAAATTATTCAATAGAATTATTGTTACTAGGAAAATGCTCGATGAATGGAGAAAGAGTATTTTAGTACCTATCTATAAAAATAAAGGAGATATTCAAAATTGTAATAATTATAGAAGGATAAAATTGATAAGTCATACAATTGAAGTATGGAAAAGGGTTATTGAATGTCGCCTAAGAGTTGAGACTATAATGTCAAAAAATCAGTTTGAGTTTATGCCGAATAGATTAACTATGAAGGTTATATATTTATTGAGGATACTCATACAAAAGTATAGAGAGAGGAAGAAAAATCTCGGATCATATACAGATCTAGAAAGGTGTATGATAAAGTGCTTGAAAATATAATATGGAGGGTGCTTGAGAGAAAATGAATGACGAGTAGGTATATTGAGGTGATAAAAGACATGTATGACTACATTTAGGTATTATGTGGGAGAAAGTAAAGAATTTTCAATCACGGTGAGATTACACCAAAGATTGATCCTAAGTTCATACCTATTTGCCCTAATTATGGATAAATTCACTAAGCACATTCAAGATGATGTCCCACGGTGTATGCTATTTGCAGATGAAACTCGAAGGGGATTAACAATAAACTAAAAATTTGGAGAGACACATTTGAGTTGAAAAGTTTAAAATAAATAAGAGTAAGACTGAATATATGGTATGCAATTTTAGTAATAGGAGGAATAGACATTGTGAAAAAGTTAAGATTGAAAATCAAGATATACCAATGACTAAACGATTTAGATATCTAGGATCGATCATTAAAAATGATGGAGAGATTGCAGATGATGTAATTCATAAAATCAAAGCCGGTTGGCTTAAGTGGAGAAAAGCGTCTAGCATACTATTTGATTAANAGTTTATGCCGAATAGATTAACTATGAAGGTTATATATTTATTGAGGATACTCATACAAAAGTATAGAGAGAGGAAGAAAAATCTCGGATCATAAACAGATCTAGAAAGGTGTATGATAAAGTGCTTGAAAATATAATATGGAGGGTGCTTGAGAGAAAATGAATGACGAGTATGTATATTGAGGTGATAAAAGACATGTACGACTACATTTAGGTATTCTGTGGGAGAAAGTAAAGAATTTTCAATCACGGTGAGATTACACCAAAGATTGATCCTAAGTTCATACCTATTTGCCCTAATTATGGATAAATTCACTAAGCACATTCAAGATGATGTCCCACGGTGTATGCTATTTGCAGATGAAACTCGAAGGGGATTAACAATAAACTAAAAATTTGGAGAGACACATTTGAGTTGAAAAGTTTAAAATAAATAAGAGTAAGACTGAATATATGGTATGCAATTTTAGTAATAGGAGGAATAGACATTGTGAAAAAGTTAAGATTGAAAATCAAGATATACCAATGAGTAAACGATTTAGATATCTAGGATCGATCATTAAAAATGATGGAGAGATTGGAGATGATGTAATTCATAAAATCAAGCCGGTTGGCTTAAGTGGAGAAAAGCGTCTAGCATACTATTTGATTAAAGGATACAAATAAAATTGAAAGGTTAAGTTTTACCAAACAACTATAAAGACATCAATGTTGTAAGAGATGAAATGTTTTGCAACTAGGAAACAATATAATGACAAAATGAGTGCAATGGAAATGAGGATGCTAAGGTAGATGTGTAAAAAAATTAGAAAGAATAGAAAATGAAATGATCGTATTAGAGAAATGGTAGGAATAGCTCCAATTGAGGATAAGTTAAAAGAGAATAGATTAAGATGGTTTGGTCATGTTCAACAGAGGCTGATAAAGGTACCGGTTCGAAAAAGTGATAGAATTTTTTTTAATGGTACTAGAAGTAGAAGTAAGCCTAAATTAACATTGAACGAAATAATAAGAAAAGATATGAAAATATTTAACTTAAATGAGTGTATATCGCATGATTGAAATGAATGGCNCATTGAACGAAATAATAAGAAAATATATGAAAATATTTAACTTAAATGAGTGTATATCGCATGATTGAAATGAATGGCGACTACGAACTCATATAGCTGACCCCAAATAATTGGGACATAAGGCTTGGTTTTGGTTGGTTGGGTTATACAGGGAACTCAAAACCCTGAAATCAGAGATTCCTAGTCAAACTCTACTCCTAAAAGATAAAAACAGAATAAAATCTAACTAAAAAAAAATTACAAAAATAAAGCTCTATCATTTATCCTATCCCTACTCGATCCTCATCATGAGAAGTTTCATTTTTTTTTTCCTTTTTCTTTTGACAAAGGAATCATAATCATTGATGTTTTTGTTCATTGTGAGTGTGGGGAGTGCCAAAAAACTCCAACCATACACTTGGGAGGTCTTATTTGAGATATTACATGTTATTAAAAATTTTCTGATCCCTGCTATCTATTATGAACTTCAGTTTACTTGAGTTTTACATATGATCTGGATTAGACGCTAAACATATCTTCTTGTCCCTCCAAAATAAAGTGAACTTGAAATATATGCTACAAAGAATATTCTAAAAGAAAAAATAGAACAAACGTTGTATATATGCAAAAATGTAGGGATACTATGATAAACATATAGAAAAAAATAGAGATGATTACAACTTGAGAAACTACCATCTTGGTATTGAAAAGGGTAGAAATTAGAGGTCAGTTGTTGAACTTGTGATACTTTGGAAAGAGGAAGAGAAGAATTGGAGTGATTTGATCTTAACTTTATGAGAAAGACGAGACAAAGGAAAGAGCAGGAAAGTTAAGGTTGTTGAATAAATAATTTTGACTATTCGGCATCCAACAAAAAAGTAGAGTTGTATGAAAATGGAAGACATATTTGACTATGATCACTTACAGGGAGAGAAGTGGACGAACCTAAGAGTTGTTTTCAACTTTCTACGAGAAACCAATGGATCTGTCATGAAAAAAGCTTACCGTAGCTTTTCTCCTGTGTCGAACTTCCTTGATAGACTGTTAAGTGAATGAAAAAAAATCATATATTAGATGAATCTTTTAAGTATTAATGCCATGAATATGGACGTGCAAGACGCCTAGACATATAAACTTAGTAACTTGGATTGATAAAATTGAAATTGGAATAGGGATCCTACTATCCTACATGATCCAAGTCTCGATCCATTAAGATTCTAAGAGAACTTTTTTGTGAAAACAACTTTTGAACCTGGTGGCGGTAAGGCTACGACCTTCCCAATACACCGTAGTGGTGGAGCTCATGCACTGGCTGTACACTTTCGCTAAGAGAACTCCTCATCGGTAGTTACCTGTTTGTAAAATTCATTATTATGCAAATAACACTTGAGTTCTAGTGCAGTAGACCTGTCAATGTCTAATCATCACATGTCATGACCATATAATATATAGGACATATGGTATCTAGTGAGTGCGCTGCCAAATGGGAGAACAGTCCATAGGCTTTGTAGGCATTTCAAAACTAATAATCCTTAGGGAGAAAGTCCTCAAGAACTAGGTTTGCAAAATTATTGATGCTTCATTTTTTATGGGAATATTTTTTCTCTTGCTGATGGTCATTTCAATTTTTTCTCCTCCAGATTCTTGTCCTGTTTGTCATTATAAACTGTGTTCCTTGCATAAATAAATGTTTGGTCAATTGGTCTGGTCTGGAACATTGTGGCATGTTCATTAGATAGCTAGGAGTTAGAGCTTGAAAAGAAGCATGGAGCTTTCTATTGGTCATAACTTACAAGCATGTGCCATGTTGCGAATATCTATATAATAAAACACATAAGAAGTTGAATTTTATCCCCTACACATTTTTCCTCCCAAAACCATCACATCACTCATTTCTATCACATGGTCAATTATTTAATATTTAATTAATTTTTAGTTTAACATAGTTTTTATTGTAGACATTATCCATATACGATAGTATACACATATTGAGAAAAATTTATCGAATTACGTATTTTGAGAAAAAAAGGAAAGAAAAAAAATTATTATTTAATATAGTGAAATCGATTTTTTTGGGGCTTAAATTTTATATTTTATCGTGCCTTCATGAACGGATTATAACTAGTAGGATAATATGATGGAAATAACACATTTCTTTGCTGGTTTGAGTGAAGTTGGACTATAATAAGAATTTTGGAGCGAAAGTCGAAGCACCAGGTTGAACTAGACATTTTGATAATTATTGGATTACGAAAGAAAAACTAAAATCAGTGATTAGCTAATCTGCAGAGCTTTGATAAACAGTTGCTTTTTGTGTATAAGATGAACCGCATAATAACAGGAGTCTCAAGTGCATGCTTTATTTGAAAAGAAAAAAGATGGCATGATAGGACTGGTTTGAATTCTACAGAGCTTTGAACTTGTGATTCAGTACGGTTAGCAGCTTTGAATTCGAGAGGGGCAGGGTTGGCATGCAATCATAGTAATTATTTTCAAAATTATTATGTAGAGTTCCCATGACTAATTTTGGAGATTTGAGGAGTTTTGTATTCACGGTTATTGGGTCCAAAGAGCATTTGAAGTTGTCCTGGTCCATTAAGTTACACGATTCTGGTGCAGACGATTCATGGAGATAACACGACCTTCACAATTTTAATTATTATGTGTTCTGTTGAATCTTATTTTCTGTCTGTAATCTCTGACCATTTTTGTCCCTCTTTTGTATCTTATTTCTCCATTTTCTTCCTTCTCTGTTATCCCAGGATGATACAATATTAGTTGTTCCCACAGTTGCTGATCCTCCAATAAAACTCAACTCAAAAAAAGTTCTGTCTGCTGAGTTCTATGATAGAGCATTTTCTACATTGAGCATTTCGAGTATGTCTGGCTGCTGTGAGGTAACTTCATCTAGGCTTTGTCTTTTCCCTTTTGCGTTCTTTTTTACTGTAGTAGACTGGCCTCTTGTATAATTATGTTCCTTTTGGTTTATTACTCCAGGTCTCCATTCCATTAGGAAAGCATGATGATTGTCCAATCTCAGTTTCATTTATTGCGCTCCATGGCGCTGATAAATTTCTCCTTGATACTGTCTTGGATATGTACTCATCTCTTCAAGAACAACTTAGCATTCTGTCCAGTTCGCCGCCATTGCCAGATACAAATGGTAACATGGATGCATCAGAATTGTTAAAAGAAAAGGTATGTAATTCTCTATTCTGTATTGAGATTGTGAAGGTGTGAAACCTAATGGTCTCATTTTATGACTTTTTTCACATTCTATTCTAATCTTTAATTCTTGGATCCGACCTTACATATATTGCCATTATTTTTGGGCTTTGATGAATTAGTGCCACTGTTTCAGTGCTTTACGCATAGGATTTATGTTACCAGTGCTTCACGCTAGTGTTTGTGGGTTTGAATTTCAAACCTGATCACTCTTTAATGAGGCTTTTTGCTATGCTTGTGTACTGCACCGGCTTATGGCATTGCAAAAATTTTCAGTATTCTTCTGTTTCATATGTCTCAATATAAATATTTCTTTAGGCATCAGTTTGATGTCTTTTGTCTTGAATGACATATTGCCTGACAAGTCTCGCTGTACAGTTTAGTGTGCTGAGCAAGAGTAATGCTGGAGTGGTGATCTTTGATTTCACTTCTTGAAGTTTATGTTGAGAATCTGATTGGAGGGTTATCTGATTAGATTGGAAATAATCTACATGCTCTCTTTCTCTCTAAGAGTGCACGCATGCAGTCACTTAACATGAGCCCGCGCACACACTCTCAATGCTCTCACACATAAAACATGTGTGGCTGAAAACAGTTGCATAATAAATATATGGCAAGTTTATCAAAGAATGTTTTAAAGATACACCTCTCTCTCTCTCTCTCTCTCTCTCGCACACACACACACACATTGTCATGCACATGCATGTTCATGTATGCAAAACACATATCTGGGAAGTTTATCAAAGAAAGNATAATAAATATATGGCAAGTTTATCAAAGAATGTTTTAAAGATACACCTCTCTCTCTCTCTCTCTCTCTCACACACACACACACATTGTCATGCACATGCATGTTCATGTATGCAAAACACATATCTGGGAAGTTTATCAAAGAAAGTTTTAAATATGCGCTAATCTTGCGTGTGTTTCTCAAATTCAAAGCCTTTTGTGTCAAACATCAGCATGCTGCACATCAAGGCCTCATGATCATAACACTAGGTCTGAACAAGTACCATGCATTGGCTTAGATGGGGAAAGCTTTTGTAAGTTTATGTTCAGAGGAGATTGATGTGAGATGTCCATTAGGTTTTATTAGTGAGCTATTGGGTTCCAGCACAGGGGTCAGGGGATTGAGGATTACTTCTGATACAATGCATTTTAGTCGCAACAACAGGGTTAACTCATTTCTTGTGAAAACTTCTTTATGTTTCTGTCTTTTTCTGGATTAGAGTTGTGAAAAATCTGACTCAGTGATGATAAGTGTAAGTTTNGAGATTGATGTGAGATGTCCATTAGGTTTTATTAGTGAGCTATTGGGTTCCAGCACGGGGGTCAGGGGATTGAGGATTACTTCTGATACAATGCATTTTAGTTGCAACAACAGGGTTAACTCATTTCTTGTGAAAACTTCTGTATGTTTCTGTCTTTTTCTGGATTAGAGTTGTGAAAAATCTGACTCAGTGATGATAAGTGTAAGTGTATTATATTTTGCAAATCTGGATTGTTCCGTGTCTTGTTAGCTGTTTGATAAGGTAGTTTAAAAAAATTCTGAATTTGGGAACCAGAACTATGTTACTTGGTTGTTTGGTGTCTTGGAATGTGTGTTAGTGGATGTCAATATTTATACTCGATGTTTGATTAATTGAGCCTTATCTTAAGGTTTGGTTTGCTACAAATAGATTTGTAATGTCAATTTGGGTCACCAATGCCTCTATTTTAGCTATTATTTTGGGGACATCTAACCATATGCTTGGGGAGCTTTGTTTTTGAGCAAATTAGTGCGCTTACAAATTTATTTCTTTGTATTCTTCTAATGGCTCAAGTGCAATTCCATTGGTTCCTTCTGGGTAAGATTCCAAGGGAATCTAAATCTAATAATTTTTTTTCCTGCCAAGTAAATCTGAGACCTATCATTATGATCTTCTTCTTCTTCTCGTAATGCACACTTGAAATTTTGTCTTATTAAGACATACTTCTTTGAGTGTATAACCCAAAACCATTTTTGGCTTACTATCCCATTTATGCTTGATATTTATTAAACTATCAATCAATCTCTCATCTTCGTAATTTTGTGTAATTGATAAGACACTTATCTGAGTGTAAAACCGGAAACCATTTTTGGCTCACTGTCACATTTATGCTTGATTTTTATAAAACAATCAACCAATCTCTCTCTCTCTCTCTAAACAAAGTATAGATATCCGCAAGGAAATTTTGTTGCGAGGTGATTGTTGGTGGTAATTCTGTGACGCAAAGAGGATTGCTGGTCATGGGCATAAACTGTCTTGCGAACCTCAGTCTCGTAAAATTTGTTTGTGGTTTTAACGCTTTTTATATACTTGTTTGTTCAAAGGCTATTCTTCCCTCGGGTTCTGCTGACTGCTCCTCCTCTTTTGGGCGGGAGTCGTCATGAGTGGATCCATTCATGGGTCAGGGGGCCCTGTTCCACCTTGATTTGTTCCAGAAAATTATATGTATAGGTTTATAAATCAAATATTAGTCAAGTATATTTCAATGTGCCACACCATCACTTTTGTGATTCAGAAGTGCTTTTCTGATAATATGAGCTGAGTTTGGCCTGTAGTTGCATGCTCGTTATTCTATTTTGTTGGGTCTTTTTGTAATTGACCTTGATTTGCATATTGAAGGCCTTTTTAGTTCTATTTTCAAAATTTTGAATGTGAAATTGCTTGCAATTAGGGGTATTATTGGAGCTGAGCCTTCCGAGCTTCGATATGGTTAGGCTCAGCTCGAGTTACTTAGGGACTGCTAAAGCTCAGCTTGAACAAAATCTCAAGCCGATTTTGAACAAAAATTTCAAAATCTCAGGCTCGGCCTATGACAAAATCTCAAATCCACAAATTTATATAACACAAATCTCAAATCCAAACTCAAAAATTTCACAAATTTCATATAAAAACTCATAAATTTTATAAAGATTTATACACATCCAAAATCAAAACAAAATTTACAAATAGTATACACCATATATCCATATTTTTCTACTGAGCATATGATAACTGCCCCAACTTTTGATCCCCAACTTGTTGGGTTTCTTATTGTGATAAAAGAGGGAGTCTCCAGGCTCCACGATCTAAAACAGAGAGTAAGGAAATAAAAAAGATTCCGTGATGGGGNATTTTGTTGGGTCTTTTTGTAATTGACCTTGATTTGCATATTGAAGGCCTTTTTAGTTCTATTTTCAAAATTTTGAATGTGAAATTGCTTGCAATTAGGGGTATTATTGGAGCTGAGCCTTCCGAGCTTCGATATGGTTAGGCTCAGCTCGAGTTACTTAGGGACTGCTAAAGCTCAGCTTGAACAAAATCTCAAGCCGATTTTGAACAAAAATTTCAAAATCTCAGGCTCGGCCTATGACAAAATCTCAAATCCACAAATTTATATAACACAAATCTCAAATCCAAACTCAAAAATTTCACAAATATCATATAAAAACTCATAAATTTTATAAAGATTTACACACATCCAAAATCAAAACAAAATTTACAAATAGTATACACCATATATCCATATTTTTCTACTGAGCATATGATAACTGTCCCAACTTTTGATCCCCAACTCGTTGGGTTTCTTATTGTGATAAAAGAGGGAGTCTCCAGGCTCCACGATCTAAAACAGAGAGTAAGGAAATAAAAAAGATTCTGTGATGGGGAGAGAGAGAGAGAGAGAGAGAGAGAGAGAGACCAAATGGAACTCATGTAAGACCAAAGGATTTGTGGCTCAAGGGAGAGGGAGAGAGATAGAATCCTAAAAAGAGTTTCACCAGGTGAAGGTGTAATAAACTAATGAATGAAGAAAAGGGGGGAGAGAGAGAGCTCACGTGATTGACACTAGATAGGCTAGAAAAATACTTGACACTAAATTATTTAAAACAGGTTATATATTTAATAATTTTACCAAAGTGACCTTCATATTCTTAATGATTTACAAATATATTTTGTATAATTAGGAAAAACGAGCTGGCTCACGAATAGCTCAGCTCAGCGCGGATACAAAATGAGCCTAAAATTTTGTTTAAATTTGGCGAGCCCAAAAAGAGCTGAGCCTGAGCCCGAGCCGCCAAGTTTGTTTAACAAACCTACTTGCAATTGACCTCTTTTTTATGCATTGACCATCTTTATTTTTAAAGGACTGTGTGGGATGTGTTCTAGCATGGTTTTAACGGTATTGCTATGCTTACTTCTTGATTTGATTTAATGACTTTGCTATTTTAATTTTTTAATAATGTTTGAAAGATTTAAAATTTAAGACTATGAAGAATGTAACTGTAATTGGTGATCAATGAATGGTTGATATTACTTGACTGCATAGTTGTCAAATCGCCTATTAGAAGGTGTATCTTTTTTCAAAAATAGTGTATCGTATCATGTATAGTAAGATACGCACAATTTTAATTTTTAAATAATTATTAAAAAAATGTTATATTATTATGAGTCTATGACTTATATATATATATATATATATGACTCATAATAATATAACATTTTTTTAATATTCCACCAACTATTCAAGTTCCCAACATAGTTCAATAATATCAAAAATGCAAAGACCTCTAATTCAAACTTCTAACATCAAGTGCTTGAACAATTTAATATTAATCAGGAATTTTGAACTCAATTGAACAACATTAACAGTAGGCATTATTTTATTTTTTTAAATCATAACCATTGAAACGACATTAGCTAGTGATTTTAAAACAAGTCTTAGGGTAAAACGCTGTCATTTTAACCAAAAAAAAAAAATAGAATCGTCAAGTATCAGACGTATCATATCGTGTATCGTACGATACGGTACAAAAACGATATANGTGATTTTAAAACAAGTCTTAGGGTAAAACGCTGTCATTTTAACCAAAAAAAAAAATAGAATCGTCAAGTATCAGACGTATCATATCGTGTATCGTACGATATGGTACAAAAACGATACAGAAACACGATACGTATAGTTTTTCTAGTGCATTGTGACGTATTGTACGATACGTATCGCGTATCGTATGATACTAATAATTATACTTGACTGTATGTATGGAGAGACATTTTCGAGGACATTAATGAAGTTATGATACAATTTTTCCCTTTATTATGAAAACTTGATGGGATCCATTGTAAGTGGCTCTAATTAGCCTCATTTTTTTGTCAAGGGGTGTGATTAATGGTTTTCTTGTTTGTATAGCCCATGCACATCTGCCTTTTTTTTTTAGTTTTTATTGTGTTTAGTGAATCTTTGTGTATTAGATATGGTGTGCAAGAAATTTACATGTGTTTACTTATTTTTATCGGTTGTGGTTAAAGAGTGCCACCCATAACTATATTTTTGCTCCTTCCCTGGGGGTTATGTGACTCATTGAGCTCCTCCTTCTGTTGTAATAAGGATCTTGACATCCTGGCAAACTTTGATGCAGGGAAATGCTGCATTTAAAGGAAGACAGTGGAATAAAGCTGCAAGTTACTACACTGAAGCTATTAAATTGAGCGAGGCAAATGCTACTTACTATTGCAACCGGGCGGCTGCTTACCTAGAATTAGGATGGTAAGCATTTCCTTGTTTTTTACTGAGGTCATCTGTGCGCATTAAGTTGCTTTGTATATGAGGGCTTGCTCCACTGACAATTTCATTTCCAGCTTTCAACAAGCCGAGGAGGACTGCAGCAAGGCGATATCTCTTGATAAGAAGGTCAGGGATTGTACCTACGCTGTTTATTTTGGACTATACAGATCATTATTCGATATGTATATCCTTGTTGATATCTTATTTTGTATGGTTTAAGCTGTAAGGCTTTATAATCGTGTAGCCTATAGAGTATTGATTTCAGTAGTTTTCATATTCTTTATTGTAAGCTACACTGCTTCAAGCTTATTCTTTGGAAATAACATGTTCATAATGCAATTACCAAAGGAAGTGTTTGATATTATTTTCGACATTTTTAATGAAACCAAGGTTAATTGTCTTTAGCTTTAAACACGACATTTGATTGCAGCAACTAACCGAGAAATGGTTGCATGTTTCGTGATAACTGTGGATTACAGTTTCTTTTATATATGGCTCTATAGCTCATGTTTTAGTTTCTTAAGGTCCAGCTCAAAGAATATGTACTTAAGGAGGAAGGTTCCATCATTGAAAAAATGTATGCTTATTAATGTTTTTAATTATGAGGCTTAGCTCAAATTCGAAGCTTAATGGAAATCTAGGACTGAAATCCTGTCATTCATTCTATGTTTTGCATGACATAGGGGCAACAAATCATGTTGTTAGTCTGATAAATGCTGAATTTCATTAGTTTTTAAGATACTCCCTTCAGTTGCGATTGCCAAATCTTGACTGGCAATTATTGCAATCATGATCCATTAGGATAAGTAGGTGGTTTTTTTTTGGGTCTTTAATTTTTTGTGCCAGACAGGAGAATATGAATATGTGGATGCCCACACACACACACACTCTCTCTCTCTCTTTCGGTGATGATGCCAATTTTTGATTTCTTTGTGTAGAATGTGAAGGCATATTTGAGGCGAGGAACAGCTAGAGAATCACTTCTCTATTATAAAGAGGCACTTCAAGGTGAGGACGACCATATAGCAATACTTCAAGTGTCTTGTTTATGATGTAAATCACATCTTTACTCAGAGTTCCTACACTGATTTGCACAATTCTCTCGAACATCTGTCATCCTTGGAAGCAACTAGTTGATTGCTGATGGATGTCACCTCTTGTCTATTACTCGTGTCTTAGGATATGGTTTCCTAATTCCTACTGTTATGGGCTTTTACTGTAGTGACATTTTTTGGCGCTCTATGGCCGCAATACCATACTGTAAGCTTCTTTTGTGGCAAGCTGGAATTGGAAATCTCACCCAGATCTAGCATCTGATAAAGGCGTTAGAAGCATTTTGTAGCTGTGTACGCAAAAAAGTATAACCAATGTTGTTAGAATATCATTTTATAGATGCATGAATGCATCTATAAATGAATATCATTCACCTTTAACCTAGTATCAGCAGTAGGTCTTGAATTATCCAACTACCAAGGGGGGATTCAAGCTTACTTAATTTCAAACTTCGGAGTTCATCATTTTAAGTGTCATTTTTTTTCCTTAGAGAAACCTTCAATATGGGATTTTGAGGGCATTATATGTGTTGCTTTGTAATCCTACGCCATAAGTTAAAATTATAATGGTCTATATAATGTGTTGGTGTCTGACGGGCTGACACATCTTCAACAACATGCCTATTTGTTTCTGTCACATGGTGTAATACCAGAGTCTCGCACATGCTATATTTGTGACCTACGAGGACCTGAATGTTTGGTTGTAGTGTTTTTGATTCAAAGTTTAAGCAACAAATGAATAGGTAGATGTGCAACACCCATGTACACTTGCACAGTATTTTTGCACATAGTTATGAATGCGTGCTTATACATACTCATTTTTGTGTAGACACAGATAAGGGCAGTCACACACGCACACATAGTTTTTAAATCTTATATACCTGGGTTTTATACGAACTTTGTTACAGACTGAAGACATTTTTTTTCCCTTATATTACCGACATCTTTTCTTTGTATTTGCAGATTTCAAGCATGCCCTTGTCCTGGAACCACAGAATAAGGTTGCTAATCTCGCAGAAAAGAGGCTACGGAAATTGACAAGTTGATGCTTTGCTCATCTCATCCACTCACCCAAATACGCACAAAAACACACCGACCTTCTGTTGCTAAAGATGATTTTGAGGCTTCAGTGAGATGCTGGATGGGAACAAAATAAAAGAAACAGAAATGCAGCCCTAATTTGTTGAAGTACTGCAATTATTTCTTTTATTTCCGTATTTATGTCCATCTNACAAAATAAAAGAAACAGAAATGCAGCCCTAATTTGTTGAAGTACTGCAATTATTTTCTTTTATTTCCGTATTTATGTCCATCTTTTTTTTTTGTGTATATCCTTACTTTGTAACAATAACCGACCTTTTGTAGCACTTCTGGGCAATTGAGAAACCAAAATTCACATCTTCTACATAGCTTTAAGATCGTCTTATGTGTGCTAGTCTCATCTCTTTCCCCCCACCCTTTGTTGAACAGCATTCTTCATCTAAACTGGTTAATGAAAAATTTGAGGTGGTACTCCATTCCAGTTGGCTAGAACCTTTTAATTGGTTAAGAGCATTTCTAGCAATAAAAGTTAGTTTAATTATTCAAAAAGTAATGTTTTATGTGTTAGCTACTCATTTTTTCAATACACATTCAAACATGTTTTGTATATTTTTAATTATTATTTTTTAAATATTATTTTTCATTCTTTTTTTTTTGAGAATAGTGAGAGGGAGAAAGAGAGAATGTAAGAAAGAAAAGGAGAAAAAATTATAAAATATTTATACATATTGCTATATTGTCACTATAGCAAAATGCTATTGTAGATGATTTGGATATGTTCTGTTGGAGTGAAATTTTAGGGTAAAATAGTTAAATTTTAAAATTTTTATATCTTTTAACTATTCTCTTGAAGATGCTGTAATGACTGTATGGAGCTCTAGTTATATTAGGTTTATTGTAAATTTTAGGCCACTGGCCCAAATGTCTCTATGTTAGCATCTTTTTTTGTTTGTGGACTTGACTTGTTTTATAGCTTGGGGCTTCTTCTTGTTGGAAGCTTTTCATGCACTTTTTTTTTTTTTTATAGTTAAATACACATATGACCCCTAAATTATGTTATTTGTGTCAATTAAGCTCTGAACTAATTTGTTTCAATTAAGTCCTTCAACTACGTAATTAGACATCATGGTGGTCATTCGGTCCAAATTCACTTTTAACTCTAACGAAAAACCTCACGTCATGTGAGTTAGAAATTAGGGTAGTTAAGATTATATAAGTGTTGTGCATATGAGGCGGTCCGTTAAAGTTAACAGTAAATTGAAATGGAAAGATTATATTGAGTTAGATTGTATAGTTGAGGAACTAAATTGACATGAAAATTAATTTAAAATANAATTGGTTAAGAGCATTTCTAGCAATAAAAGTTAGTTTAATTATTCAAAAAGTAATATTTTATGTTTTAGCTACTCATTTTTTCATTACACATTCAAACATGTTTTGTATATTTTTAATTATTATTTTTTAAATATTATTTTTCATTCTTTTTTTTTTGAGAATAGTGAGAGGGAGAAAGAGAGAGAATGTAAGAAAGAAAAGGAGAAAAAATTATAAAATATTTATACATATTGCTATATTGTCACTATAGCAAAATGCTATTGTAGATGATTTGGAGATGTTCTGTTGGAGTGAAATTTTAGGGTAAAATAGTTAAATTTTTATATCTTTTTACTATTCTCTTGAAGATGCTGTAATGACTGTATGGAGCTCTAGTTATATTAGGTTTATTGTAAATTTTAGGCCACTGGCCCAAATGTCTCTATGTTAGCATCTTTTTTTGTTTGTGGACTTGACTTGTTTTATAGCTTGGGGCTTCTTCTTGTTGGAAGCTTTTCATGCACGCTTTTTTTTTTTTATTTTATAGTTAAATACACATATGACCCCTAAATTATGTTATTTGTGTCAATTAAGCTCTGAACTAATTTGTTTCAATTAAGTCCTTCAACTACGTAATTAGACATCATGGTGGTCATTCGGTCCAAATTCACTTTTAACTCTAACGAAAAACCTCACATCATGTGAGTTAGAAATTAGGGTAGTTAAGATTATATAAGTGTTGTGCATATGAGGCGGTCCGTTAAAGTTAACAGTAAATTGAAATGGAAGGATTATATTGAGTTAGATTGTATAGTTGAGGAACTAAATTGACATGAAAATTAATTTAAAAGACTTAATTGATACAAAATGACATAGTTTAGAGACCATATTAGATTTTTCTTACTTGCAAAACACATCTCCCCACCACCCGAATTCCTAACTCCGTCACCTGCAATTGTTACTTGATGGATTAAATAAGCTAGGGAGAGAGACCACCAGATTTAACCACCACCACTACTAGAGGTCCCAGAGGTGCACAACCCCACACGTATACAGACACAAGGGGAGATCTGTAGGAGTATATCTGAACTGACCTTCCCAACTTCCCCATAGAAAAACCCATGCCAATTGAGGGGTGAGAGGGAGAAGGCAATACAGAGCTGTTCAGAGTGCTGGGAGGGAGAGTTTGGGATGGGATGCAGCGACGGGGCTTAGAGAGAGAAAATGATATGTTTTCTTCACACATTACTACTTAAATGGATTTTCATGTCAAGATTGAATAATTCATATTTAACATTAACACAGCTCATTTGTTATTCACATTGGCATGTGGTGTTATTTTTAGGTTAATGTCAAATAATAATCAATTTTAACCCGCTAATTTCGTGCAAAACTCGTGTTGAACTATATGTAGTGTCAAAAATTTTAGAAAATACACCTAGAATGGATGGGGATGACACAAATGTAGGGTTTATTTGCATGGATATTGGTAGAAACCAGTTATTTCAGCAACATCTTACTCCTTACCTCATTTTCATCCCCCATGAAATCATCTTACTTTACTAAATTTATAACGAAACCTCAACTGAATTCCCAGTTTGTTTTGGGTACTTGATCTTTTTTTTCAACAAGGACTCAAAACACAAGCTCTCCCAAGTCCTCACCATTACATCAAACTAAAGAAGAAGTTTACGAAAGAGTAATGCTACATGAATTTAAAAATTAGATTTAAAAACTAAACTTGATAATCTCAACCATTGAATAGGTAGTAAGTCCCAATAAATGCTTGGATCTACAGTGAAATCAATGATTGAGATTATCAAGTTTAAGTTTTAAGTCCATGTAGCATTACTCGTCTACCTAATCGGGAAAAAAAATTTAGTACTGTATTACTATTATAGATTTTGTGAATATTTTAATGATTTTTATGGGTCATCTATGATTCTTATAATAACTTGTGACCGATCCAAACATTTTTAGAATTGATAGTAAATTGCCACAGAATTCAAAAAAATCGTAACTCAAACATTAAAAGAGATAACATGACCTAAAAAAGTTGTAATTTTTTTTATTATAAATAAATCACAAAACTTGTATAAAAACTAACAAAAATTATAAAACTCGGAGGTTTTTATACCGAGCAATGCTAAACATAAATGAAGCCCAAAAAATTACAATTCAAATACATATCATCTCTTAAATGAGTGAATTCCATTAATTTTTTCAGTAAAACTTATTCATCCCACGCGCATCCAAGAATGATATGTATTTGAATTTAAATTTTTAAATTTTATTTGAATTATATAATATTCTNAAATCACAAAACTTGTATAAAAACTAACAAAAATTATAAAACTCGGAGGTTTTTATTCCGAGCAATGCTAAACATAAATGAAACCCAAAAAATTATAATCCAAATACATCTCATCTCTTGAATGAATGGGTTCCATTAATTTTTTCAGTAGAACCTATTCATCCCACGCTCATCCAAAAATGATATGTATTTGAATTTAAATTTTTAAATTTTATTTGAATTATATAATATTCTCCTTTTATATGAAATCATCTTTGATATTCCCATAATCCCATTTGATTGACACCTTTTTCACAATCACCTTCTGCCCGTCTCTCTCTCTCTTTCTAAAAAAAACTTACCTAGTGCATGAAGTTCTTATTATTGGGAGAGCTGGGAGGGTAGACAGCCTTACCCTGTAAGCAAGAGGCTGTGTCGCTCTCTCTCTCTCTCTCTCTCTCTCTCTCTTGTTTTTATAGATTTGCCAGAACNTCTGCCCGTCTCTCTCTCTCTTTCTAAAAAAAACTTACCTAGTGCATGAAGTTCTTGTTATTGGGAGAGCTGGGAGGGTAGACAGCCTTACCCTGTAAGCAAGAGGCTGTGTCGCTCTCTCTCTCTCTCTCTCTTGTTTTTATAGATTTGCCAGAACTTCAGAAATTAAAGCAATTCTAAAACTTCGTCACCATGAAGAGGAAATTATATGGGTGAGATTGAATGATAACATGAATCAATCAGCAAATTTTGCATAAAACTCGAATTTTATGTGTTTTGACAAAAATGGCGAGATGCTTTAGCTTTACAGCGTCGAGAGATTGGTTCTACCGCTATTTCTTCTCATATTCCGGTCTTGATTCCGTCTCCATGGACTTCGGGGATGGCACAAACCTCCATTGTTGGGTGCCAAGAACCCACAAAGATTCCAAACCCACTCTTCTTCTCGTCCATGGTTTCGGAGCCAATGCAATGTGGCAATACGGAGAGATCCTCCGCCACTTAATTCCCCGGTACAACGTCTACGTGCCGGACCTCCTCTTCTTCGGCAGCTCCACCACCTCACGGCCGGAGAGAACCGAGGCTTTTCAAGCTCAATGCGTGATGAGGTTCATGGAGGCGCATGGGGTTCATAGAATGAGCTTGGTGGGGATAAGCTATGGTGGGTTTGTTGGATATAGCATGGCGGAGCAGTTTCCGGCGGCGGTAGAGAGGGTGGTGCTGTGTTGTACGGGGGTGTGCTTGGAGGAGAAGGATATGGAGGAGGGTTTGTTTCGGGTTTCGGATTTGGAGGAGGCTGCTAGCATTTTGTTGCCCCAAACGCCGGAGAGGCTTAGGTACTTGATAAGGCTTTCTTTTGTTAAGCCTGTGAAGGGTGTGCCCTCTTGCTTCCTTTCTGACTTCATTGACGTAAGTCACTCACTCACTCACTCTCTCTCCATTGGCCTTGTGCCTAATATGACTTGAACGTTGTATTTGGTACGTGATGATATTTTATATAAAAATAAAATAAAATAAACATAAAAATAAAATGAAATGCACATTATTATTTCAATGTTTGATATCAATTAAGATGAAGTGTTAAAATATTTAGATAGTCTCCCAACCTGAACCTGACCTTGGCCCCCAACCTAACCCAAACTCAGACCCAGAACCGGACCTTGAGCCTGCTTGGACCCAACCCCAACCTAGACCCTTGATCCCTGGTGGAGGTGGGTTGGTGGTGGTGGTAATTGGTAGTGAGAAATACTACTAAATATTCAGGAATAATAAATCCTGGATTATGCATTCATTCTAAGATAATGGGAATGAATCCTCGTTACTGCATACCAAATATTGGGCAGAGCATTTACTAAGTAATGGTCATTCTCTCTTGACATAGGCCTTGTGTTTGATACAAGTCTTTTGGAGCTCTTCACTTATCAACAATTGATTTGGAGTCAAATGTTGTAGCGAGCATTAAATTTTAGCTTTTGTCGATATTTTTATTTTTTTTCAACTAATATAGGATGAGCTTTTACGCCTCTTCACCTGTTATCAATTGGTTTTATATTGGACGCTTGAACAATAGGTTTATGAATGCATGGTCTAACAAGAAGATGCCTAAACCTAATGCAGCTGTTTGATTAATGATTGGAACCCAACCATCTAATCTATGGTCCTACCACCCAATTGAGCCACACCATTTTATCTTAGAAATTGGTGTTTGGGGTACAAGTACAACACTAATGTTCTTAAACAACTGTGTGGTGCAACTGCAATAATTGGATGATTAGTGGGTCTTACTGAACTAAAGTTGGTAAGGAAAAACTGTTAACAAAAAGTTGATTAGTGTAGCATTTTTTGGGTAAGTACTTAAATTTGTGTGTGATGCGTGGTTTCCTTGACGAAAGGAGAACGTCTTGTATTCGCATTTGCAGCTGCTTAAACTTGCTAAACTGCACTAGCAGTCAGAATAGCCTAGGCATTTTTTTTGGTCAGAAAAAAGGGTTCAAGGGGACAACCGGGATAGAACCCACGAAGGAAGCCCACCAGTGGAGCCTAGACGACGGGAAATGGTAGACGCTCCTAAAGGCTGACTCGAGTCATATCCTAATCCCACAGGGACCAGCAGGAGTTCCTGTGAATTAAACCCTACTTGCTAACCTAATGGAATTCATGGAGGACCCTAAATGGGGCATTGCAACCCTAGGCATTGCTAACTTTTTCTTTTTTCATTTTCTTTTAATGAGCAATATAATGCTAGCTANAATTCATGGAGGACCCTAAATGGGGCATTGCAACCCTAGGCATTGCTAACTTTTTCATTTTGCATTTTCTTTTAATGAGCAATATAATGCTAGCTAGCCCACCTCTCCCAGAACAGGAGCTCTACATACCTCAAGGACCTTGTTCCCCTACCCTTCAAAAAGAGAGAACTCTACCACTTAAACAAGTTAGAAAGGAGATAAGACCTTGATTCTACCAGTGCATCCTCTTTATATATATATTTTTTCCACATTAATCTTCCCATGTGGACAGGTGATGTGTGCAGATCATGTAGAAGAGAAGAGGGAACTCATCCAAGCAATACTCAAAGATCGACATCTTTCCAATATTCCTAAGATCACACAGGTTTTTTTATTGTTCACCAACCTTACTTCTGTGGCTTGTAATTGCAATATTATGTGTGGTTTTGGATAGGTTATTGATTTGCCAAAAAATCGCGAATTTTTGGAAGAGTAATGCTGTTTGTACCAGATCTTGCACCAAATGATTGGATCATTTGCTAGAATTAATGAGACCCACGAGCTTAACCGTCCTTAGGTTACAAATGCAATTTTGAATTTAACCTTACTTCCGCCTGATCATATTCCTATGTTTTTTTTGGTGGCGTGCTACTGAAATTCATCTGAAATTTGAAACAGCCCACATTGATAATCTGGGGAGAGGAAGATCAAATATTCCCAGTGGAATTGGGGCACAGACTAAAGAGGTTGTGAAGTGTCCTTTTAAGTTCCTCGAATTTTAAATTTTTTTTTCTCTATATTTCGCCCGTGATTGCCACCACATTTTTGGTATTTAATGTTCAAATTTTATACTATTTTATAGGCATGTTGGGGAGAATTCTCGACTAGTAATCATAAAAAATGCAGGGCATGCTGTGAACCTAGAGAAGCCCAAGGAATTTGCTCAACACTTGAAAGCCTTCCTTGCTAATTTCAGCTCCTCCTCACCACTTGAGAAGCAACACTCCTGCACCAACAAAGCAGAATGACTGATTGCTGGGGATCAAAAAGCATGCATCATCCTCTCCACGATCCGACGTAAGAAGAGTTGGTACCTAATCTTTCGGATTTTGAGATAATTTTCATTTAGGTGGTTTTTGTTTTTCAGATGCAAAATGTTACACAACCCAAATGAAATCTAAAAATTACAATAAAATGCGTATCATTCATTGGATGAATGAATTTCATTGAAAAAGTTAATAGAACCCACTCATCCAATGGATGCATTTGAGTTGCAATTTTTTCGATTTTATTTAGGTTGTGTACTTGCGAACTTCTCGGAAAAAAAGAAGGTATCTTACTTATGAGTGTATCTGAAGAGTGTTCAGACGTGCCTTGAACTATATTGTACATTCATTTTTTTTTGGTAATAANTTTATATATATATTTTTTCCATATTAATCTTCCCATGTGGACAGGTGATGTGTGCAGATCATGTAGAAGAGAAGAGGGAACTCATCCAAGCAATACTCAAAGATCGACATCTTTCCAATATTCCTAAGATCACACAGGTTTTTTTATTGTTCACCAACCTTACTTCTGTGGCTTGTAATTGCAATATTATGTGTGGTTTTGGATAGGTTATTGATTTGCCAAAAAATCGCGAATTTTTGGAAGAGTAATGCTGTTTGTACCAGATCTTGCACCAAATGATTGGATCATTTGCTAGAATTAATGAGACCCACGAGCTTAACCGTCCTTAGGTTACAAATGCAATTTTGAATTTAACCTTACTTCCGCCTGATCATATTCCTATGTTTTTTTTGGTGGCGTGCTACTGAAATTCATCTGAAATTTGAAACAGCCCACATTGATAATCTGGGGAGAGGAAGATCAAATATTCCCAGTGGAATTGGGGCACAGACTAAAGAGGTTGTGAAGTGTCCTTTTAAGTTCCTCGAATTTTAAATTTTTTTTTCTCTATATTTCGCCCGTGATTGCCACCACATTTTTGGTATTTAATGTTCAAATTTTATACTATTTTATAGGCATGTTGGGGAGAATTCTCGACTAGTAATCATAAAAAATGCAGGGCATGCTGTGAACCTAGAGAAGCCCAAGGAATTTGCTCAACACTTGAAAGCCTTCCTTGCTAATTTCAGCTCCTCCTCACCACTTGAGAAGCAACACTCCTGCACCAACAAAGCAGAATGACTGATTGCTGGGGATCAAAAAGCATGCATCATCCTCTCCACGATCCGACGTAAGAAGAGTTGGTACCTAATCTTTCGGATTTTAGATAATTTTCATTTAGGTGGTTTTTGTTTTTCAGATGCAAAATGTTACACAACCCAAATGAAATCTAAAAATTACAATAAAATGCGTATCATTCATTGGATGAATGAATTTCATTGAAAAAGTTAATAGAACCCACTCATCCAATGGATGCATTTGAGTTGCAATTTTTTCAATTTTATTTAAGTTGTGTACTTGCGAGCTTCTCGGAAAAAAAGAAGGTATCTTACTTATGAGTGTATGTGGAGAGTGTTCAGACGTGCCTTGAACTATATTGTACATTCATTTTTTTTTGGTAATAATATTCTTTATTGATTGAAAAAACTGAAAATAATCAATAATATGAAATTGTTATAAATATTGTATATAATGTAGATGACTAATATCACATATTACTATACATGAATAGTAACAGTAATTAATAGGATAGTTTTTTTTTTACCAAAGAATCCTACAACATTTCTACTTAAAAGTAAAAATGCCATAGGTCCTTAAATATACACACACACACGCCCAAAGGTTATCCCGATGTGGGATAACCCCAGCCTTTGGTCGTATGCCTCTTCACCTATAAAAAGGCACTCCTCAAGTTCAATAAAAAGTACAGAAAAATATAGAAAGAAAGAGAGTCCAGAAGTATTCTCTAAAATTGCTCTCATTCAGGTTAGTGTTATTTGTTTTATGGGGTTATAGATTCACATTTGCTTGTCGTAATGTATTAGGATTTAAAAGTTGAGGTGGAGAGTAATCAAAGGGAAAAATTGAAGCACTCCAAGATGAGTATTATAGGGGCAATATCATCTTACTAAGTTTTTTGACCTTTATTCCTTTCTTTACTGCAATTTTCTTTTTTCTTTTTTTTTCTTTTTAAATAATCAATTTATTATTGTCTAAATGAAGTCATGGTTTAAGCCCACACCCTAAGTTCAATCCTCGTCGGTGATTCCCGAGCTTGTTTAATGCCTACGATTTACGAGTGATAGCAAATATCTGGAATTTATTGAACAGGATAGGTCTTATGTGGTCCCCATTTGGAGAAGTTCCACCACGTTAAAAAAATAAAAAATAAACAAAAAAAATTATGCTTTAACATAAACTACAGTAGCTCAGAAAAATAGATTAAAAACCACTGCAAAGATGAAATAAAACTGAAAAACCATGGTAATATAGTAACTAACACCACACAGCAGTAGCACACCTCAAATGTATCAACTAATTCGAGTCATACCAATAAATATTACTTTTAAACAAACTGAAATGATATGATATTATGCTCCAATACCCTTAAAACCTTTTTACAATAGAAGCATTGAGAATTCAAAAAACATAAAAAAACATATGTGTAATATTTTAAATGTCAGGAGTCTAAGTAATTAAAGTGACAAACTTCAGGGAATTTAAGTGTAATTTTCCCTATCAAATTCAAATATTAATCAAACAAGTTGTTCATGGTTTTTTTTTTAGTGATTGGCAATACCTGTGAGGATACAAATGGAGTCTCTTGGGAAACCGAAATTTCCAACCCGCAGATCTCTGATGCACCTCACATGGCGAATAGTTTCTTTAAGCTCGGAATTCTGTTTCTTGTACAAAGAACTGCTCGCCTCCCCCTCCCTCGTGGCTGTGAGAAATTCAGACAAAGATACGGCTTTAGATCAGGATCAGGACCAGACGGCGGCTGTGAGATATTCAGAGAAGGATACGGCTTAAGACCCGCCCGCCGGCTGCAGCGGTTGAGATATTCAGAGAGGGATATGGCTTAAGACCAGCAGGATTCTCTATTCCAAGCAATCTTCAATCGCATAAAATAGTTTCAAGAACCAGATGCCAGTTATATCTACCACGAGTAATGACCTACTTCTGTTTCTCCGTCATAATTTGGGCACCGTGGATTCGGGGAGATCATAGTGGTGGGAGCCTCACGTAGCAGGCCACCCCATCCTTTTCCATGGAATCTGCTACCTGATAACTTTTTTGACCTACATGCCTTTATTCTACCACCTTAACTGCGAAAAACCTGACGCCTCATCACCGTTACACCCGATAGTTACTCACCAACTAAAGAAGTGATTACGTCCATGAAAACATAACCAGAACAAAGAAAAAGCAAAACAATAAAAACATAACTACATGTAACTTCCAAAAAAAAAAACAAAACTCAAAAAGAGTAAAAATTACAAAAATATTTAAAAACCTATTACCACCAGCGGTACCTTAATAACAATTTCATACTGGAAGGGGAAAAAAAATTCTAAAATTTTTGGCACACAAAAGGAAGAGCTTGAACAAAAATTTAATATAGTACAAAGAATAAAGAAAACACAAAAATTGTCGATGACCATAAGGGGAAAAAAGGGAAAATAATGCAACTAGGAGCGAATTTAATGAACAAATTTGTGAACTGTAGACTAAAGGAATGATCTAGCACAACCTCATCCATTCATCCCACCAAAGCAATATTATCTGGGCAGCTCAAGAACCCACCTACCATAACTTCCTGAGCCATACAGATCATATGCCAAGATGAACTACAAGCCACCTAATCAGAACTAGTCACCGTCTCTGTCAGAAACTTCCTGATCATATCCATTGTTATTCCTTTTCGTCGTTGATCTCAATGACGATATCACAGGCCAGACAAGTACATTTGGTCAAGTAAACATTGAAGAGAAATAAGGAAATAAACCACCCAAATGCACAGTTATATATAAGAGAAGAGATTGGCCACGCAACCAATCTTTTGTCCTTAAAATCTAGTTCAATAGAGAGAAGGATAAAAAAACATTAGATAATGCAAACTTACATAGATAAATATACAGCAAAACCTAAAGCCAAGAAATGATGTGCCAGGTAATCTGCAACATGAAGCAAACCGCCATTAGTACATACAAAATTAACACAACAGAGCTCATTTCTTCTGCAAGATTCAACCACATCTCCTCATTTCCACTGCAGCTATGTTCCCCCAAGCATTCTTCTACTACAAAGAATAAATAAAAGCAGTCAGTATCGACTTGCGATCTTTTAGAGTGTGGCCAACACCTAAACAATGCTGATGAATGTGGAGTTATTTTTCAAGTTTTAAGTGGTGATCCTGGTTTGCACTTTACTTGATGTTCTTTTTCATTTTTTTAATTACTCAATGGTCAGAACATTAAAAGGTAAGCAAGTATGACCGCGACAAACAATAAACCACATATTTTGGAATATATTGAATCAATTGAAGTTGGCAACAAATTCAAACAGTGTACTTGAACGAGAGGAAAAATTATCATAAAATATGAAATAAGACTAGATAAAATTTTTTACTCTGTAACTTTGAGTTCATCTTATTTGTTTAAGTCTGTACTAGATCATGGATAATGTTGCCACTATCACTGCAAGGTTGCCTTGACAACATGAGATGAATTAAAGATCATTTAAGAAAGTCAGAGTAAATGTTAATCAGAAGCACATAACAATACACCAGTATAGAAGGGTTGTTTACCCGCATGCATGAGTTTCCTATAAAATGCTGACAAGACCCCGATGGGAGTCACTATTTAGTGACTTACACTACTTCACCATTATCATGTCATGGTGATAGCAGGACTCCATAAATAATCTACCAGCTTTTTCGTAGTTCTAATTGAAAAATCCGTCCAGTGGAAAAAATCTCTTATCAACTAATAAGCAGACTGCAAGTCATCATGCTCCGGCATGGAAACTATAAAGAATCCTGAAAACTTCCAGCGAATTCCTCCCCTGACAGTTCGTGTCCAGTTTGTTCATTCACAAAGTGGGCTCAGGCTTGGTTCAGGGTCATGACGAGCTTCAAGCTTGGCTCGTGAATTTTTTTTCAACACCAGGCTTGGCTCAGGCTCATTTAATAAAATAACCAGGCTCGTCTCAGCTTATTTGATTAAACGAACCAAACTTGAGCTCGTGTTTGTGCTTAAACTCAAGTCCTGACTCATGTTCAAGATCGACTTGTTTATATATACTATAAGCGTAATAGATATTTTATGTCAACTTGTTTACACACCTAATGAGCTAAACAGGGCAATGTTCAAGCTCGGCTCAATTGTCAAGCAAGCCCCGAAAGCTCAGTTCATTCTCTAACGGATGAGCTTGAACGAGCTCCAAAACAAGCTGATCCCAAACTGTGGCATGAGCAGAGTGTTTTCACAGCCCTATACAACATGGCTCCATGTGAATGCAACAACTGGAAATGCATTTGTGCAAACAAACACTAAATAGACCCATGCACATGTTAAGGTTTCATCCACTCGAAGCATGCAACCTATGATAGCTTACATGGCCATCTCTGATGGAATGACAATGTTAGAGAATGAGTAAATGAAGAAGAATTTTAACACAAAGCAGACCTTGAATTGTTCCTAATTACCATTTCTATTTTTTATGAGAAAAAATGAAAAGAACTTCAGAGGAGGCACAGACCCATGCCCAAACAAAGCAAACAGAGACAAACCAGGGTCGGCTCATTTTGAAATTGGGACCCTAGGAGAAAGTTGTTAAAAGGACCTTTCAACACTCGATACAATTTTTAAATAACACTCATAATTTTATTTTAAAATCATTCCTCTTAATGTTTGAGATGCAAAATTATAGACTAAGCTTTCATATCAAGTGTATCAACTAGATCATAGTCAATGGATAATATGCCTAATTTGTTCAATTGTTCTTGTAACATTGTTGACCACAAATAGAATTTTGTTCCTTTTTTTTTTTTTTGGATTTTGTACGAGTTCTTTCTACAAAAGTATCTGTCATGGGCAATCTCAATAATGTCCTTTAAGCAATATATGCATTTGGAAAATAATCTAGTCTTTTTATAGAGTTGCCACCGGAATATTAATTTCTCTTTGTAACACTTCTTTTAAGATTTTTAGTTGTAGAAATAAATCTTCTCAAGATTAATATAAGATATTAAAATCAAAAGAATTTTCATAAAATTTAACTTGTTCAATTCTATTTCCATTGAATCTACAGTTTGATCTATCATCTATGTATAAATATAAGATAATAAGTCCCAATAAACGACTATTCAATTATGAATGTGGGCCTTTCATTCTTTTATTTTTTAACATAACATATTACATTTTATCTCCAAATGTTTGTGGGCCTTCTTTTTTCCATTTGGGGCCCCTTTCATCTGGGGGCTCCAAGCAGCAATTTCAATGGCATAGCATAGGGGCCAGCTTTGAGGCAAACAAAAGTCACACAATTTAGGAAGTAGCACAGGACATTACTGTGAACCATAAAGACAAGTCTTATAAACCTAAAACAAACATTTTGGGTATGTCAATTTTGGAGGTAAACCACCCAGATCCAAAATAGCGATAGATTATGAAAAATCAACTTCATGCAGCACCTACTTTGCATGGACATTTCATATGGGCAATACCCATGCCAAAGACAAGATGTGGGCATACGATATGTGCATGCATGACTGTGGCTGAATATGTTGTATAAACCCCAAGGAACAAGCCCAACAAAAATGATGAATAATAAATAATTTTTTATGGCCCATTTGGGACGAGGCAAGAGTGGGTTAAAGGAAGGGGGAAAGAAAGAGGCAGACAAATTGAGTTCCATGGTTTCACAAGAGAGAAAAGNGAACAAGCCCAACAAAAATGATGAATAATAAATAATTTTTTATGGCCCATTTGGGAGGAGGCAAGAGTGGGTTAAAGGAAGGGGGAAAGAAAGAGGCAGACAAATTGAGTTCCATGGTTTCACAAGAGAGAAAAGGGAAGGGAAAGGAAGAGAGGAGAGAGGCAAAGGGCAATTTAATTCGCTTCGCTTTGATACATGAATATTTCCAAGTGAATAAATTCTCCTACTTTATACAACACAACAGATACATTTGAATTATCCAAGGGTTGAGGATAGCCCAGTTATGTTGAATAATCAGATTGCTCTCGTTTTTTAGGTGTACCTTGATGCAATGGTAAGATAACTAAGGTTGCTCTACCGTATCCTAGGCAGTATTGAGGTCTAAACATCACGGGTTTGAGCGTGAGAAATAGCCTCTCCGCATAAGGGAGTAAGACTACGTACATCTGATCCTCCCAGAACTCATACTAATTGGAGTCTTGTGCACTTGGTTTCCATTTGGATTTCTGNTTGATGCAATGGTAAGATAACTAAGGTTGCTCTACCGTATCCTAGGCAGTATTGAGATCTAAACATCACGGGTTTGAGCGTGAGAAATAGCCTCTCCGCATAAGGGAGTAAGACTACGTATATCTGATCCTCCCAGAACTCATACTAATTGGAGTCTTGTGCACTTGGTTTCCATTTGGATTTCCGTGACTATCATTATCATTGCAATTAGATTTCAATTACATTTTCTTCACAATTGTACAACATCAACCACTACAGAGGTTAACCTGATCCACAGAGTACATAGAAACAATGGGAAGACTACGGATTTAAAAACTAAAGCACCTCATCAACATGTAGTCGAGCAGAAGAATAATTAGCATATATAACTTCAAAGATTAAGAAATTACCCACAATCTGAGACGCTTCAGCCTGCAAGAACAAAATTGAAACAGAACCTTGATCAGAAACTATGAGCATTCATGGACAAACCACAGTTCAAGTGTCCAGAGATTTTAGCCTTGCAAGTAGGACACATAAAACCAATGGAATCCGACTGAGCTTCTGAATCAATAGCCTCATGATTGAACTCTGTTCTACACCACACGCACAATGTTGTAACCTGATGTCTATCATCCATATTAAACATGACTGCCTCAGATTCAAACCTAACAGAGGAATTGAATCCCTCTTCTATCCCTGCATCATTCGCCAAATCCATGGACACCTCTGGCAAAGAATGTGGTTCTTGCTCATTCACAAAGCTATACTGGAAGGGTTCTATTTCATCCAACTTCAACTCCTCAAACCCTGTTATGTTGTCAAGCTTCTGACTCGTGCCATATTCATTTTCTCCCTATCATAGATTCAAGATATATGATATTACCTTCAGAAAACGAGTCCTCAACATATTAAATATGAGTTAAATACCACTAAAAAGTAACTAACATATTTCAATGTGTGCTAATAACCGACCATATGAATAAACAAGAAATAGTCTATTTTTTTTCCTTAATGGTTAGAAGAAATAGAATTAATTGACTAGTCGATGTAAAGAAAGTTTATTTACAGATTACATTAAGGGAAACTAATCCAAAACAGCAGAGGTAATAATCACCATCTTATCTGAAATATTCTTGACATTTAACAAATTGAACCAAATAAAGAATTACAATGTCAATACTGTACCTTATTTGATACTGCATTAAATGCAGGAAAGCAGATTGATGATTGCACATGGGGCACTGAAACGTCAGCAACCCCGTTCTGAAGAATGTTCTCTTCTATCGTTTGCCCTACTCTATCTTCTATGACATTATGATTTGGTTTAACATGTCTGTTCTCAAAACCAGTCTCTACCTGAATATTTCCACAATTTTCTTCTTCATCAAGCTTGGGATGGTCCAAATTGTTAGTGCAACCAACATTTACATTTTCAAAGTCCCAAGTGTCACCAAACTTCATCACTTCTCCATCTGTTATAGCATATTTGCTATCATACTGGTTTAGCTCTTGATCCAGAGCTCTGTTAGCAATGCAATCTTCCAATTCCATCTCACTATGACCAGAACCCAAGTTCACTTCATCGTCAGTATGGGCAGCAGACATTTGTTCCACATTCAGTTTAGTAAGAGAGGAACCACTATTAGGTTTATCAGTAGGTCCAGGACTTGAAGTTTCTAAAATTGAATTCTGGGCAATTTCAATCAAAGCATCCATTTTAGAGATCCTTGAAGGCAACCCATCCTCGCTGCTCTTCTGAGCAGTGACCGGAGCAAGCAATTCTTCAGAACCTCTGACATAATTCCTCACGTGGATTCCTACATGACCATTGTAACTACGTCTTTCTTGAAATACTTTGTGGCAGAACTGGCATTCATATTTCCCATCTTTGATTATCACACCATCCCCAACAGACTTACCAAGTCTATATCTCCTAGTAGTCTTCTGGTGATATGACATCAGATGCTGCAAATAATCGTTCTTTTCATCAAAAGTCAGATTGCATTTGTAACAATCAAAAATGTCCCGCACTTGAACTTCAGCCAGATTGCCAATCTCCACCAAGCTAACTTCATTCTCATGTGCACCAGATAAAGATGAACTAGCTAAAGTCGAATTTGAAATCATGTCATGCCTTATGTCATCATCATTATGGATAAAACCTGCATGCTGCTGCATATCCCATTAATCAGACTGCACAGCATTCTGAAAAGTCCAGACTGCTAGACATTTATAATTTACTTACACTGTGGGAAGCCACTTTGTGGGCCTGGTGAATGCTAGTGGCCATCAGATCCGTTGGCTGACTTGCATCATTTAATCCAAAATGGGACTGCAAGAAAGCAGAAACCTCCTTGCAGGACACAAATTGTTGTCCTGTAGGGCTGAAAAAAGACCAAGTGAAAAACAAAATTCAGTAGCAAGCCAAGAAAAGCAGCCATGTACAGAAATAGAATAATGATGTGCTGGATGCACAAATCCAAAATGAATCTGAAAAGTAACAATCAATTATGCTGCCAGGGAAGTCCAGCAACAGAAAGTCTAAAAGGAGATTTACAAATGAGTGGCCCACATATGGTTCAGTTAGCTGAGGTGCTGCACTAACTAATGCAACACACTCCAAAAAACATGAACTCAAAACCATAATCCAAAGAAGGTGGCAGTCCTTTTGAAGCCAAAAAAGTGAGAGAATAACTCAAGGAGTTATGCTTTGCCGAAATAACCCACAGATACTGGCACATAGTGATACGTGTTTTGATATGTTGGCACAATTGGAGCATAATTGATTAATTGTACATAACAATTACCGACAAGGGCGGAGCCAGTAAAGGGCAAGAGGGGGCACTGACCCACCCTGGGGAAAAATATTTTTTATTGTCTCTGCCACCAGTTTCTCGAGGCTTTAAGTTCAACTAATGACAAATTTACAAAAACGGGGTTATTTTATGTGGTTAATAGATAGATGTTTCTTATAGAGTTAAATAGTCACTTCATACTTGTCCAATGCCCAAACAAATAAATAGTAGTGGTTTAATGAGTCAAACACCAAGTTTTTTCTGTGTGTGCCATGTTCGAGTCCCTTTGATTCATTTCGAAAAAAAAAAAACTAGGTTTGACTTACCAAATTTATTGAAAAGAACTTTCTTCACTACTCATGACACGTTTTGATTAGCTTGATAACTACATTACTGATGTGCACTAGCATTCAAATTTAAATAAATGTTATTGATTGGTGATTTTACTAGAAAATAGTTGACCAAAAAGACATGATATATTCATTAGTCTATTTCCTTGCGACTTTGACATTGATCTTACCGGTTGCCATAGTCATAGTGTAGAGTTTTTTTAGCTATGAAGATTGTGAATAATCGATGGCCTAACCAAATTGGTGGTCTATCAATGACAGATCATATAGTTTGATTGTATAGATATATAAAAGCGATTTCAAAGTTGTCATACAATGCTTTTAAAATATAAAAAATCATCAGAGTCAATTATAAAAGAATATACCTAGCGTCATTTTTGTGAGGAGCTGTAATTAGCGTCTTTTTTTGTTAATTTTCATATATCGACTTCTGACCATTTTTGCGTGATGAATGTGTAGGTGTTAAATATGATTTAAAGAAAATTTACTAGTATCGTTTTTACTTTAATCAATTGGAAGTTATATAGTTAAAATTGGTAATTAAAGCATCCGGGTAAATGAATTCCGAACTCCGCCCTTGATTATCAAGGAACAAAAACAAAAGAGAGCTAAAGCAGTATAAATTTATACATGGCAAGAGTCACTAAACATCTTATTTGCATTTATATTCCTACTTTACATGTATATAAGCCAACTAAAAGTCTGATATGGAAAAAGAAAGTAGATGCCAAATAATTACATGCCTACTACAAATTAACACCACTTATCGTTAATAAAAAATGCAGCATGCCACACATGATCTAATCCTGAATGTTTTCAACAGAGGGCTACTCCAGCAAGGTAACAATGTGGGTAGTTAACTTCAACAATGCTGTCAACCGCAATGTCCACACAAAGTCATATTTTTAAATCAAAAGGAGATTAAAATAGCTCAAAGCAACTAAATCACCAAATTATCTATCAAACATCATGGCTATGCTGCATTTTTTAGGGCAACTCCATTAAGGTAACAACATGGGAGATAACTTCAAATTTCTGTCAAAAGTTAGCAACCAAACAATGTCATTTCTGCAAATCAATATGAGATTGAAATAGCTCAAACCAACTTTTCTGTTTTGGCGGGGATAAGGTTGGAACTCGTGATCACCTTATGCGAGAGTAAACCCTTACGACTGGGCCACTCCGTCGCCTCCGCTCAAACCAACTAAATCAACCAAATTATCCATGAACGACAATAACAGCTTTTGCACAAAGAACTTTTCTAAACATTTGATATAGATATATATGTATCGACTTAACAATGAATGCATTTATCAGAGCAGATCACAAGAAGAAAACCTTATATATCTACGGCAATAAACCGAGACTCGGCCTTCCCGCCTTTTCAGGCCAAGCAAAAGCTTCCAACTAATTGGCAAAGCATCACCAAACTCACTTGCATCAACAATTCTCCTCTTTTTCCTCCTACTACCCCACTGTCCCTCCAAACCACTCAGAAACCCTAAAACCTCCGCTTCATTATTCAACCCCATGGTTCTCTTTCTCAATTCCGCACCGTATAAATCATCAGAATTCGCCAACGCCTCAAGATCAACCGCCACACCATTTTTATTCACTATATCTAATTCTATTCGAACCCCATTTTCCAAAAGCATATTTCCCTTCGATTTTCGGTCCCTCTTTCTCTTCTTCACAAGAACACCTGAGTGTTGCACAATTGGTAGTACCTGAGTATTTGATACCACATGTCTATCTGAATTTACATGAACAATTTCACGATCATTTCGTTGAGAATTCGAAATGGGTTCTTCGCCGATCAGTTGTTTGAGGGAATTGATGATGAATTTGTTTTCGGGGTCAATGGAGGGCGGTGGTCTGGGGGAAGGAAGGAGGCCGGGGAGGGGGGGGGGGGGGTGGCCAGCGGCGGAGGACGATCGGAGGCGAGAGTAGGTCTGTTTGCGGCTGCCGGCAGACTCGTTGAAAATGGAGCGGTTGATTTGGGGAATGACGACGTCATCGGTGCCGCGAAGGTCGAACGCGGAGTCGGAGCAGAGAGAGAGGGCCTGGAGCTCGGACTGAGAGAGCTTGCCGATATCTATGTAAGTGAGGGATTCGAGTTTGGGATAGGGTGGTTGTGGGTGGGTGGGAAGGGTTAACATTCTGCTGGTGGCGGTGGTGGTGGTGGGTAGTGTTGAGAGAGAGAAAAGATGGTGTAATTGGAATTGGAAGGAGGAGAGGGGGGGAGAAAGGGGGAGAGAGAGAGAGAGGGAGCTGCAGCAGTGCCGCTGGGAGTGGCAGGACTAAGACACATGTGTCCCGTTAGACCTTGGGTATTGGGAAAAATTACGCTTTGCCACCCCCAAATTATGACCTAAATTTTACTTCCACCCCTGAATTGTTGAATCTTTTACTTTACTGCCTAAATTATTTAATTGGATTTTTTGTTGCATGGGTATGTTCCGGCAATATGAGAGGATAGCGACACTGAATGTAATGTTTTGTCCCTTGCAAGAAGTAATGATAATGGGTGGAACACACTTATGGGATCAATCTTATATTTCTAGAAGCAATCGAATTATGTTTGAGGTTAAGATGTGATTTTATAAAATTTTGGAGGGGTCAAAATAATATCATTAAAATTAGAAGGAATAAAAGTTAATTACAAAAAGATGTGTGAACCTTCTCTTATGGGCTGGTTGGTGTCAATTTAAGCAAACAAAAGGGTTGTCACGTGTGGAGTGGTGTGCTGTGAAGGCTTTCATGTGTTGNAAAGTTAATTACAAAAAGATGTGTGAACCTTCTTCTTATGGGTTGGTTGGTGTCAATTTAAGCAAACAAAAGGGTTGTCACGTGTGGAGTGGTGTGCTGTGAAGGCTTTCATGTGTTGAGTTTTAGAGAGGACAAGTGTCCAATTGGGGGTGTATGTGTCATGTCTTTAGTTAGCAAGCAGTTTATAGGGCGGGCTTATTCTCACCCTTAAAATTTCTTTTTTCACCTTAATTAATAATTTTATTTTAAATTATTAAATTTATTTTATTTATATTCATCCTATTAATTACTAGCCTCACTTTATTTATACCCAATCAATTAAACTATTAAATATAAGTCCAAGAAATTAAAAATAATTAAAACAAAATTTTAACCAATATTTTGGTATATTTTGACTAATATTTTAAAAATAATTATTAAATTTTTATTAATATTTATTATGCTTCTAAAATATTTTTGTGCCAAAATAATAAACTAAAATAAAATTTTGATAATTGTCTATATAGTGGGTTGAAATAAAATTAAATAAATTTAATTTTTAATTAGTAAATATATATACGATGGGTTTGGTAACTAATGTGTTGAATATAAATGGAATAAACTTAATAGTTTAAAATAAAAAGATTAAATAAGTGGGAAAGAAGATTTAAGAGATGAGAATAATCCCATCCAAAGGGGAAACGAGATGAATAAAGCAAAGAATAGGAAAGGAAAAAAAAGAAGGAGAATGGAGAGTTTCAGTTAGAGAGAGGAAACAGTTAGAGAGAGGAAAACAATAACGAAGGGAAAGAGAGAGAATGAGTTTGAGAAAGGTGGTCAAGACATTTTGGAGTTTAAAGCGAAAATAATAAATGATGCTTTTTTATTTTTAAATTTAATAATAAATTTAATTTTTATTTCTTTGAAATACAAAAAAATTAATTAAGTTTTTATCTTCAAACTTTTGTTACCATATTTGAACTTTGGATTATGAGAAAGAGAAGGATTGATAATTATGACAGTAAGGTTGAACTTTTGAATTATTTTGGGGGGTTAAGACTTGATTTTTCAATAGCTTTAATTTTACTTATGATTAGTTTTTTTCTTTTTAAAACATTGAATTTTAAGGCTTTTTAATTTCATGGGTTGAATTAATAAGTCCAATTTACTCAAGTTAAAATTTTTTGTAGAAAATTTGGAAGCCAGTACAAAAATTTAGATTTAATTGAACTAAACTATATTAAAAACTTATTTGGCTCTAAGAGCATTTGAAAAAAATTAAAATGTCATTCATTACTCAATTACTCTCTCTCTCTCCATTACTCTCTCACTCTTCCTTCTCTATTGTCTCTCTCTTCATGCTCTGTCTATCTTTTCCCTATTTCTCTCTCCCTCCCTCTCTCTCTCTCATTGATAATTTATTTCTTTTCGAATATATAAAGATTTGAATTGATTTTTTCATCTCAATTCCTTATTTTCTGTCACCTTCTCTCCCTCATTTTCTCTCACTTTTATTATTTCTCTCCTTATTCTCTCTCTTTATANTCCTATTTCTCTCTCCCTCCCTCTCTCTCTCTCATTGATAATTTATTTCTTTTTGAATATATAAAGATTTGAATTGATTTTTTCATCTCACTTCCTTATTTTCTGTCACCCTCTCTCCCTCATTTTCTCTCACTTTTATTATTTCTCTCCTTATTCTCTCTCTTTATATTAACGTTACAACACACACAATTACACAAATTATTGTTTGGGGTATTATAGGACAAATGTAATTGTGTGTATTGTAATGTTGATATAAAAAGAGAAAATAAGGAGAGAGAGAGAGAGTAACAATAAGAGAAAATAGGGGGAGAGAGAGAAAAAAAGGGGAGAGAGACAAAAAAATTAAATCAAATCTTTACATATTTGAAAAGAAAATAAATTATNGTATTATAGGACAAATGTAATTGTGTTATTGTAATGTTGATATAAAGAGAGAAAATACGGAGAGAGAGAGAGAGAGAGAGTAACAATAAGAGAAAATAGGGGGAGAGAGAGAAAAAAAAGGGGAGAGAGACAAAAAAATTAAATCAAATCTTTACATATTTGAAAAGAAAATAAATTATCAATGAGAGAGAAACAAAAATAATTGAGAGATAGAGAGTAATGGAGAGAGAGAAAAGTAATGATGTGAGAAATAAGGGAGAGAGAGTGAAATAATAAGAATTATGCATAATTTAAGAAAATGTAAATAAGTAAAATAAATAAAAAATTATTTGAATTTTGTACCTAATTACAAAATATTTTATTAAAATTGAACTTTGATGGTGCATGAATAAAGAATTTTTATTAAGTGTGAGCTCGGGAGACTAGGTCGGATAATGAGCTCAGAGCTCCGAAGCCCAAGTCCCGAGCTTTACTCCCATGGAAAATCATGGGAGTCAAGGAAAGAATAGCTGGACAACAAGAGGCGTACACAAACCACAAACAACAAAGGGGGAGTGATCAGGGTGAAAAACTCTGGACCAGCCAAAATCTCCTCCTAAACTCAATGAAAATCCTGCATTTGAAGAACGAGGATCTCGCCGAAGATCCCCTAGTAATACAAATTGTCCTATAAATATTGTAGAGCCCCTCCATTGGAGGGAGAGACAAAAAAAGGAGAAAAAAAACCCTAGTTGCGCAGACATTACTCTGTAAACCTCTCTCTTTATCGATAAAGCAAAAATGAGTAGGAGCTTCCATTAAAGAGTGGATTAGTCGAGTTTCAAAGCTGGTGAACTACTATAACTTCATTGTGTAAACTCCCCCAATTCCCCGATAATTTNCCTTATTATTCTCCTCGCACTAAAACTTAGTCAACTTCTAACTCACGATCGTGTTTTAAACTCTCTCTGAATATTGCATTGAGATCATAATTGATGAAGGAGAGAGAGGTGTCTGTTAAATGTAGATGGCTTGCTTTCATGCTTTTGAATTGGTGCTAAGGCTTGGGAATGATTATTTTTTCAAAATAAATTATAAAGATTGAATAAGCATTTTTAGGTAAAAAAATAACCCTCCCCACAATTAGTCTTAATAATGGAAAGTCTAAATTATTGATGATGTCTTTTTCAAGAAAAGTTGGATTGATTTTAAAATAATATTTAACTAGATTCAGAATCAATATTAGAGAATCATAATTTTTTTTTACTTACCCAAAATACATTAGAGAATCAGATCTTATGTATTATCCCCCTTGATGCCTTTGTTTGGTCGGCAAGAAAAAGATGATGAAAAATGAAAGAGATAGAAAGTGAAATAAAAAAAAAGAAAGTGAAATAAAATATATTTTCATGCATACATTTGGTTAGCATGAAAAACTTATAATTTTTTTTTTAAATAATTTCATTCTATTGTTTGAAAGAAAGGAAAGCTACAAGAAATTTTTTCTAATTGTCTAAATTATCCTTAATTATTTTAACTCGNATGGAAAATCATGGGAGTCAAGGAAAGAATAGCTGGACAACAAGAGGCGTACACAAACCACAAACAACAAAGGGGGAGTGATCAGGGTGAAAAACTCTGGACCAGCCAAAATCTCCTCCTAAACTCAATGAAAATCCTGCATTTGAAGAACGAGGATCTCGCCGAAGATCCCCTAGTAATACAAATTGTCCTATAAATATTGTAGAGCCCCTCCATTGGAGGGAGAGACAAAAAAAGGAGAAAAAAAACCCTAGTTGCGCAGACATTACTCTGTAAACCTCTCTCTTTATCGATAAAGCAAAAATGAGTAGGAGCTTCCATTAAAGAGTGGATTAGTCGAGTTTCAAAGCTGGTGAACTACTATAACTTCATTGTGTAAACTCCCCCAATTCCCCGATAATTTTCAAACACAAATCTCACGAGCCTTGTAGTTGAGGTCTAAGTCATCAAGCATGATTCATTCCTTCTGCTCATCCACGCGAATTCACGCCATTAAACTTAATAGAGTAAACAACTTATTTGTATACATCCATTCAAATAAGCCTAAAAAAATGTACCAACACCTAAAAATCCCATCTTTTGTTTGAGCTTAAATCTAACTTTTTTGTTAATCAACGGACTTTTGGTCTAATGGTACTTCTTGTCTTGTGAAATCTTTACTTTCTTGAGATCAAGGGTTCAAGCCCCGTCCCCGTTCTTGTACCCCTCCCCCTCCCGAAAAAATAAAAAAAAAAACCCTGGTTTTATAGGCTTAATGATTGGGCCGGCCCTGGTTTGAGAAGGTCAAAATGGGAATTAAACAGTTTGGAAGAGGGGGAAAAACGTTGTGAGGATTAACATCTTTGGGGAATCAAATGGTGCTGGGCCGTTGGATTGTGATGAAAATTTAGAAGAGAATTCTTGGCAACTTAAAATTGATATCTACTGGGCTAATCGAGGATTAAGGTAAGTGGGTTTTCGTTATATGCTCCTATTTTGTTGAGCTATACTTTATTGGCTGAAATGAGTTGATTTGGAAACCTTTTGCGCAATTTTCTTTTTCTTGAATCTATGAGTTATTGCTTTTGAACCTCCATTGTTTATGATCAGTGTCTTGATTGTTTGATTGGGCTGTATTGGCCTGATTTATTTTTCCTCGGCCTTGCTTTACTTGTTCTAGATTCATGGATTCGGCTTGATATTCAATTATCTTGTTCTTCTTTGAATCAAAACCTGTCGACCCTCGGTGTCTGCAAATGAAACGAATCATATATTGGTAGCAAAGTAAAGTAACAATTTGTCAACCAACTTCAATCACCAAGGATCGAGTAGACAATGTGATATGAAAGTTATAATCGAAGAGGTCAAAATTTAATTTGCCCTCGAAAAATATATTAAACTATGAATGTGGATGGGATTTACATCCTATCTCCTTATTATTCTCCTCGCACTAAAACTTTGTCAACTTTTAACTCACGATCGTGTTTTAAACTCTCTCTGAATATTGCATTGAGATCATAATTGATGAAGGAGAGAGAGGTGTCTGTTAAATGTAGATGGCTTGCTTTCATGCTTTTGAATTGGTGCTAAGGCTTGGGAATGATTATTTTTTCAAAATAAATTATAAAGATTGAATAAGCATTTTTAGGTAAAAAAATAACCCTCCCCACAATTAGTCTTAATAATGGAAAGTCTAAATTATTGATGATGTCTTTTTCAAGAAAAGTTGGATTGATTTTAAAATAATATTTAACTAGATTCAGAATCAATATTAGAGAATCATAATTTTTTTTTTACTTACCCAAAATACATTAGAGAATCAGATCTTATGTATTATCCCCCTTGATGCCTTCGTTTGGTCAGCAAGAAAAAGATGATGAAAAATAAAAGAGATAGAAAGTGAAATAAAAAAAAAGAAAGTGAAATAAAATATATTTTCATGCATATATTTGGTTAGCATGAAAAACTTATAATTTTTTTTTTAAATAATTTCATTCTATTGTTTGAAAGAAAGGAAAGCTACAAGAAATTTTTTCTAATTGTCTAAATTATCCTTAATTATTTTAATTCGGTCTAAAGAAGAAAGAATATTTTTTATTATTCAAATTTTAAAAAAAATTGGCTTCTAATCTAATTCATAGACAAGAATCGACTCGAACCTTAATCTCTAGACCAAATTATATGGTTAGTCTAATTTGTAAAAAGTTTTTTAAAATTAATAACTAATTGAATATTTTTTAAAAAAATAAGGATAAAATGGGAATTTAGGTCATTGAACACAATTTTCTTGTCTTTTTTTTTTGCAAGAAAAAAAAATTAGTTAGACGTGAGAAAATCTAAGAATAAAAGGAAATTATATTTTTTATCATTTTCTATTTCATACTAAACAAATACATATAAAATTTAAAAAAATTTTCTTTCTTACATTTTCTAGTATTATGTTGCTAAACAAACGGACATATGGAAAAATGGAAGAATTTATAATGAAGCAAACCTTTTCAACCGTTTAAATTTTGAAAGATAAGAGACAACACAAATGGTCTTAAACCTGGGCAAATAATGATTTAGACGCCCATGGCAATGGCTAGTGTTGTAATAACTAAAAACTTGAAGGCTGAAGTTGTAAAAAAATAATTTCAACAAAAATCCGACTTGCCGGATCGAATCAGTGACCTAAGAATTAATTGTGNTGGGAGACTAGGTCGGATAATGAGCTCAGAGCTCCGAAGCCCAAGTCCCGAGCTCCACTCCTATGGAAAATCATGGGAGTCAAGGAAAGAACAGCTGGACAACAAGAGGCGTACACAAACCACAAACAACAAAGGGGGAGTGATCAGGGNGCCTACTACAGTCCTTCGCTCTACCAACTGAGCTAAGGTCGGTTAGGTAAAATTTCCTTCGAACACATTAATATTACTTCTATTTTATTAGGCATTATAAATCCAATTGTTTTTGGGTCTACCCTGGATACAGGGGTGTTTATGGGTCGGGTAGCCTATGAGACCCGTTATTGGCCCAAAAAATATAGACCAGATAGTTGGTCTACCCGACCTCGACTCTGACCTATTTTTCGGCTCGAAACCTGGCCCAATCCGCCGGCCCGTCCACTCACTTTGCTTTAGAAATTTAGATATTATAGATGAGTAATATTTTATGGACTTAAAAATTAAATTTGATAATCACAATCATTGAATTGATAGTGAGTCTCAATAAATACTAAGATCCATGTAACATTACTCATTATAAATCAATGATTGTAATTATTAAGTTTAGTTTTTAAGTCCATGTAGCATTACTCATTATAAATAGTGTATTCTTTTATTTTCCATGTATTAAGCATATAAGTTTTAAAGGGGAGAGTTGTGCAAATGATAAATAGGTAGGTGGGTAGGTGTTAACTTAATTGAGATGTGCTTATTTTATTGTGATACAGTTTCTCCCATATTCATAATAAAATTATTTATTATTTATTTTTTGTCCATTTTAACTTTATTTTTAATTCAAAAATATAATTTATAAAAAATACTAAATTAAAAACTTTATCTATATTATATATATATAAAAGACCCACCTAGTGAGTGGTGGGTTAGGTTACCTTAGCCCAATCTAACCTGAAAATTTTTTCACAGGCCTAGCCCAATCCGACCTATGAACACCCTTACTTAAATCCCAAAATACTGGTGATATGACTTTTAGGAGTGTTGAACAATCTATGCTAATAAAATAGAACGTCCGAATTGAGCTACTTAAGTTTCTTACTTAGAAAAACACAATAGCGATTCAGATTGTTTAAATTTGACGGTTTATATTATATTTTAATTTTTTAAATTAATCTTTTAACCACACTAACTTATTTTAATTTTTTAACCATAGTAATTAAACCTATATTTTAACCTTTTAACCATAGTAGTTTATTTAAATTTTAAAATTTTATTCATGGTAATTCAACCTATATATTAAAAAAAACATGGTTTGTACGGGAGTACACCAGTAAGCAATATTGGGTCACCACAATCCTTGTCGAACAACCACCCAACAAATATATTTTGGTACGTATCGTATTTGTGTTAATAAAAAAATATTTTATTTTAAAATAATTCATATGATTTTGTGCATAGAAAATTAAAAAATTATGAAATATTTATTTGTTTGCTTATAATACCATTTGTAGTGTTATTAATTTCTAATATTACTCTAATTCATTTATTATTCGTATTTGTCTGTCATGTGATTTTCAATCCATATCGTATTCATGTTAATGAATAAAATACAAGGCCCGCTCAAGAGTGTAAGAATTAAAGCGGGTGCTTTAGGCCCCACCCATGAATAATGCCCCAAATTTTATAAGTCTTTAAATTACTAAATATGAGTAATGCCACATATTTCATCCCATAAAAATAAGCCCTTAAAAAGGTCCATGATAGCTTAAACCTAAAAAAAAAAAAAAGGGGGTTTTTGGAAGTCGGTATAGTGTCTTGGACTTTAGGAAAAAACATGTAAGGAGATATTTTTTGAGATTTTAAGGACATGTATTTGTTCAAAGACCAAAATACCCAAATCTATTTCAAAACACAATTCAAAATTCAAAATTCAAATAAAATTAATTACACAATTCAAAAATAAAAAAAAATTAAATTTCCTTAATTTTAGATCTTTCATAATTAAACTATCCATATAAAATTCAAATTTTAAAATTTAAAATAGATTCAAATCTCTTTTATTTACATACACATATATCTATATCTGTACTACTTATAAATGTCAGCATACATGAAAACTTTTAATTTTCTATTTTATCTTTAATTATTATAATAAAGTCAATTATACTCGCCTATATATTTACATCTAATTTTTGTTTTTCGCTCTCATTTGACTTTTAACTTATTTTGGACACTTTTATAAAAACTTCTAAATTCTTTTGAACTCATTTATTAGTAGTATAGATACATATAATTCCTATAAAATATATATTAAATTATTATATAAATATAATTACGAGATTAAATTTCACGATCAAATATATGTTATATTTTATTTTTTGGTATGCAATATTATAATAATATTATAAACGATCCAATCAATCTATTTAAGAAAATAAAAATTAATAATTTTATAATATAATTAGATGTGCAAATATTTAACAGGTCTGAGAAATATTTAAATAAATGATAAATTAAGTATTCAAAGATTTATAGAATAAAATAATAATTAAATATAGCAATAATTAAAATTCAAACTAATTATGTGGCACCTAATTCATTATTTAATTTATTTATACATATAATTAATATTTTTTATAAAAAAATATTTTTTTTACGTGTAACACACGTTGTGCATTGCTAGTATATATAAATATATGTACAAAAATAAAGAACACACATTACACTAGGACGCATATATATTTGGGACGTTGGCAATGTCATTGTTACTGTCAACATGACAGTAACAGTGTCTCTGTGTACTATATCTTGGGGACGTTGGCAATGTCATTGTTACTGTCAACATGACAGTAACAGTGTCTCTGTGTACTATATCTTGGGATGGTAAAAATACTCCATTGTTTCCGTCTCCGAGACAATAACAGTGTCTCATTTATTGTCCCATGAAAGAAATTCATCTTTTTTTTTTCTCACACTTTCTCCCCAATCAAACAGGATAAATCTGGGATTCATAGAAAAAAGAACAACCACTCAAAAATATATCACTAATTAAAATCAAAAAAAAAAAAATCACAAATACAAAGAATAACGAAGATTGAAAAAAAAAACGAGCTTGATGTGGATGGAAACAAATGAACCAGTCCTATTTGGACAATATTAGGCTTGATCATGATAAAAATTTGCTCAATTTCTTGGTTATGTGATGTTTTCAATTGAATGAAGATGGTGAGAGAGGAGAGATAAAGAATGATATAGAATACAAAGGAGAGAGAAGAGATAAAGAATGATATATTATAGAATATAAAGGAGAGATGATAGAGAAATTAAAAAAAAGAAAGAGATGAGTCTTAAAAAGATATGTGTGATCAACTTAAGGTCAAAATAAAAAAAAATAAATAAAGTAAAAGGACTATTGGACCTACTTTCAAAAAAAGTATATCCTTATTAGTAAAGAGTTCATCATATTATCCTTGGTTCTAGTTTACAAAAAAAAAAAAGAAAAAATTAAATTGATTTGGACCCAAAAGTCTAAGCCAATTAATCTTACACAATAGCATTTAAATAAAATATAATATAATAACCCTTAAAAATATTAAATCTCTCATTCAAATTACCCATCAAATCACTCCCACGATACTCTCCCTCTCTCATTTTTATCCTAATCTAAAATACCAACCAAACATATATAACGTGTAATTTATAAAAAAAAACTCCATAAAAAATCAAGGAAGACAAATCTAGTAGATAAAATTGAGTTTAAAACTTTTGTAATTTTTTATTTAATTTAAAAACTTAAACTCATTAGACGACAACAATCTAAAAATATTGTCTCTTAATTTTAATTGTTAACCAAACATGAAAATCTCTCTAGTATTGATGGTATAGGTTGGATTATCTTCACACAAATTTTATAAACAGAAAAAAATATCTTATTTGAGATACTTAATTATATAAAAATACTAGATTTTTTTTCGAATGCATTCTTTTTACAGAATATTATTGACAATCTACAATAATTTGTTCTACAAAAAGAAATTTTTAAAAATTAAAATTAATAAAAATCAGTATTAAGATTGGTAATGTATATGAAACATTTAGATAATTAGTCATAATATCAATTGAAAAATATATATAAAAATCATCTCAAAAGGCAAAAAAAAAAATTAAAAATTTATAATAGTTTTTTAAAAAATAAATGTCCTCGTTCATATTTATCGCTTTAGGTCTCGGATTGTGGAGAAAATATTCATTACAACCTTTATATCGTATCATCGTTATTACATGGCATTATCAACCAATATGAATACATCATATAGGATAAGTGAATCTCACTATTTTAGTTAGTTCGAATAATCACTCTACTACTAACACACACCTTGGAATAGTGGGGTCCATTTATCTAGATGATGAATTTTTATTGGTTGATAATACCAGGTATGACATTATATCACCGTTGTAATATATTTTTTTCTTAATTGTGACACTCATGCTTGTGATTAGAGCGTTAATTAAGTCGAACTTTGCAAACTTGAGCCCGAGCTTACCCAACTTGTTTTTTTAAATGAGTCTAAAAAATTATTTAAACTTGTCTTATTTAGAACTCGAACTGAGCCCGAATCAAACCCGAGCTTGACTAACTCGACTATTTTACATGTAAACGAGCCTAACTTTACGAGCTTGAACCGAGACTTTAAGCCTCATTTTTTTTAAACGAACCTAAAAATTATTTCAATTCAACTTATTTAGAACACGAGTCGAGTTCGAGCTTGAACTGAGTCTTATTTAAGTTAAATCTGAATAATTCGTTTCGATGAACACCCGATTCACCAGTATACCTATCTTAATAAATGAAGACTGAAATGAAGGTTCATATCTTATCAGATACGATCATTAAACCACCAGTCCAATACCATCTCACCTCTGCAACTACAAACTATAACTCGTCAAAGGAGTTGGCTCCTTCACTTCAGGTTTAGATTGCTCTCCCATAGCCGGTGCCAGGGCTTTTGTGGTACAACTTGGGGTGATTGATAACAAATTAAAATTCTTTAATTTAATTTTATGTTGGATTTAATTGTAAAAAATATTTTGTATTATATATAATCTTGTTTTAAATGGTTATCTAAATAATAATACATTTTATCCGTACTATTAAGCTGATTATAATACCACTCAAGGAGGTGGTATTATAGTTTAGTTCAAGCGTATTAGTTATAAATTTATTAATTTACCCATCAAATAAACAAAAACATTAATAATTAGACAAAATTAATAATTTTTTGATCAATATGTAATTAATACTCTATTATCCTACTCTACCAAATACTGGATTATAATGAGTATTAACTTTATCTCATATTTAATCTTGTATTTTATTTACTTATAATAAAATTAGCCCATATTAACTAATATTTTTTTTTGGAAAAGTTTCACTCACACCCCTTCTAGTTTACTATATCTTCAAGGACACCCCCTCTATTATCAAAAACATTACTAACACCCCTTCTAGTTTAATTTAAACATCACTAACACCTCCTACCATTATTTTTTTTATTTTTTTATTTTAAATTGTTTTTGGGGAAGGAGGACTTGAACTCTTGACTTTAAGAAGACAAAGTCTTTATAAGGAAAAGAATATCATTGGACCAAAGACCCATTGATTAACACTCCCTACCATTAAACTACCATTTCTAACAAAAAATATTTATCTAAAATACCAAAAATGCCGCTACATAAATCTCAAGTAAATTTTCTAAATAAAATTTTATTAAAATTCGAGCTGTTAAAATTTTTAAAAAAATTTGTAAATAACAATTTTAGTAAATAATTTGTTAGTAAATACTAATTTGTTATTTACTAATTCGTAAATTTTTTAAAAAATTCTAGCCTATTAAAATATATTTTTTACACATTAAAATTTGAGTCGATTTGAACTCTAACCTAATTTGTTGGCGCCGATTAAAATTTATATTTTTTTACTTATTAAAATTCGTGTCAATTAAAATTCGATTTATTAAAATTTGAGTCAATTAAAATTTATATTTTTTTATATATTAAAATTTGTGCTAATTAAAATTTAATGCGAATTGATTAAAATTTGATTCGAGTTGATTAAAAATAATTTTTAATTGGCTCAAATTTTAATATTTTAAAAAAATAAATTTTAATTAGCTTGAATCAAATTTTAATCGACTCAAATTTTAATACGTAAAAAAAATTAAAACACAGAGGGGGTTTCATTGAAGATATACTTACTTAGAGGGGGGTCTCATTGAAAATATGCTTATCTAGAGGGGTTGTGGATGAAATTTGTTCTCAAATATATCATAAACAATTTAGTAAAATTGCATTCTAGTAAATATTTTTAATGTGACAAGAGGTGTCACTGAAGATTTAAAAAATAGAAAGGGTATCCTTAAAAATATGATAAACTAGAGAGGGTATAATTGAAATTTTTTACTATATAGCAAACAAACGAATCTTATAATATTTATTAGTAGAATTTCACACTCTGAAACTCAGCCAAACTTCAATGATCCGCTGGCAGGCTACTATATCAAATCTTGTCTTACCTTACTATTGATACTACGTGGAAGAATCCTTAGGGGTGTTTAGTAGTTGAATATAACTTCTTATGATTCAAAGTTTTTAGGTTCGATACATTTTATATTTTCTAAAGATTTGTTATCTTTATCACTTGAAAAAATGTTTTAATTCTGCTTAAGCTGCAATGACAAGATTCAAATTCGAGGGAATAATCGATATAAGTGGGAAAAAAAAAATCTAAGGGGAAGATCCGAGCCAGAGTTCAAACTATTGGAAATTAGTTCATTGTTTTCAAAGTCATGAAGTCAACTTGTGTCATTCAACGTTGGCCAAGAAAGAATAGGAAAAATATAATTTAGGCAAGTGGGAAGAGGTCCAGATGGTGAAGATAATGATGTGAAGCCACCATTTTTGACAGCATTAATTTAATCCTCTTTCTACAAAGGCGGCTTGGACCAGATTGCACCCCATATGCTTGTGTAGATGCCGCACTGAGTGTCACCCTTCTTCTTGTTTCCCTCAGAAAGGCAAAAGCCCCAACCATCTTCCAGTTTTTCCCTTACAATCCAGCATAAACCAAGTAGGAACAACAGTTGCAAGTTAAACCTTAAAATTAAGCAGCAATGAAGGTTGAAATCCTATCAAGAAAGTTCATCAAGCCATCTGCTCCAACTCCAGATCACCTTCGACAGAAGAAGATATCCTTGTTCGATCAGCTGGCTCCTCCTTCAAATGTCTCCCTTATTCTCTACTACTCCGGCAATGGCAACATAGCCGGAAACAACAAAAGACGTGCCCAGTTGGAGAGATCATTATCGGAGGCCTTAACCGCGTTTTACCCATTAGCTGGGAGATTCGCCAAAGATGATCTCTTGGTTGATTGTAATGATCAAGGGGTGGAATATTTGGAAGGACAAGTGGACTGTAACTTGGATGAATTTCTACTAGAACCCAAAATTGAGCTTCTAAATCATTTGCTTCCATCTGATATTGGCATACCTGATTTGATTACGAGTCCTTTAGTAGCAGTTCAGATCAACAGCTTCAACTGCGGTGGATTAGCCATTGGCGTCTGTGTTTCACACAAGATTGCTGATGCTTCAGGGATTGTCTCTTTTATCAATGGATGGTCAAGTGCAAGCCGAGCAGAGATGGTCAATGAAGCCATTCATCAACCAAATTTCGATTTGGGTTCTCTCTTCCCACCAAGAACTTTACCTGGTCTTGAGATTTCTCCACCCCCCTTCAACTCTGAAATTAAGATTGTCACAAGGAGGTTCGTGTTCAATGGTGAAGCCATAACAAAGCTGAAAGCTAAAGCTGAAGCACAAGCTCAAATCAATAATAATGGTATGGAATGCCAACCAACAAGGGTGGAGGTGGTGACAGCAGTTATATGGAAGGCCCTTATAAGTGCAGCTCGAGCAAAACATGGGCACTTAAGGGCTTCATTGCTCACCCACAATGTGAACATGAGGCAGAAAACAGTCCCCCCAATGCCGGAGAATTCATTGGGAAACTTTCTTGTGGCTGCCATTGCTCGATTCTCAGCAGACGAGAGCAAGATGGAGCTGCATGACTTTGTAGGTTTGGTAAGAGATGCTGCAAGAGATGCGGTTGCTAAATTCGCGAAAATACCTGTCCTAAATGGTGATGAAGTTATGTTGATGCTAGGAAACTTATACACTGATTTGCTGGGAGGATTGTGCAACAGTGAGGTTGATGTTAGGATTTTTAGCAGCTGGTGCAAATTTCCAATCTATGAAGCTGATTTTGGATGGGGGAAGCCAGCTTGGGTAAGTCTAATGAGCTTTCCCGTGGAAATAGTTACCTTGATGGATACCAAATGTGGTGAAGGCATTGAAGCATGGGTGAGTTTGAATGAACAAGACATGCTTCACTTCCAACAAGACCCAAACATTGTAGCCTTCACTTGTTAGGGATTCTCCTTTTTTTTTTTTGTTATAGGGTGTCTAGGCTTATGTTGACTATTCTCTCGAGTTCAGCGACTGACCACCGTGGCTTAAACTAATATAGAGCATTTAAATTGCTATATCTAAAACAAAAGTGTTACAATATGCTTTATCATTTATTAAAACCCATTTTGGGGTTGGTGTTACATAATTGTTGGGAGGTTGTATGTGAACAGGGTGTCATTCATTGAGCCCAAAGGCAGATCCATGAAGGGCCAGGAGAGCCCTGGTCCACCCTCAAATTTTCACAACATAATACATATATATATTTATATTAATTGATGCACCCATGCGTAGCACGCGTGAACCATTTTGAGTATAAGTTATTATTTATAATTGATTTAATAATTAAGAAATATATTCTTAATCAAAAGTTTGGAGCATACCAAGAAATATGAAATTGAAATATGATTGGATTATTAGAAAATAATCCATCTCACCCTTGCCTTCCTTCTTCCATTTCCCTATTGTTTTGAAGAAAAAGTGGTGGAAGACTATAAGGTAAATAGGAGATAATTTCTTACTTAATTGCATGATCAATCCTCTATGGCTTATAATTGAAGAATAATCCCTCATAAAATGATATGATTTAGCGTTTTTTAGATAATTGCCGATGTGTTTGCACATAAAAGATAATCACAATTCTATAATATATATTTTTGTCTGATGTATTCCTTAAAAAAGAACTTATTGTCTGATGTATTCCTCAAAAAAGAACTTATAACTCTAAAATAACATCAATATGTTGCAAAGATGTTAGGAAATTATAACAAGATTTAGCATTAGATTTTCAAAAAATTTAGCATTAGATTTTTGCATTGAAAAAATGTTGAAGATGGTGTAAACGTGGCCTAGGAATATCCAAATGAAATATTTTTGGGGTTTTACAGTACTAAGCTTTTATATCAATGTGATGCCATATGGCTAATGTTTTTTTTTATGTTAAGTTTCTTTTTTTAGAATTAGATTTTATGGACCACAAACATGCACTTATGTTATACCGCCTCTAACAACTTTAGCTTTTGCAACATTTGGTGATGAATATAGTATTCAAGCCTAGAAGTCTTAAATTCAAATCACAAAGAGGGGTCACACGTGAGATGAAGTATTGCATAAACACTTGTGTTACAATATTCTCTAATAGATTAAGTTTTTAGAATAGCTTATGGTCTAACAATAGAAGTGGAGATCTCAGCTCAGAACTTATACAATTACACACACACACATAGTACATTGTAAAAACTTTGATTTCAAGTTATAGTAACACGCCAAATATTAACATGATCATCAATGATTGTAAATTGGTTAAGTTCTTCTTCTGAATTCGAAAAGTAGTATGGGTGTAGTCAATATAACAAATGCCTTAGCTCAATTGACTCTTAAACTATGTTAAACGATATCAATACTACACCTATAAGATTAAAATTTTTAGTCCCAGAGTTGGGATCAAACCAAATGGCTCTAGTTACGTCCCAAGTGGCAAAACTTCTTATATTAAAATTCAATTATCAGTTTCAAACAATTCTAGTCAAACATCAAATTTGTAGGAGAAAGAGAATAAACACTAAATATCCTCACTATCTATGACATTGGCTTGCAAATCTACATCCAATTGAAAGTGGCACAATGTTGTCTTAAGCATAGAAATTTTACGCTCTCTATTTGCTTGAGCATTGTATAACATTTAAGATTATGTCAAAGTACCAGGTTATCTATAATGATTTGATCATATAATAATTGGTTATCTCAAGCCACCAATTGCTACGATTGCATAACTTTCAGAAACATTTGTCTTCAACAAAGGGTGATCAGAATCTTTCAGGCAACCAATTTGATTAAAACACCTCCTTTGCGTGAAAGTGGTGTAAATATCACTTTTAGCATTGAATTTAAATAAATTCTCCTAATAGCGCACTCCAAATAAACCCATGATTAATTAATTTGTATAGCAAAAATCCCCCCAACATAGTAAAAAGCTTGAACAAAAATCGGCAAATTGAACTTAAACAATAAGTAGGGCAGAGATAGAGAGAAAGAGTGGATGCATATACCCATTGATTGGGACAGTTTAAGAGATCCAACCGAAAACCAAGTTTAATATTAACGATCTTACCTTTAGGATTTGAAGAGGCCAAGGCTGCAATGCACCAAGCATACCCATTTCCAAAACAATCTTGAACCCATAAAAGAAAGAAAAGGAGGAATAAAACAAATAGCCAGGGAGTGGTGGAGGGCTTGCGTATGAATACATTTTTGCAAGAGACTATTTTCGTGGAATGTTGAATGAAAACTGGGATTTGTGCAGAAATAGCAGAGACCCTTATCTTTCTATTAAGAGGTTATGAAAAGAAAAGAAAAGAAAATCAGATATGGTTAATTAGTTGAACTATCCTGAATAAGAAAAAATATACGCTGAATAGACCGATTCTTTGTCTAGGTGAAACACCGGAAACAGAAATATACTCTCTTGCTTACACACCCCATTTTAAGCCACCTTTTAGGCTTGTAGTGTACTCATAAAAAGCTTTTGAACTATCTGAGTCCAAACGTGTAGATTGATAGCCCAAAAAAAAAAAAAAAAAAAAAAAAATGTACTCAGAAAAAGCTTTGCCCCATAGACGCAAATCATTCCTACAATATTGTTGGAAAAATAATATTAAACATGAAAAGTCATGTTTTAGGAGTTATTTTTAGTTTTGTGTATTAGTGGGTCATAAATTTGGTATTAGTGGTGGACAAAGTAATTGTAGTATTTTAATTCTCCAAATAATGGAGGAGTGAGATCTTTATTATTTTTATTATTGCATTATGTAGTGAAGTTATTTTGTATGTCATGAGAGTCTATATTTATCATATGTAATACATCTACTTGGATATGAGTGAATACAAAGAGTTCTTCCAATCTTCAATAGTCTCTCCCATTATATTTTTTTTGTGAGTGTGTGATAGTCCTCTAGATTCCAACAAAGTGGTATCAAAGTTAGGCTTGAGTGTTGAAAAAGAGAGTGAGAGAGAGAGATGGCGAATGAAATGCTTCCATTTCAAATGCCTCGATTCACCAAAGATAACTATCAGAATTGGTGTATCCGCATGAAGGCAATTCTTGGATCTCAAGACTTATGGTAGATTGTAACAATTGGTTACACAACACCGCAAGATGAAGCTTCCTTAAGTCAAGTCCAAAAGAAAGTCTTGCAAACTACAAAAAAAAAGAATCAAAAGGCTCTTTCACTCATCCACCAATGTTTGGATGATACTATGTTACAGAAGGTTGCTAGTGCAACCACATCCAAGCAAACATGGGATGTTCTTAAAACTTCTCATAGTAAAGTGGAAAAAGTCAAGAAAGTTCACCTCCAAACTCTACGAGGTGAATTTGAGGCTTTACGTATGAAGGAATCCGAATTAGTTTCAGATTATTTCACAAGAATTTTGGTGGTTGTGAATAATTTGAAAACTTATGGTGGTGATCACTATGATGATACCCGGGTAATAGAAAAAATCCTCCGTTCATTGGACCTCAAGTTTGACTACATTGTCGTAGCCATTGAAGAGTCTAAAGATTTAGACACAATGACGATTGATGAACTCATGAGATCGTTGTTAGCCTGTGAAAAACGACTAGGCAAGAAGAAACAAGAGTCGTTGGAGCAAGTGCTACAAACCAAGCTTTGTTTCAAAGAAAAAGAAAGAAGGCAAGATGAAAGTCAAAGAGGTAGAGGGTGTGGACGTGGAAGTGGAGGTCGTGGTGGACGTGGTCGAGGTAGAGGAGAAAACTTTGGCCAAAATGCGTCCAACAAAGAAGAAAGAGGCCAAGAATCACATCGTGGAAGATGACGTGGAAGAGGCAACAATTCAAAGTCATATGGAGGGAGGTATGACAAATCTCATATTCAATGTTATAATTGTCATTGATATGATCATTTTGCTTCCGAGTGTAGAAATGATTTTGTGGAAGAAAGAGCACACTTTGTTGAAGACAGAGTTGAAGAGATAAAACCGACCTTGTTGTTGGCATACAAAGAAGAGCAAAAGGGAGACAAGAACGTGTGGTACCTTGACTCCAGTGCTAATAATCATATGTGTGAAAATAAAGAGATGTTTGCGGAGCTTGATGAATTGGTGAGTGAAAAAGTCACTTTTGGAGATTCTTCTCAAATTCTGGTAATGGGAAGAGGTAATATTTTGATTCGTTTGAAGGATGGAAGACACCAAGTTATTTCTAATATTTTTTATGTTCCAAACATGAAAAATAATATTTTGAACTTGGGACAACTCTTAGAGAAAAGTTATGATATTTGCATGAGAAATCATAATCTTTCAATAAGAGATGAAAATGAGATTTTGGTTGCTAAAGTGCCGATGACAAGAAATAGAATATTTTTGTTAAATATTCAAAGTGATGTGGAAAAATGCTTGAAAGCATGTGTTAAAGAATCTTCTTAGTTATGACACTTGAGATTTGGGCACTTGAATTTTGGAGGACTAACCTTGGTGTCTAGAAAGAAGATAGTGAACGGATTGCCTTCTATCAACCATCCGGATCAACTTTGTGAAGGATGTTTAATTGAAAAGCAAGCTAGAAAGAGCTTTCCCAAAGAATCCATTTCACGAGCAACCAAACCGCTTCAACTTGTTCACTCTGATGTTTGCGGCCCTATAGACCCACCATCATTTGGCAAGAACCGGTATTTTTTTTTCCTTTATTGATGATTTTAGCTGAAAAACGTGGGTTTATTTTTTAAAACAAAAATCAGAAGTGTTTGGTGTTTTCAAAAAGTTTAAGGCTTTAATTGAAAAACAAAGTGGGCATGAAGTCAAGGCAATTAGATCTGATAGAGGAGGTGAATTCACATCAAATGAATTCAAAATTTTTTGTGAAGAAAATGGAATTCACCATCCTCTAACGGTTCCAAGATCACCACAACAAAATGGTGTTGCTGAAAGGAAGAATCGAACCATTCTTGACATGGCTCGGAGTATGTTGAAGATTAAAAAAATGCCCAAGGAGTTTTGGGCGGAAGTTATTGATTGTGCCATCTACTTATTAAATCGGTGTCCCACTAGAAGTGTTCAAGACAAAACGCCAAAAGAAGCATGGGGAGGAATCAAGCCAAATATTTCTCATTTGCGGGTCTTTGGAAGTGTATGCTATGCACATGTGCCGGATGAGAAACAGACTAAACTAGATAACAAGAATGAAAAGTTTGTCTTCATTGACTATGACTCAAGAAGCAAAAGTTACAAGCTTTACAACCCAAGTAATGACAAGATAATCATTAGTAGAGATGTTGAGTTTGATGAAGAAGATGAATGTGATTGGAACACTTCACAAGAAGACTATGATTTTTTCCCATTCTTTGAAGAAGAGGAGGAGTCCAATGAGATCATGGAGTAGCCCATTTATTCTCTTCCACCATCACCACCATCACCATCATCACCCACCAATGTGGAAGCATTTCCATCATCATCCGAAGCAAGTTCAAGTAAAAGGCCATCTCGCATGAGGAGTCTTCGAGATATCTATGAAGAAACCAAAGAGGTAACTCAAAGATTTAGTGATCTAACACTATTTTGTCTATTTGCCGATTGTGATCCCATAGGCTATGATAAAGCGACACAAGACAAGAAGTGGAGAAGTGCCATGAATGAAGAAATTGATGCTATTGAAAGAAATGGAACATGAGAACTTGCTACACTTCCTAGAGGACAAAAGACCATTGGAGTGAAGTGGGTGTACAAGACAAAGAAAAATTCCAGAGGTGAAGTGGAGAGGTACAAAACAAGGTTGGTTGCAAAAGGTTATAGTCAAAGACTGGGTATTGACTATAATGAGGTATTTGCACCCGTTACTTGTTTGGAAATAATTAAATTAATTATTTCTTTAGCCGCTTTAAATGATTGGAAAATTCATCAAATTGATGTAAAGTCCGCTTTTTTGAATGGCTTTCTTCATGAAGAGGTGTATGTTGAACAACCCTTGGGTTATGTTGTGAACGGGCAAGAAGAGAAAGTCTTGAAATTAAAAAAGGCTTTGTATGGTTTGAAACAAGCACCAAGAGCTTGGAATAGTAGACTTGACAAGTACTTTCAAGCAAATAATTTCACCAAGTGTCTCCATGAACATGCTCTTTATGCAAAGGTGAATGATAATGGTGATATACTCTATGCTTGTTTGTATGTGGATGACTTGATCTTCACAGGAAATTGTCCAAGAATGTTTGAAGATTTCAAGAGAGCAATGACTAAAGAATTTGAGATGACTGACATTGGGCTTATGTCATACTACCTTGGCATTGAAGTGAAACAAATGAAGAAAGGTATTTTTATCTCTCAAGAAGATTATGCTAAAACAATTTTGGCAAAACTCAAGATGCAAGATTGTAAGCCGGTATGTACACCCGTTGAATGTGGTGTAAAATTGTCAAAATATGAAGATGGAGAGCATGTGGATCCTACCCATTTCAAGAGCCTAGTGGAAAGCTTGAGGTACTTAACATGCACAAGGCCGGATATTCTTTTTGGTATTGGTCTTGTAAGTCTCTATATAGAAGCTCCTACCATGACCTAGTTGAAGGTGGCGAAAAGAATTCTTAGATACATCAAATGTGCACTTGATTATGGATTGCTATATTCTTATTTTAAAAATTTTAAGCTTGTGGGTTATTGTGATAGTGATTGGGCCGGAGATATGGATGATAGAAAAAGTACTATCGGGTATGTTTTCTTCATAGGAGATACCGCATTTGCTTGGAGTTCAAAGAAGCAACCCATTGTGACTCTTTCGACTTGTGAAGCCGAGTATGTGGCAGCTACATCATGTGTTTGTCAAGCCAATTGGCTTAGAAATTTGTTAAAGGAGCTTCATTTGCCTCAAGAAGAATCGACGGAGATTTTTATTGACAACAAATCGACACTAGCATTGACAAAGAATCCGGTGTTTCATGATCGTAGTAAACATATTGACACAATGTTTCATTTCATTAGAGAGTATGTGACCAAGAAGGAGGTGGAGCTCAAGTTTGTGAAGTCTCAAGATCAAATTGCCGATATTTTCACTAAGCCCCTCAAAGAGGATGTCTTTTGCAAATTGAAAAGTTTGCTTGGAGTTGAGAAGAAAAATCATGTTTAAGGGGGGGTGTTGGAAAAATAATATTAAACATGACTTTTTATGTTTTAGGAGTTATTTTTATGCATTTAGTTTTGTGTTTTAGTGGGTCATAAATTTGGTATTAGTGGGGGACAAAGTAATTGTAGTATTTTAATTCTTCAAGTAATAGAGGAGTAGGCTCTTTATTATTTTTATTATTGCATTATGTAGTGGAGTTATTTTGTATGTCATGAGAGTCTATATATATCATATGTAATACATATCCTTGGATATGAGTGAATACAAATAGTTCTTCCAATCTTCAATAGTCTCTCCCATTATATTTTTTTTTTGAGTGTGTGATAGTCCTCTAGATTCCAACAAAGATATATGTCTATAGTGAAACCATATTTTCTAGTATAGGGTCCATCATGCATGACATCGTCTTCTCAACGCTCAATGTAGAACTAATGAAGTCGTGTCTCCTATCTAAAATGAGCTTATGACGACATCCCGGAGAAACTCAATTGACTTGGACAAGTTTCACGTCTCATCAATAAACATAGACAATAAATCTTCAATTTTTATAAGCTACTCTCTCTTCCATTCTTAATCATATGATTTTAATACTTGGTATCCATTGAAATTCAACAAACAATTTCCCAAAGTTGTTACAAGAAGGTTTATGTTTAGCGATGCAACAATAACAAAGCTGAAAGCTAATGCCCAAACAATAGCTCAGATCCAAACTAATGGTATGGAATGCCAACCAACGCATGTGGAGGTGGTGACAGCAGTGACATGGAAGGCCCTTAAAAGTGTAGCTCGAGCAAAACATGGGCGCTTGAGGGATTCATTGCTCATCCAAACTGTGAACATGAGGGGGAGAACAGTCCCACCATTGCCAGAGATTTCATTGGGAAACTTTTTGTTGGCTGCCATTGCTCGATCCTCAGCAAACGAGAACAAGATGGAGGTGCATGACTTGGTTGGTTTGGTTCGAGATGAAACAAGAGATGCCATTGCTAAGTTTGCCAAACTATCTGTCCTGAATGGTAATGAGTTTATGTTGATGTTGGAAAACATCCTCACCAAATACCTGGAAGGATTGTGCAACAGCAAGGTTGATGTGAGACGTTTTAGCAGCTTGTGCAAGTTTCCGCTTTATGAAGTTGATTTCGGATGGGGCAAGCCGGATTGGGTAAGTCTAACAAGCTCTCCTGCAGAAATGGTATTCCTGTTGGACTCCAAATGTGGGGAAGGCATTGAAGCATGGGTGAATTTGAATGAACAAGACATGTTCCACTTTCAACAAGACCCGGACATTCTAGCCTTCTCCCCAGTTGATCAGTTGCCATACCTGATGCAAAGTGTCACAATTTGTTTTCTCATATTCGAAAACCCATTTATGATGTGGATTTACATTATTATTATTGTTTTTATTTTTTGTTTTTTTTGGAGGGGCTGGGGGCTGGGGGAGAGATTGTGTGTGTGCATGTTATTGTGGCTCCTTTACTTCGTTTTTATTCGCTATTTTCTATAAGATTTTTCATTGCTTATTACAAACTCATGCTTTCATGGTGTAGAAATGTTTCATGTAGGCACAGTATGCTAATCAAAACCTTAAGTTTCCATCTTATATGAGTAATGGACTTGAAAATAGAATGTGCATTGCATATTAATACACCTTCCCACGTTTGGTAGATAGTTCGGATCCCCATTACTGCAATGAAGATTCATTGTCATTACCATAACGATTACCGACTGTCCCTTGGTGACTACTAACTACTTGGTAATTGGCCATAATATTTTGAGACAACCACCCCACCCCTTAGAACAAATATTATCCTTATTTTTTGTAGTGATTATAGTTTGGGAACAAAAACACAAATATAGTAGTATTAAGGTATCAGTTCACCAAATGTATCTCCCTTATGAGACCACATGAAATAAATAAATATGGATAACAATATCTTTAAAATGATGATAGGAGTTTCGAGTCGTTGTTGAAAGAATGAGCATGAAGTTTGAATTTCGTGTGTATTAACTTTCGAGTCAAATATAGTTTAAGAGGCATTTAAACTTGAGAAAGGTAGATAAGTAAGTTTTTAAATGCTTTTAGGTCAAAATAATATTACCATTGAATTTGGGAGGTGAAAAATTTTTGGGAGAGGTTATATGAGATCTATTAGAAGTTTGCAGGTGTTCCCGAGTTAAAATGCATTTTATAAATAATTCGGGTAGAAAAAAATTTCACACTACCTCAGTATTTTGACTATAAATTTTTACCCCAATTTTCAATTGACCTGATTTGTGTGGCATTGAAAAGTCTACTTTAAGGGCTACAGAAGTGTATTTCATTAATATTTTGTGAATCGAACTCTAACTAGGTCAAAATTGATCTAGAAGTCTAGAGTAGAAACCCACCTACGCCCGGATGGAATGAGTGCGTCTGGACGCGCCTATGAAGTCTCGGGCAGTGAGTTTGGACCATGTAGATGTGCTTTTGAGTTGGCCTCGATCAGTTTTTAGCATTTTCTTCGTTTTTGACTCTACAAACACCTTAAGGCCGCGTTTTAGGTTCCTATACATGGTTTTTCAACCCTAAGAAGCCTTGAGGAAAAGAGGAGAAACGAGCTAGATCTAGAAGGATTAACAAGTTGTAATCGCACCAAAATGCGATAGGATTAATTATCTACAAATTAAGGTATTGATTCTTTCCATTCTTATCCATTGAGGATTAGGACTCAGTATATGTATTTTTTTTAATCCAATTCTTATATATATGATAGATGTACAATGAATTTGCATTCTTTTCAACCATATGATTCATTCTTGGAAAAATTGCATAATTTACATCCAAATTGTATGTTTTTTTATGAAAATTCCTAGATCTTGAACATGGTTAACTAGAATACATCCTTTTTACGATCTCTAGCATGTTTTAATTGTATTACTCTTCTATTTTAAGAATTGTGAGATTTCGAGTAGTGAGATATGTGAATTTTTTTGAAGGATTGGACATTATCTCTTATATAAGTGGGTGTGATGAGTGTAGGTTACACTCAAATGCATATCGCAGAGTATTTATATTAGTGTTTTAAAACTCAGTCCAGCCCGACCGACAAACTAGTACCAGAGTCAGGCCGATTTCTGAATTAGATCGATCGGTTGAACAATTCACCTGCCAAAGAAATAAGATTGATCGGTTGAACAATTCACTCAACAAAGAACCGTTCAATCCGTACTAATTTACTTAAGTCTTGAAAATTAATTAAATATTGAATGTTTGAATCTCAACTCAAACTATAAGCTGGTCCACTTGGCTCGCATCAACTCAAGTTGTAAAGCTATCAAATTGTGTCCACCATTCAATAAACAAAGAGAATTGCTCGTCTTATAGGCACAAAATCCTCATCAATTCATCTAGGTTTCCAATGTGGGATTATGTAGTGTGTCCACAACTCTAAATTGCCTTGTTGTTCTTCCTATTTTTCTAATACCGTGCTATTATACCTTTGAACTACTTTTTTTTTTCCTTTCAATTTTCATTTAAATTTTTTTGAGGTCGTCACAATGTCACTATTTACAAATTTATACCAAATATTTAATGCTAGTTAGTGAATTTTTTTATGCTCTATCAAAGTATATCAATTGTGTAAGCAAATTAATGATTTGGTCATATTTTTTTGTCTATTTTGTTCATTTACTATAATATAAAACATATTATTTTTGTAACTATTATAATCTTTAAGCATATTTATTATTACTAACAACTTTTTATTATTAATTATATGACCAGTTCAACCAATTGACTTATGATTGAACTAGTGACTCATTGACCCTATCCCTTTATCTGGTTGATATATGGGTTGGTTTAAAAACTATGGTTTAGATAATTCTTATCTCGAGGGAATTGAAGATTTGCTATCACTCGTAGTAGAATTGTATGATTCCTTGCGAGGTTCTAAGAATTAATACTATTTGCTCACAGTGATCGAAGTTAGGGGTTAGTATACTAATCCTAAGAAGGTTTCATCAATGCCGATGCATCGATATACGGACTTCCTAAAGTATTGTGACCCTACAAAAAATTGATTGATGAGTTGGGTGCGAGTGTGGGTTAGATATAGTTGATGTGTGAATTCTAGTTAATCAACCTGCATAAATGAGATATGTTATGATCTTTTGTTTACTTGAGATATTCAGCCAATTTTTGAAATAATTCTTTTCTACTATGGATTAATTGTTCACGTATCATAAACCCGAGATCGTTACAATGTCATATTTTTTATTTCAAAATTTATATACGTTATTTTGTTAGAATTGAGACCCACCTGTTTTTATCCATTTTCTAAACCTTGTCTAGGTTTGAGAAATTTTCTCTACTGGGCTTGTTTGCTCACCATTTCCTTACATTTTTCAAATTTTGGTAGAAAGGAGGACACCACAATAGGTGAGCATGTGGAATTGGAGTTTGAGACGGAGCATGATGTGGATCTAGCTTTCAAGGATTAGAATTCTGCTTATAGTTCATTTGGTTTTTGATGGATGAATGTTATTAACATTATTTGGTTGGATGGGATATTTAATTTATTTAAATGTTTTGGTTTTAACCTTGATGATTGAATTAATTTTTAAGATGATTGTATTATTAACATTATTTGGTTTTGGAGTTTGTTTTGATTTAAATTTTAAGGTATTTAGCTATGTTCTCATAGTTTGATGGTTAATAGGTAGTTCATACCTATTTTTTGTAAATTTGGGCGTGACAAAGTTGGTATCAAAGTTTAGAATTAGGTCTTACATGAGAGTTTTAGGTTGTGGGCATAGATGATTTGGTATTGGATGGAAGGAACTTGGGTTGGAATCTTTTTGGGAACTGTGTTGCATATACGATAAGTGTTAGTTGATATGTAGTTAGGTTATTGATTGTTTATTTATTTGAACTTACAAATTTTAGCTGGTTTGAAAGAATTGTTGTTATATTTGGGATGGATATACTAGTTGTCTACCTACCATGCCATTATAGACTATTTTAGGAAATGAATGGTATTTTATTTTTGGTTAGTAAGAGGTGCTAGGCATGAATCTTTAGGAAAATGAGTTTACCAATATTAGAAAAGGTCATGAGATACGAGTGATGATAAAAAATGTTTATTTTTTTATGTGGCATAAGTTTTGGGATATCATTGAGAATATTGGTGTATTTGTGATGAAAATGTATGAGAACAAATTGAAGTGTTGTAATAGATCACGAGATCGAATGGAATTATGGTTTTGGGTTATGTTGATTTTCATTATTATGTTTGACCTTTAACGATACTTAAATTTTTGGAAGTCAACAAGGCGAAATGACTCTTTTTGTAGTATAGAGTTTGGACAAGAAAAATAAGATTTAGTTTGAAATATAAAAATATAGTGGGTTACTGGGGTCATTATACATAAGTTTGGTCTCTTATGTTTATTGCTTGGGGTCAAAATGTAAATATTGTTTTGTGTTAAAGTCTAGAATGTGATAATGAAAATAGAAATGTGGTAGGAGTGAGAAATCAGACAATGTAAAAAGTCGAAAACATCACCAAAAGATGGCTAGAGCAAGTCAGAACCTCATCGGGGAATGGCCAAGACAAGTTAGAATTTTGGCAGAGGGTGACCAGAAGATTGTCAGAGGAGAGCCAGGTCAGAACATCATCAAAGGACAATCGAAATGTAGTCAAAGGACAGTTGACGATTGCCAAATGATTGTCGGGAGATGATCAGAAGATCACCATAAGACAAGCAGAACATCGTCGAAGGACAGCCAGAGGTCGCCAAAGGATGGCCGAGATGCAATTGAAACATTGCTAGAGGATGATCAAAACGTCATCGAAGGACGACTGAGCAGATTAGAATGTCACCGGAGGGCGACTAGAAGGTCGTTAGAGGATAGGTTGGGTAGGTTAGAACTTCATTGGAGGACAACCAAAAAGTTGTCAAAGGACAATTGAAGGTTGCTGAATGATGGTTGGGAGGCGATCAGAACATCGTTGTAGGATGGCCGAAACGTTGTCGTCGGGTAGCCGGGCAGGTCCGAATGTTGCCAAATGATGGCTGAGAAATTGATCGAAATATCGCCTGAGGGTTACCAGAATGTAGGATGAGGACAATTGGAGAATGGCGGGACATGTCAATTTATCATTGGAGGTCGACCGAAAGATCATCGGAGGATGGCCAGGGACAGATGGTTATGTCACCAAATGATGACCGATATGGCGTTGAAGATCACCAGAACAGCGCTGGAGGATGGCCAGAAGGAGAACTTGAGGATGGCTATGGAGAATGACCAGAAGAGGTTATCGAAGGACAATCCGAAGGAGAAAAGCCTCAAGGGTTCTAATGTAGAGGATCCTTTGTAGGACAACCACAGATCATACTATCTTTTGGCCAGAAGGACTCATAAAACTAGCTCTACTAACATGTGAAAAAAAATAATAGAAAGCGAATATCAAATAAAAAAATACATATACTTAGTCCTAATCCTCAATGAGTAAGAGTGGAAACAAGCTGTACCTTAATTTGTAGATAATTGATCCTATTGCATTTTGGTGCGATTACAACTCGTTAATCCTTCTAGATATAGCTTGTTTCTCCTCTTCTCCTCAAGGTTTCTTAGGGTTGAAAAATCATGTATAGGAACCTAAAATGCGACCCTAAGGTATTTGTAGAGTTAAAAACAGAGAAAATGCTAAAAACTGATCGAGGATCAATTTTGACCTAGTTAGAGTTCGATTCACGAAATATTCATAAAATATACTTATGTATCTCACAAAGTAGACTTTTCAATGCCACACAAATCAGGTCAATTGAAAATTGGGGGTAAAAAGTTATAGTCAAAATACTGAGGTAGTGTGAAATTTCTTTCTATCCGAATTATTTTCAAAAATGCATTTTAATCCGAGATATAACCTCTTCCAAAAATTTTCCACCTCCCAAATTCAATGGTAATATTATTTTGACCTAAAAACATTTAGAAACTTACTTAGCTACCATTCTTAAGCTTAAACGCCTCTTAAACTATACTTCACTCGAAAGTTAATATGCACGAAACTCAAACTTCATGCTTATTCTTTTAACAAAGACTCGAAACTCCTGTCATCATTTTAAAGAAATTGTTAAAGTAGTGTTATCCATATTTATTTATTTCATGTGGTCTCATAAGGGGGATACATTTGGTGAACTGATACCTTAATACTGCAATATTTGCGTTTTTGTTCCCAAACTATAATCACTACAAAAAATAAGGATAATATATTTGTTCTAAGGGGTGGGGTGGTTATCTCAAAATATTATGGCCAATTGCCAAGTAGTTAGTAATGACCAAGGGACGGTCGGTAATCGTTATGGTAATGACAATGAATCTCCATTGCAGTAATGGGGATCCGAACTGTCTACCAAACATGGGAAGGTGTATTAATATGCAATGCACATTCTATTCTGAAGTCCATTACTCATATAAGATGGAAACTTAAGGCTTTGATTAGCATTCTTTGTCTACATGAAATATTTCTACACCATGAAAGCATGAGTTTGTGATAAGCAATGAAAAATCTTATAGAAAATAGCGAGTAAAAAGGAAGTAAAGGAGCCACAATAACACGCACGCACACACAATCTCTCTCCCCCCCCCCCCCCC